CTAATGTGAAGTTTGTTGGTAGAGTCTCAGCTCCGTCCTTCCACGGTAGCTCCACATAATATCCATCACTTCGTTTTTCCATTGTATCTTCAATTCGTTTTAGTACCAATTCATTTTCTTGGTGAATTTCGTCATTCACTGGTCCAGCGATTTCTCCTTGTTTCATTTCTTCAAATTCAATGACGTTTTCTACGACGTTGCGCACTACCGTATTCACTCGTCGTGTCGAGTTTTCCTGTTTCATCTTCATATCATCATGGTCAGCTCTACGTCCAGTGATTACTGCACCATTTGTGGTTAAGATGTATGTCAATCCTGATGGAAGTGTGTGCTGCATCCAGAATTCATAAATGTAATCATTACCAACAACTACATCGGGATCTGATATTGTTTTTAAGCATTCCGGATTGATAGTGATACCTTCGTCTTCCAGGAACTTTAAATCACGGTCATCCAGCACTGGTTTATCGATTGGTTCCACAAGATAATCTTTTACTGTCGCTTCCACTTCAATTCTTTGGTTGTTTCCTTTGTCTATCAAGATTTTTGCAACTTGGTATTTTTCTGGATTCTTCGCGATTTGTCCGAATGTTTGTAGTTTCACCCATTCTTCGCGAATCATCTCCAATTGCCAGTCTTCTACGATTGACTTTTTCACATATGTCGAATTCGCTCCAGAATCAAGCATCACGACGATTTTTTTCCACTCCGACGTTGCTGGGCTGTATCCCCACATCTGAACTGTAGGTAAATAGCTGTCGCCTGTCCCATTCACAAAATTTTGATGTGCTTGACGTGTTCGACTGACTTCTCGTTGATCTTCCTGTCGTACTGGTATTGAAACGTTTTGATGACTCCCTCCGTCATTTTTCTTCTTCGCTGTTGTTTTTTGTGCCTTATTGTTCCTGTTATTTATGTTTTTGCACAACAATCGATGATGATTTCTTTGACAGTTTCTGCATTTCTCGCTTCTGCATTCTCTTGAGGAATGCCCAGATTTTAAACAATTAAAACAATTTTTGAGTTCCTTAATTCGTTTCCATTTCTCGTCAATAGAAGAATAATTAGGACAATTGTCTGCGCGGTGATTTTTCTCACAGAAATAACACCGGAATTGTTTTTCGTTAACTATATTTCTTCGAACCACATTTTGTTTCACTTCTCTGACCTGTTCGTTTTCACAGTCGTTCTCAACATTCGCTTCCGTTTTCAAAGTCTTTTCCAGGCTTTTCATCAGTGTGGTCAAATTCCAATCTTCCGGTGATTCTTCACGCATTCGGTAGACACTCTTTTGGATCTCTCGCGAGAATTTCTTCGTAATCAATTCTCTGGTCATTTCGATATCCATTGCTTCTCCGCTAGTTTCCAATTGATTCAAAGTTGCCGCTACTTCGTCGAATAACATCTGTTGATCTTCGATCTTACTCGACTGTGCTTTACAATTCTTGAGTTGTTTTCCCAATTCTTTCACTCGTATTTTGTTGTTTCCAAATTTCTCCTTGATAAAGGCGATTGCTTGCGGATAGTTTTCATTGGTTACTGGGAATCTGCTTGCAGCAATCTTTGCTTTTCCTTTCAATGCATTCATCAAGTATGAAAATTTCAACACATTTGACATATTGTCATTCATATGAACGGCTTCTTCAAATATGGTCCAAAATGCAACGAATTCATTTGGATTCCCATGAAATTCTGGTATTCGTATTTCTGATAGTCCGATGTTCAACGGTTTGTTTCCCGTAACATTTTGTCTTCTTGTATCTCCTGTGTTTGCTTTCAACTTCTTCTTCAGTGTGAATAATTTCGGTCGGTACAAGTTTGTCATGCGATCAGTTTTGTCCTGAATTTCTTCGTTCTTCATCATTTTGGTTTTCACTTTTATTTCGTCCTCTTGTGTCGTTTCCTCAAGCTCATCTATCGTCTCAACCAACTTATCCAACCTTGTTTGTACCTTCGTTGCTAGAGTTTCCATCTTATACATTTCTTCTTCTATCTCATCCACTAGTTCTTCCAACGCTTCATGGTTTCTAGCTACACTCTCCCATACTCCTTGCTTAGCAACTAATTTTAAATACTCTTCTTCAAACAATTTTTCTGCCTTGGTACATAGCCCCAACAGACTCGACAGACTTGACATGTTGTCAGCAAAGTTATATGTTAGTCATGCAATTATAACGGGCAACCAGAAATCCAATTATTTTTAGCGTTATAGGGATGATTAATATTGAGCTGAATCGATAAGATAAGAAAAAGATATTAGAAAATGGAAAGATGATGCAATTTCGTGAATGTATTGCAATTCCGGATGTTTTCTGAATCCTATAGCCGTCGGCTTTTCCGAACTAGATCCCTCAGGCCTACGTGGTAACAACACGAATTTGGAAAATAAACCAATGTTAGAACTATTCAAGATTATCTCAAAAAAAAAAAAGGGAAGAACAGGGTGAATCTATCGTAAATAAACTGACTTGTTAAATTTGCACTGCTCGACTCCGCTTGTCGTCCGCGATAACCAGTTGGTTTCCAAACCCAGGCAAACTGGTGAGCTTCCAAAGCTCCGTATCACTTGTTGTCTGATGGCCCACGAACCAATGAAATTGTTCCAAACGTCGATTGGGTTACCAGGGTGATAACCAAGTCGTCCACAAATTATCCAACTTCTACGTCCAGCCAATTCTTGACGTCACACCAATGTCTTCAACAATGTCTTCGACGTCACACCAATGTCTTCGACGTCACACCAATGTCTTCGACGTCACACCAATGTCTTCGACTTCACAACAATGTCTTCGACGTCACACCAATGTCTTCGACTTCACACCAATGTCTTCGACGTCACACCAATGTCTTCGACTTCACACCAATGTCTTCGACGTCCCACCAATGTCTTCGACTTCACACCAATGTCGTCGAATTCAAACGTTCCACTTAACAGCTGAGTGGCTTCTCTGCTGCACACGTTTGCGTCCAAGTTCGAATTGTCGATGCACCAATGTTTTGACACCTCAAACTTGGGTAATTAAACCTTTTATTTAATAAACGAGGCAAGAATAAAATATAAGTAGGTTATAAAACTAACAAAAATACAAATAGAAAAAGCAATAGTTCATAGCGAACCACAATGTTAATAATGATTGATCATCGTTGTAACAATCACAAATATTGCATCAATGGGCGTGTCTGAACAGTGCTAACGAGCACAATTTTTCAAGTTTTCGAATTTGGAGTGTTGTTGCGGGTCGGCGGAGAATTTGACAAGTATTCAAAAAAAACTTTTTTTGTTCCAACTAACCATCATTCTGAATATATAAAATGCTCTGAAATATCAAGATATTCGAATATTTGATTTTTTGAAAAACTAACTAAGCACACGATAACAACGAGATAATTGAATGACATTTTCGAAAAATGTCCAATCTATCGTCTATCTCACGTTCCTCTTTTCTCAGTTTTTTTCAATATCTTGCAGGTTTTTTTTCTAAAAAAAAAAAGAAAACAACCATCTGTCAATCGTGTATCAAATTTTTGATGCAAAACAATATCATGCGATAATCCGATTTGCGTTTTACTACAGTCGCCCTCCGCCATTTTTATTTTCGATCGAATTATTCAAATTTGCGCGTTTTTATTCCAATTTTTGGCTCAATGTCAATAAAAATCAATTCGACAATATTAAATTGATAAGAACATTCTAACCTCCACCCATATGATAATAAAAAAAAAAGAAAACAAATAATGTTGATTGGAAGTTTCTTCGAGCAAATCGAATATTCTTTTTTTAGTATAATTGTTCATTTATTTTTTGATTACAAATTAATAATCATTTTTAGTAGAATTTTTAGCCTTTCAATTTTTTTTTAAATTCTCTCTATAATTTTTGACACATTGAACAAATGTTTCATTTGGCTTCAAACAATTTTTTGATCTGAACAATGCAAGGCTGAAAGAGCTGTTGGTCGACAGATGAAAACACGACGAAATAAAACAAACATATATCAGCTATCTGTTCTTTCTCTTTTTTCCAAACTCGATATCAAGAAGACAATATTTCTTGTGTTGAGATCAATCAATCACCGGCATGTGCCGCCACTGCCGCCACTCGCATACGTTCGTTCAGTTCGTTCGAGTTTCCTTCGTTTCATTTCGGCTCATTTAACACATTTTTGTCATTTCTTTTTTGAGTCAACCTTTTTTTCGCCTAAAAAATCATACTACCAAAGTTTTGTTTTATTTTATTATAGCATCGTCATCGGGTCTGTTATCAATTCGCGATTCGTTCGATGCCCTCGCTTTTTTTTATGTCTTCGTATTTCGACCGAAAAAGAACTTTTATACCCTTCATAAATAAATTCTTATTCATTTTTCTTCCTTTTCTCATTTTTTTTTTGATAAAATACAAAAATTCAAGTGATAAAACTAATAAAAATGATAAATCTCTTCGATATTTTTTCACAAGTGATATCATCATTTCTCATCGATATCATTTCAATATTATAATTTTCAATATGCGCTAATAAGAAAAAAATATGGAAAATCTCATTTATAATTAATTTTTTGCTTTTTTAAACTCTCAAAAAATTAATTTCCTTAATACCTATTTCCCAAATTTGTTGATTCTTTAAATGCCGAAATATTTCGATAAATTATTGTTCCAATTAGACATTGTTTCAATTTTTGTTGCTCAATCAACTCTAAACAAAAGAAAAAACGGCGAAAAGTGCATTTGTGATGGGTTCGAGGAGATCAAACGAAAATCGTTCGGGTTGATCGGTGTGCTGCGGCCGGCGTCGATCTACAATTTTTGTCGGCAACCAAGTCGGTCTCGAAAATGATCGATCGTGGCGAACGCATTTCTTTGATATAATCGTCGTCCAACACTTTTCATCTCGTTTTATCAATTTTATTTTGTTCTGCTTCCACCCTTGATAATATCATAACCTCATTCGCTTCCAATCATTCGATTTTCAGTTGAGCTCGTCTCCTCGAACACCAAATCGAAAATGTGGTTCGACATCAATCGGTTTCATATGCTGGTGCTCATCACCTGGCAATTTTCGATTTTTTTCGCCTCGCAGCAAATTTTTCCGATTTTCTCCAATTATTTGCCACAATTTCAATGCGGTTAGTTGTATTAGTTTGTCTTTTTTGAATCCGCGCCGACTGATGCTTCCTTTGCTGCTATCATATTAAGTGTATCAAGTGGAACGGTCAAATGAATTATTTCCGTTCAAACAAAAATCAAAAAAACTTTTTGAACACTTCAACATTATTTTGCCTAGGTGATGGCGAGCCAACTTCGGATTGCGACGTCTACAGATCATGCAAATCGAATATCACTTTCGTGAATGTCGCATTCCAATCAGCCGCAATGGAATTCAACTGGATTTGCGACGATTTGTACTATCAGACATTCTTCTCGCAAACTCAATTCGCCGGCGTTCTTTGCGGTACCGCGAGTTTCGCGTCAGTTCCTCATTCCGAATTCCAGGCACCTTCTCATTCGGCGCCGTGTCCGATATTGTCGGCCGGAAACCAGTCGCCGTGTTCGCATTGGGTCTCGGAATCTTCACAAATTTCGTTACGGGTTTAGCACCAAACTATCATATACTTTATGTGATTCGGTAAATCAGCTTCCGAATCGCGTCTATTCTAGTCAACGCCTACTCGCAGATTCTTCGTTGGCCTTTCGGTCGGTGGAACTCTTGTCGTCGTGTGCACATTCGTCATGGAAATGCTGCTTCCGAAGCAGCGCATGGCACTTCGAGCATTCTTCAACTGGGTTCGTGTGCTCGAATGCGAAACCAATCGCGGTTTGTTGTAGGGAGTCGCCCGACTCATGATGACTCTCATCGCGATGGCGCTGCCTGAATGGAGGATGTCGTCGATCGCGTGTGCGTTGGCAGCTCTGCCAGCACTGTTGATCATTATTCTGGTGTTTCCCGAGTCTCCGACATGGCTTCACAACAAGGGAAGGCTCGAAGAGATGAAGAAGAGCGAGAAGCACATTGCAAAAGTCGCGGGAGTTCCATATCAGCCAATTCAACACGAGAAGATTGAGCACACCAAGGTGGCTATCAACAAATCAAGTAATCGAAGAAGACAAATTTTCAGACAATTTTCGAAATGCTTCGAACAAAAGGACTCTTCAAAAGATTATTGGTCCTTTGGTGCATGTGGTTCTGTGCTTCGATTTGCGGATACGCCACTGATCTTTATTCGAACACCATCAGCGGAGACTTGTTCGTCAATCAGATTCTCTTCTCGATTCTGATTGCCGTTTCGAAAATGGTAATCAAGAAGCGTCTAGTTGACAATGTTAAATGATTCTCCAAGATTCTCGTGCTCTGCGACACCTACTTCCCGGAATTCAAGCGTCGCACACTTCATCAAGGTGCTCAAGCGATCGTGTGCATCTGTTTCCTCGCCATCACCGTCATGAAATACTACGACTACACCGTATAGTCAACTGTTTCGAAACGAATTGAATTCTCGCGCTTTCAGGGTGTCGCATTTCTCATCATCAATCTGATGGGCACCGTATTCATCGAATACACATGGGATGCTTGCTATTTGTGCGCAGTCGAGAGCATGGAGACGGCGTGTCGCGCGAGTGCCACCGGCACCTGCTCATTGGTAGCGCGCATTGGAGCGATTATCGCGCCATTCGTAAGATTCTCTCCATCTCCTCTCACACACGCTCATTCTGTTTCAGCTGAGCTTGGCCAACCAATGGTGGCCGCCATTCATCTACGCAACCGTCGTCGCCCTCGGCACCATCAATCTAATCGTTTCCTATTTCTTCCTGGTGAGTTTCATCGTGCCTTCAACACGATTAGGCTGTTTGTATATTAAAGGTGGAAACCAAGAATGTCAATCTTGACGCTGTTCACATCGACGCGACCGAAGACGAATCATCTCCAATGATGACCGAAAAGGAAAGGAATGAAGCTTAAACCGGCGAGATGTGATTCTCCTCAGAAATGTACAAACTATATCTAGCTAATTTTGTTTTCTAGTCTTCGCCAGTTTGTTTTTTTTTCAATTGAACAAATTCATTGCATTAATCACGATAACCTCAAATTGATTTTGAATTTCGAATTTCGAATAATAATCAAGAGCAATTAGCACACAATTTTCGACTTTTCCACCCCACAAACTGCTTCGCGATAATCCCGAATTCTAAAAAAAATATTAATTTAATTTGAAATAAAATAAACGAGCAACGAACATTTCGAGAATTTGATCAATCAGCGGCCATTCGACTCCAATCCGCTTTTTCACTTTTTTCTCCAATTTTCCATTTTCATATTCCTTTTTTGCATCCAATATTTGCCACTAAATTTGATTCAAATGATTGAGCCTAATCTCAATATTAGAAAAACCGCATCGGCTGCGACCACCAACGCCACATTATAAGCCGCCAACAGTGCACCCTGTGGTGCCGAATGAACACACACCAATGATTTAACGCATTCGGAAATGGTGTCGACGCCACCATTTCGGTCTAATTTCATTGTGGTGTTCACCAAAGTCGCTTGCCAATTTTCGAAAAATTCGCCAATTTCTTCGCTAAAATTTTTTTGTTCAAATAATTTCGAAGAACGAGATAGAATCACCGGAAGAATGTTCCGAAAAATTGGCCGATTCTCGAAACTGCGTCAAATTGCGGAACAATAAATCGTTTTTGATAAATATAGGCGAGAATCTATAATATTTTTTTCGTTCAATTTTTAGAAATCTCATTGGGTTGAAAAAAAATGCATACGACTGGCATATCCGATGCTTTGATCTTTGGTAGAATAAATCGATTCTCATGAGAAACCATCGTTAGAGTATCGTTTTGGACGCTCATATGTTTGATGAGAGCTGTGCGGAGCAGCATGCTCGAATTGCCGAGCACTGCTCCGTGCACGTGATAGTTCGACGGAGATCCATCGCCAACAGTGATCACCCAATCCGCTTTCGCGACTTTCTCGCCGGCCAATATTTGGCCGAGAATTCGATCGCTGTTGCAAGAGACCGGCGCGACTTTTCTACAAATTCGAATCGTTAAAAAAAGAAGAGGGCGAAGGAAGGGATTACGGTGAGAGATTGACATATTCGTCAACGTCGAAATAATTTTCGTCGATCGTCATCTCAACACGAAGTTTCGCAGCGCCGTCCTGAACACGTCGAACATCTCAAAAAGAAAAAAAACATTGAGAGGCACCTTGGTGATGTTTTGAAGAGAAGACAGCGAAATGAGAGTGGAGCATTTGTATGATCCATCGTGCTCCGGCGTCAATTCGACGACTTCCGATACCGGGCCGATCCGGGCGGTCACATCGCGCAACGATGGCTGCGGTTGTTTCATCGAACTCGGAAAACCTTGATAAACAACATTTCGAGCAAGCATTATAATGCTAACCTCCTTTAGTCATTCCAACCGGATGTCGAAACGTGTGGCTGATTGGGAATAGCCGAAATTCGCATAGTTTTCCTCAAATATTTCACTCCAATTCATTTTTCCCCCAATTTTTTTTTGTTGCAAACCTTGTTGCTCATCATCAAATGCCAATGTTAAAGCATATGCATATGTGTACATTACGCATTTATGTTGTAAAATGAGAGTATTCGATTGAATTGTATTTCCAATATCTTTCATTTTCTAGAAATTTCTTTTATATACAATTTTTGGGACTGAATATGTATTGTCGAAATCAAACGACTTGACGAAATTTAAATAATTATTGGCTATGTGCCAATGCGTCTCGAGGCAGCGAGAAATACGCGATATTGCGTACATCGAAGTATACAGTACGCGCATTTAATATTCAGTCAACGAAAAATTTAAATCTACACTGATTTCGCGAATTTGAAGGCCCAGCCTCCCCTCAATCGTTTGACGCCGACAATATTGTCGACGGCGGAAAATTGGCTAAATATCAAAAGAGGCAGGTCTTGGCGCAGAAGAAAAGGTGTAGATTTACGGGCCTATGTATTAGGATAGATTAAAGGCGCACCACTCCGCGCCCTGAGACCCCATTTTTGAATTTTTTCGCATTTTGCCGATTTTCCGCAGTATATACATAATTACCGCAACACCGTCTGGATGAAGTTTGAAATTGAATGAAAAACGAATTCCCTCATCAGCGAATTCGTCTTTTGCCTGTATTTCAGGAATAACATCGAACGAACTCCCATTTGTGTACAAATTCTCATACGCTGAAATTTTTTGATCAAAAAATGGGTTGGAATGAAAATGAAGATTAGAATTATTAATTTGATTTATTATTCTTACCGTATTCTGAATGACTTTTCAAATAATAAGGTTTAGTTTCAAACGGAAATTTAAATTTTAATTATTTTGTTAAGAGATCAGAAAGCAGCTACTCATTAGTCTTATCTGTTATTTGCTAAGCGGTGTGTGGTGAACTGCGTGCGGACCCGGCAATTTGATATCAAAAAAAAAATCGGCGAAACAAAAAACTCAATGTCCATTGAATAATTTGGGATACCGTGAAAATTCGGCATTTATATTTCGAATTATCGTTGAAAACATTTAATAGCCGAAATTTTGATTTTCGGCAATTTGCCGAATTGCCGAAATTTTGATTTTCGCGGACCCCCGTTTCTTCGGATCAAGGTTGTTCGATGCTTTCCCCGAATTGCTCCAAGCTCGCACGACGCCCATAGAGGCAATTTGCGCCCAAAAAGTCAGTTTCACTATTATTCTTTCAGCCCAGGTCCCATTTGGAATTAGCCAAACCTTTTTCATCATGCTGAATTAATTGGGCCCCATTTGGCAGATTAACATCGAACGTCTCCTGTTTTAATTTCTCGGCCAACTGAAATTGATTGGATAGTGAAGAGAATGGGGACGAGAATCATACCGAATCAACATTTTCCAATCGTTTGCTGTCGATCACTTCAATGCAGCTCATTCTATCACCTTTTTTTGTATTAATGCCAGACGAATTCAATTATTAGATCACGTCATTCAATTAAAAATATTTCAATTTATTTTTGAAGTAAAAATGAAAATTAAAACTAATAAAGAAAATTAAGGAAATCAAGAAAAATATTGCTCGAATGAGAAATGGAGAATTTATTTGAAACGTTTATTAAAATTCATATCTTCCGTATAATTTCACGGTGATGTCTGGTAAAATATTATAACAAATCGATATCATTTTAATGCATTCAGAATTAACCGGACAGTTGTCTCGACATTTCAGCCACTGAAATTGATGGTTGTTGATTCAAATTTCAAAAATGATTCGCGATTGATCGAATTTACCATTGCGCATCGCAAAATCGCGCTCTGACATGAATCGCTTCGTACTTGGATTTTCGCAAAATTCTGCATTACTTCAATCCTCAATCGTTTATATTTGATTCCTTCGGGAGGATAGACGTCGAACAAATATTGCGGATCGAATGTATCATTTATCATATAAGCTTCAGGAAATCCGACATTTTGTGCCTTGGCTATTCGAAGCAAAAAACACAATGATATTAAGGAGCATAATGAATTCATCGCAAAATTTAATGACAAAATGAGATTTAAAACTAGATATTGCCAAAAACACGTCATTTAATTTTTCAACTCGTCTCCGCCATTTTATTCCGTCGATTCAACTTCTAAATTTATGAATTCGACTAAACAAGCCTTCCATGCGGGTTGGCGAATACGCGGCCGTGAATTATTCGGCCATGGCACATTCCACGTCCGCCATTATTTTTTTTCGATTTTTAAAAATGTTTTTGCTAATTTTTCGCCAATATCTTTTATGAATTAACATTAAAAAATGTAAAATAATTTGAAAAAAAAAAGATTTCAAGGTGCGAAGTTTCAAAACGACTTCGATATTTTTTTGTATGTAAATAATTCTAACAAGGGAGGTCATTTTGCTGTCCGTCTTAAAATTTTTTTATTTTTTGCATACAGATTCTTTAGAAAATTTCCAATCGAATGAACTAGGTCCCTACCTGCGCAAACTTCTAGTTATCGAGATATGGACCTTCAAAGTTTTAGCCCCTCCCCACGTGAATTTTGCATACAAATGTGCGGAATCTCGAAATGAAATAACGTGATGTCTTATCTCGCGCTTTTATCCCAATTTGGCAAGCAGTTGTGGTTCAGTGGTGTGTAGGTTATGTGTCATGAATTCGAATGGAGTTGCTGATTCGGTCCCACAATCTGTAAACTTTTTTTGCGTATTTTTTTATAGGTGATACAGTAATTATGACAGTGCAATTTTGCGTTTTTCCATTCAAATTTGCCATTTTCATCATATTGAAAGGTCATGTATACGAAAAAAATAGTTTTAAAAAAATGATCAAAAATTGAAAAATTTTTTATAAGTTATATGATTGTTGATCATGAAATGCTTGGAGCAGTGGTTGTCACAATAGAAGGCTTCAATAAAAGATTTTCACTAGCTGTCTAACTGTACTGGAGCAATTTTTGAATCTTTTTTTTCTGGGTGACATATTTAACCGTATTATGTCATGACAAAGGATTTGATGAGAAGGCTTCCCCAAGAAGTTGTGTTCCAGAGTTCTCGAAACAACATGTTGAAGACCGAAACAATTCCTGCCGGTTGCACCGGTTTCGTACAACTTTGGACGTCGAAGTTTTTGTGAGCAGGAAATGCAGTCTTCTATTGTGACAACCACTGCTCCAAGCATTTCATGATCAACAATCATATAGCTTATAAAAAATTTTTCAATTTTTGAACATTTTTTTAAACTATTTTTTTCGTATACATGACCTTTCAATATGATGAAAATGGCAAATTTGAATAGAAAAACGCAAAATTGCACTGTCATAATTACTGTATCACCAATAAAAAAATACGCAAAAAAGTTTACAGATAGTGGGACCGAATCAGCAACTCCATTCGAATTCATGACACATAACCTACACACCACTGAACCACAACTGCTTGCCAAATTGGGATAAAAGCGCGAGATAAGACATCACGTTATTTCATTTCGAGATTCCGCACATTTGTGTGCAAAATTCACGTGGGGAGGGGCTAAAACTTTGAAGGTCCATATCTCGATAACTAGAAGTTTGCGCAGGTAGGGACCTAGTTCATTCGATTGGAAATTTTCTAAAGAATCTGTATGCAAAAAATAAAAAAATTTTAAGACGGACAGCAAAATGACCTCCCTTGTAAGTAGTGGATTTGCCAAACCTTCTTAACTTAAATTCAACTTAAATTTTCTAAAAACGGAACGCGGAACAGGAAAATGTCACGGAAGGAAGCTGTGCTTCAATTCGACATTATCGAAAATATATTTTTTAATATATTTGGTGCAATTCAAAGTACAATAATTTATTATAATCAAAACTCAAAAGTGCCAATATATTGATTATAGGTGTCCTCGGGTATATTATAACATAAAGCGGTCATTTTCAGACACGCAGATCTATCATATTGGCAATCACGCGTACATTTCATCCACTGAAAATTTGAATTCGATTTAGATTTTTGAAAAATCTAATCGAATACTTTGGCGCATTCTTTGATATTTTTTTGGCATTCTGTGTTCCTCGTCGAATATTTGAATTGATTCTGAAGTGTTTCGACGCGAAGAAGCTTTACCTTCACAGAGGGTTGTTTGATTACATCGAATAAATATTCCGGTTTTTTTTCGTATTCTAATATTCGTTTAAAAATAAATGATAATTGTCATTTTTTTCGATGAAATACCTTTATTAACAATTATTTCAGCAACAGTATGGAAAAATAGAAGAATGAGATAAATCACGAGAAACCGTTTCGTCATTTTTTACATAAAATTAAAAAATGATTATAGAAACGATTGAAAATCACGGTTTTAATAAAGTTGAATTATGTTAAAATGTGTGTTTTCTTTATTATACAATTCTCCCCATAACTATGTAGTTTTGTGGAAATAATTTTTTCCACTTTTTTGTGAAAATGACGAAATGTTTTAAATTGTTATTTTTTGTTAAATTTTATGAATGTATAGTCGGCGTCCGGCCGTCGACTGCTGTACGCGGGTAGATTTACGCGCATGCGCCTTGAAGAGGTCTCGCCACGCGTGAATGCTTATTTTGCTGTTATCACGTGAACAGCTTCATTTTTCTTGATGAGATTGGCATTTTCTTGAATTTCCAACCTCATTCAATTAAAAAATTACCGAACCAGTCCATAAAATTTGAAACAACCTGTTAGTCCTTGCGAGACCATTTCGAAAGACACATTCCCGTAAATCTACCCGCGTAGAGCAGTCGACGGCCGGACGCCAACTATAACATGAAACTAATAACAAATGCGCATATTTTTCTAATTGAAACCATTTGTGGAGCTATTCGCGTTTTCAAGTTATTCGACAAAATTTGGATGGGTATATAGTTATGTGGAGCACTGTAGTGTATATTACACGAGCACCCTGTGTAGATTTACGGTGAGTTTGATTCGCAGTTTATCCGGAGTACGGTATCCAAAATTTCATACTTGCAAATTTTCGGGCCGACCCGCAACGACACTCCAAGTTTACATGCAACGACAACATCGTTCCCGTGTACACTACAATAGAGCAGAATTGATTCTCATGGAACACAAATTGCTCAGAAGTTCCCAAACCAGCTTTCACTGTATTTGTTTATAATAAAGTTTTTGCTTAAATCTATTAGCGGGTCTTGGCGGATTGGTGACCCCCCCCCCCGACTCCTTTTGTAAATTCAAATTTGAATTGCCGCCTCAAAAAGTGCAATGGTCCACAGTTATTTTTCGCGATTTTTTTTCATACTTTTTTCTGGTGTTAGACTTCATACTAATCGATACGGCTCGAAAGGATTGCTCTTTTAGTGTGCAAATCAAGTTTTTTCTCGGGCGTCTGGCTTTTTTTGTTGTTCTCACACTTAGCAAAAAAAACTTATGAGCGTATTCATACAACAAAAAAAGTTCAGTGACTCGCCTCCTATCTCCGATTGGTAACGACACTCCGAATTTACGAACAAAGTTATTTTAGGTTTAAAATGATGTGAAATTCGCTAAAGTTGGAAAAAATAATAATTTTTTCCGGTTAAGAATTCTCATTTTGATTTCAAACTTATCGAAGAATTGCCAGGAAAATTAATCGAGAAATCACACCGCCGAAATCGCGTGGTGTCCTTTGGAAAAGGTATAAAATGATCAAAAATTACGAATATCCCATCACTCGACTAACCCAAAACCAACTAACCAAAAGAGGAAGATGCAAAGGAAGTTCGCGTAAGTCAACTGGAATCGGAGCATGTCAGCCTGATCGCACCGATTGTAGGATGAAGCGTACCCACGGCGGAAACATTATCGACAATAGCGAGAATCCATCGCGCGACGCTCCAATCAATCATACAATCATCCCGATCGAGCCATCTATGCCGATCGTTCAGACTCATAATGCGCCGAATGTGAATCCATTGGGTTGGTTGTTCATGTGTTCAATACAAGAATGATTATTTCAGCCATTGCCGCGAAAGAACTCAAATTCGCATGCCAATTGGCGCATGGTTCACCAGTTGCAATAATTCACAAGTGGTCGGATATTAGTGAGCTGTACCAGTCGATTGCTGACTGCTTCTCGATTCCGAAGAGCGACATCATGTTCTTGACGGTGAACGATTTTCGCCTTGACATGAGAAACCTGTTCACCGGAACGTTGAACTTCAAGGACATGCTTTATGCCCACGTTAGAGGACAGGCGATCGAGTTGACCGTTTTGAAGGATTCGGCGTAAGTTCGATAAAATCTAAAAGAAAAAAGAAACTAGTTTTGATTTTTAGCAACTTTGGTGTGACGATCACGGATAACGGCCTCGGAAACGCTTTCATAAAGATAATCAGTGCCGGCTCGGTGTTCGACCGAGCGGCTCCAGCCACGAGGGTTGGACAGATCATTGAGAAGATCAATGGGGAGAGTGTTCTCGGTCGTCGTCACTACCAAGTGGCTCGAATCCTCAAGAATATTAAGAAGGGCGAGACTTGTACAATTCGACTTATCTCGCCATTGGAGCCATCGACTGGCGTGAAGATGCCCAAGCAGAAGTTGGCTTCATCGGCTGATTGCTTGAAGGGAACCATTCGATTCAAATCGGACGGAGGATTTGCCGTCGAGGATATTCAATCTCAGATAATTCAAGCCGAAATGTGCGCGAAACTGAACGAAGTGTTCGACAACTACCTCGGAGTTCAAGACGATCAGCTTGCGATGCGCATCTGGGAGACCGCTTCCAACTGCGAAACACTCTTCCAGCTCAGCAATGCAATCAAAAAGGTTTGATGAGCCATTTGGGAAGATGAGAAGAGGGTTTTTTGTTTCTTCCAGTCGGAACTAGCCATGTTCGATTTTCCGGACGGTTTGGTGTTCGACATGTGGGGAATAATTGGCGATTTGAAGCGCGAACAGAAGGCAGCGACGAAACAGAAAATGCCGATGAGGAACGCACCAACACGACAAACGGCCATGTCTCTTTTCAATGAAAATTGAATTTCTTCTATTTTTGTAACTGATTCAAATTCCAAAGTTGGATAAAAAACCGATCGCCTCATTTAACTATTTTGGTCACTCAAAACCAATCGGATCCGTGAAATTAGAAATCGGATTCGACAAAATTCGGACCCGTCCGGAATCAATTTGATCCGATTAGTAATTCTACGGATAAGTTTGATAATTTGTCGGGTAAGATTGGTGATTTGTATTTTTTCGGATCCGATTGGAAAATTTTTCCAGTTAAGACAGACAAATTACCAATCTTATCCTTAGAGTTGCCAGTCGGAACGGGTTGATTCCGGAGCCGATTGGTTTTGAGTTAGCAGAGTAATCCAAAGTTGTTCCGATAATTCGAAAAAATTAAAATTCGCGGTTTGACATAAGCATGATCTATTTTTAATAATCAGAGTATTTGAGAAATGTATTCCATTTCAAATTGACATTGCTCAATTCTCAAATATGGTTCGGAAGATTTCTAAAAAATGATCCGATTTCGAAAAATAAGGCCGTATAATTGAATTTTCTTGAGTTCCCCAAAAATGTACAAACCGCGATCCATCGGTGAGCCCAAAATTGAACTCAAAATGTTCAATTCACTTGAACTCGCGATCAACAAGTCGCAATGATGCGGGGGCAAATATATAATCTGCGCTTATGGCTTCATTTGAGCAGAAATCATAAAAGATAAGCATTATTTATACAGTTTCACATGTTTTGCGCGGTCATCGTCAGTTTGTGAGCCCGACGTTCGAACATCATGTAAATACATTAATAAATAGCGCCGCTTTTGTGAGTGACCGCCGTCGCGAATGTGTGTCTGTCTCGATGTGTGTGTGTGTGTCAAATCGAAACGCAAACAAGACGGTTTTTCAGACGGATGTTCGTCAACACTTTTGACCTGCGAACATCGTCGGTCAGCCAGCTGCATCTTTGTTGGCCGCCGACGATTCGGTTTCGGTGTTGCTCATTTGATTGCCGGAAGACAATCGCCGAAATTTGAGCTCACTTTTGTTCTTCCTGTTGTTTTTTATTCCTTCACAGGATGCGAAAATGAGCGATCTAATTATAAAATTTGAATTGATCGATTGATCTCTCGATGAATTTTGCAATTTGCGCATTATTTTAAAAAAAACTGAATTTTGCGCGAAAAATGGTTGTCCCAGTTATTTTATATGACTCTAAATCATCCTAGACTGTTAGTCCAATCGCCACAAATTCCTTGTGGATTCTTTCAGTCAGTACTTGAACAATTTTGCTGATTTTTGTCTACCGAATGCATTCGTTTTTCCATCTCCCCTCCTTTAGGGAAGACCGCCCATCGAGCATCTGTTGCCCTTGCTTAAAGGGTCCCGAACCCTCGACATTGATCGCGTATCTTCTCGATGATGATCTCGTTGTTGCAACCATCACTTTAGCTATATTCCACTTTAGCGATATTCTGTTGCAACCATCACTTTAGCGATATTCTCCAAGCTTCTGTTCTGCGGAATCGAAGAGCGGTATATTTAATTTCAAATAATCTAGTCGTTCTTGATTCGATTGAACCCTTCCCGTGCTTCGTTTTTCCTTTTGTGCATCTCCTTAACTCTCTCGTTTTTGTGTATTCCAATTTGATTTTTTTTTCCAATTTACTCATCAACATCAGACTGAGAAGTTGCCTAATTTATCCAATTCTTTTAGTTTACCATATTTGTACATTGAATAGAGATGAGAAAAATGTTCCAAAAATACAGTCATGTTTGTAAATTTGTTTAGTATCAATTTCGAGTTTTCTCCGCCTCCCGTGTTGCTTTTTTTTCGCCTCCAAATTTTTAACGTAAGCCTAAGCGACCGAATCGAACTTTTGAGCGTTTCCGCCGCAATAATTGTGATGATTTTGAAGGGCGCGTCGACTCTCCACAAACAGTTTGTTGAATGTGTGTGTCTATCCATTTTTATCTCGACTCCCTCCCCAATTCCGCGGCCCGGCCTTCCCAATTTCGGAGTCGCACGCGCGTGTCAAATTCGGCCAGGCGCCGAGACGCGCACTCGCTATTTCGCCGCGCTCTCGAGTGCAGTTCACGCGCTTCGCCAGACCTCTTCAGGAGACAAATATCAACAGCATTTGAGAAGAGCGAAATGAATAGCCTCTAACAATTCTTTTTTGCGCACTTTTTTTTTCAACGTTCACCTCAACGTTGCATTATTTTTTCTAACCAATATCGCTTACAAAATCCGGTTTTTTTGTGCTATGGGTTGCTTGATTCTGCTACCGGCCACCGGCCTATTTGATACCGGTTATTTTTTGCGTATTTCCAAAAAAAAATGCCGATAGTCCATTTTTTTCAGCAGTGAAAATTTCCATTTGCTTCATTTTTTACAAAACTAATTAAACAAAAAAATCTCGATAATTTTAGAAATTGAAAATTACAGTACGATTACGGTCACATATTTACTCAGCTGAAACCTTAACAAATTTTGAAAACTTGCAATTTCTTATTGAGTTCGACTAAAAAAAAAGGAACAGACGGTTTTCTGAGAAATTTCCATCAAAAATTTTCGACAATTTTTTTTTTCGCAGAACTCAATAAAAAGCTGCCGCCGTCATATACCGTATTGGACGAGTTTGATTCGCAGGTCATCCGTAGTACGGTACTCAAATTCCCAGTGTTTCAATTCAAATTTGAATTACCACTTTGAAATATTGTAATGATAATATATTGTCAAACATCTGAACGAAATTTTAAAAAAAATTATTGGCTATGTGCCAATGCGTCTCGAGGCAGCGAGAAATACGCGATATTGCGTACATCAAAGTATACAGTACGCGCATTTAATATTCAGTCAACGAAAAATTTAAATCTAAACTGATTTCGTGAATTTCAAGGACCCGTCTCCCTTCGTTTGACGTTAAAAATATAATAATTTAATCAAAATAATTTTAAATTTGCCAATTATTTATTATAACCATTGATTACGACTTTCAGAAAAAAAAGACAGTTTTGAAATTGAGTGGTCTTATGTTCTCATAGGCATTTGAAGTTTTTTTTTCCAGAATTTGAATTCCTGAAAACAGAAAATCAGCATTAACAAGACAATCGACTTAAAATGCGCAATGCTTCTTATTTGCCGATGATTTTTCGTGTAGTTCGCAAATTGGAAAACTAATCAAAAATCTGGTTTAGCTTGCGGTGTGGTTAGCCAACTAATGCTATGGGATTAACCTGAAAAAAACTGGAACAGTGTTCATATTATCATTCTCTGTATATTATAAACTATGCGAGAAACTTCATGCTCGCTCAGGCTCGATTCTCTCATTGGCATTTCGATTGCCGATTTCTAAATGTCTCTCATGTTCATTCTGTAGTTTGCTCAATGGAATTCCTGAGATGACAGAACCAAAGATTGTCGTTCAACTTGTTCACACCGGAAGTCGACGAAAAGGGCTCGATTGTATGCGCGCACATATATATATAACATTCGCATATATTCAATTGAATGGTATTAGATGGGCGGAGCATGTGCGGAGCAAGTGCGGTGAGCACACTCTGGCGAGCGCATTCCGCCGTCGCCGCAACTCCTTGTTGTGTGTCTGTTGACACTGTTTTTCATCAGATTATTGTTATTATTCATTTTTTTGCATCTTTTATTTCGAGTGCCTGGCTTTTTTTTCTTTTTCCTCACTCATTTTTATTTATTTGCACTCCTCATGCGTTTTTATTTCGGTATTTTCTGCAACCGACACATTCCAATCGAGAATTCAAAATAAATAATAATTTGTTTAAAATATGTTCGATTTTGGTTCAACCTCATTAAATATAGATTTATTTTTTTTGAGAAAAAATTACAATTGCCAAATTTGAAAAATGCTCTATAGAGAATGTTGCAGTATTTCAGAACATTTCCATTTATTTGCACATCTCATTTTTGAGCAATATCAAATTTCGTTGAGCTCACTGTGTTTTTTTAAACATTCCAAAAAACTGTCGAAATTTTCAGACATTATCCCTCATAAAAACGACATGCCCTTATTTGGAAGACGATGAGATTCGATTGTATTGAACGACGATTTGCACATGCATTCGGCCTTTATAGGTACCATCATTTTTTTCATTTTCAATAATCTCAATTTCGAATCGATTTTCAGCGGAGTCGTTGTGCGACATCCTCTGCCATTCCTCATCGTTCCCCTCATTATTACATTGGCGCTCTCGACAGGATTAACGAGGCATGAGCAGGCTTTTATGAAGGTTCCTCACAACTCATAATAGCTCGAACTATATTCTTGGAATGCTTTAGGATGAGCTCGAACTGTATACACCAACAGATGCTCAAGCTCGAAAAGAGTTGCAGCAGCTTGATGAGCTGTTTCACATCAATGATTCAGATCCATTTTATGCAACCAGGAGGTTCTTATCAACTTTTTTTCAACCGAAAATTTTTGATATCAAATTCGGAAAAAAATCAATTTGAGAAAAATAGAGAAATGTGAATATAATATTGATTTAGGTATGATATTCGAAGAGCTGGCTATATAATTGTAACGCATCGTGACGAAGAAAGCGATATTCTGAATCCTCTCGTGATGCACGCCGCCATGCAACTCTGGAGCATCGTGCAGGTTTGCTCGCTCCGTCAATTCTCATCTCCTCATTCCCTCGATAATTATTGTTCAGTCGATAACCGTTGAAGACGAAGAGGACCATCGTATCAATTACCCATCGATTTGTGTGAAGTTCCCGATTCCGCCCGAGTTCAGCAAAGCGCTTCATTCGCTGTTCGCTCCCAACATGACAGCGTGAGTATCTGTTGTGCGAAACACACACACACACACACATGTAACAATGGTGCAGCGGCGAGTGTTGGATTAGGCGCCGTCGTGTTTGCGCGGATTAGGGGTGCACAGACATTTGTTATTGTGCTCGAAGGTCCCGAACGAGCGATTCAACCCGCGATGCGATGCGCCCCGCTCGTTTCGTCAAACAAACGCGGCGGCGAGATCGCCGCTGCAGAGCCATCAGCAAATCAAAAGTGTCAAAAAATGAGCGCGAATCTCATTCATCCGCAATTGAAATTTTGTTTGCTTTTGAAATCAAGACAAATATGGATGATCGAGAATTATTTGATACAATAAAATCAAGGGGAAATTGATTGCAGACCTGACGAAATATGCGTCTCGAATCCGCTCGTCGAGATATTCAAGCTTCTTCTCGTTTCGGATCGATCATTTTTGAATCGCTCGATCGATGAGATGACACTCAGCCAGATTTCCGATGCGATCCAATTCGATAGTGGTGGAATGACCCATTTACTTGGAGGTGTCACGTTGGATGAAGAAAAGCGAATTGCAGGTTGACAGAGACATGCAGTCCAAGAGTATTCGAGAAAAAAAATTCCAGGAGCAAAGGCTATGCTATTACCATATGCTCTTCGACATTCATCAGAAAACGAAGATTGGGTGGCTGAAAAATGGGAAATTCGTCTCGCTGATTTCCTTCTTCAGTACGATTCGCCGATCATTCGAGCCAGTTGGTGGACATATGAAACACTGGCCGCCGAATCAGCGCGAGATCGAAATCAACTCATCAAGTATGCAAACAAACCAATCAAATTAATTCGAACGCTCCTCGATTACAGTATGCTGTTTCCATGCTTTATTTGTGTCTCGATCTACACTATTGCGTGTTGCTGTGTCTTCTCATGGCGACGTTCTCGACCGTGGCTGGCGATTGGCGGTGTTGTTTCGGCGGCAATGGCGATCGCCTCGGGAATCGGAGCGCTCCTTCTGCTCGGCTATGGAATGACGAGTGTCGCTTATTCGATGCCGTTCATCGTTTTCTGTGAGTACTCGGCGCACTTGTTGACGCCTCGCATGAATGATATTGATGATGATGCGTAGAAGAGCCGATTTGTCAATATTTTCAACTTGAACGCGCATTAACTTTGACCAAATATAGGCTGTCAAGTAGAGTTCATCGGAAATCAAATATGTTTCTACGTTTGGCCTTTGAACTTGATTTATTAAATGATTAGAAAATATTAAAAAATGGTTGCGCGAGAAAATGTGTGCAAACACTCCGACGCAAATGTCGCAGAAAAATCCAAAAAAAAAAGAACTTGACTCATTTGAATCTTCGGTTTTTTCGCAACAAAATCTAAATTCTTTAAACGTATTTGTCTAGTTTCCCACTACTATTATCCACATAATTAATTCTGTATGAGCAGTTTCAACGGAACATCGAGTTTGGATGGTAACCTTAAACTATAATTCATATGAATGATTAGTTAATCGATTTTTCTGGTATATTTCAAAGATTTTTGAATCGAAACCAAGTTTTTAATTGAAAAAACTTTTAATCGAAGGATAAATGCAAATTTCCATCTAATATCCAATTTATTTTCTAATGAGTTTGATAATGATTAATAAAATGAATGAGCATTCAAAGATTCTTCTCGTAAATCGCAACACGAAAATCGATTGATATCCCTGAACATTGTCTGAAAAATAAAAATGCAATGCGAATTTCAGCGGTCGGTGTTGACAATGTGTTCATTTTGCTTTCGGCATGGCGATCAACTCCATCTTCGGCATCATTCGAACAACGAATGGAAGAAACATTTGCCGATGCCGCTGTCTCGATCACCGTCACTTCTCTCACTGATCTCATCTCGTTCGGCGTCGGATGTGCCACGCCATTCCCAAGTGTTCAGATGTTCTGCTGCTATGCCGTTGCGGCTGTCATTTTCACATACATCTATCAGCTCACATTCTTCGCAGCGGTCATGGTGTATACGAATAGAAGAGAAGTATCCAATCGTCATTGTCTTCTCTTCTATAAACTCGACAAGGGAAAAGGTAGGAGAGGCATTTTGAAAAGATGGTTTGCCTCAACTTTTGAATATCGTGTTGCAGATAAATGGGCGGCTGAAAAAGCGGCTCAAGAAGATCGAAGTTTTGAAAAGAACAGCGTGATTTCGCAATTTTTCCGCACCGTTTACTCAGATTTTCTTCTCAACCATATGGTCCGAATTGTGATTTTAACATTATTCGTCACTTATCTCGCCGTTGCCTCTTATGGATGCACAAAAGTCAAACTTGGTCTAGAGCCAAATGATTTGTTGCCGGATAACTCGTATGGAAAACGAACATTGGAAATGGCCGAGAAATACTTTTCAGGTTTTTGAATTAAAAAAAAAAAAAAGACATCAATCTATTAGTGAATATGTATTACAGATTACGGAAGTTCGCTTCACGTGTGGATGTACAATCTATCAACGATTGATGTTGCTCCGCGTCGAATATGGAATGTTCTCGAAAAAGAGATTCAATTGTATGAGCACACCGAGTTCACATCAGGCAGCGATTCATGGCTTCGCACATTTCTCGCGTTTGTCAAACAAGCCGGCCTATTAATCACGCCAGAGAATTTCGTTTATATTCTCAAAAATGTGTTCCTATCGCAACCACAGTTCGCCAAATACAATCGGTGCGTTTTCAACAACAATTAAAAAAAAACAAACAAACAAATCGAAAATTGGACAATAACATTTCAGAGATGTCGTGTTCACAGTCGAAGGCGAATATTTGGAAGCATCGCGTATTCCTGTTCAGCTTAGACACGTCGGCTCGGCGAATCAGTCGCGTGCGATGAGATTATTCCGAAGACTTGCCGAGACCAGCGAACTACCCACCGGCGTCTATGCCGACTTCTTCCAATTCGCCGAACAATACAATGCGGTTCTGCCCGGCACACTTTCGTCGATCGCGTATGCGGGAGTCGCTGTGGTCGCCGTTTCTCTGATTCTCATTCCGGAGCCGATCGCTAGTTTATGGGTTTAATTTTGCTGAATCTCCGATTCATTTCTCCAAACATTCTGTTTTAGGTTTCATTCTCGATTGTTTCTATCAATGTTGGCATTTTGGGATTCATGACATTCTGGTCCGTTCGCCTCGATTTCATCTCAATGGTCACAATCGTGATGTCGATTGGCTTTTGCGTTGATTTCGCCGCTCATTTGGCTTACAACTTCGCAAAAGGCGAGAATCTCGACGCTGATGAGAGAATGAGGAATGCTTTATACGCTGTTGGAGCACCGATTCTCATGTCGGCTTCATCTACAATTCTCGGCGTCTCATTCATGGCTTCTGCGGAGTCTTATGTATTTAGAAGTTTTCTGAAAACGATTATTCTCGTCATTCTTCTTGGTGAATTACATTTTTATTTTGCTTGTTTTTTCAATGAATATCTTTTTTCAGGGGCACTTCACGGACTTGTCATTCTTCCCGTTCTTCTGTCGATGTTTTATTGTGGCGGAGAATCGAAGAAAACGAAAAAGCATTTAGAGGTCAACTAATTGAAAACCCACACAAAATACGGAATTCGAATGAATTCAATCAATTTCAGGAAATCGATAAGAAATTGGCAGCCCAATACAACAATCCAGCACATCGAACGGCTTCGATCCAATATTTGAGTAATCCGGATCTTTATAATACACCCAAGGTTCCATCTCCACCTGAGCCCGAGTTCTCATTGAGCACTCTCAATTTCCCGAAGACGACAACGAATCAGCAGAGTCTATTCCGCGGACAATCCAAACAGGGCTCTCGGCCACCCAAGTACGAAGAGCAAGATCCTGCTCCGCCTGTGCTCAACACCTTCGCTCCATCGATTCTTCCGATGCGCGCCAAACTCAAATACACTTCGAATGAGCCGCGAACACCCGACATGTACTATCCCGCATAGTCTATATTTGGTTCTCACCAAATTCTTCCATGAGGTATAAAACATCCGGGTAACGCATCTAATTACTCCCTAGCTATTTATTGTCTTTCGATTTGTATTTGAAAGTATTTGTCAAAAAAACAACCCCAGTCTTTCCAAAAACCGCTCTCAAAACTGGTACTGCACCGCCGATAAACTACAGCAGATTTTTCTATATCTATATTTCTTTTTTAATAAATTCTTGCGAAACTTTAGATACACATTTTGCGAAGACAAAATCATTAAATGAATTAATTTGTGAAACGTACAGTATAAATTAATGATAAAACAAAAATACAAACAAACAAATAAATAAGTTAATCATCATCGTCGTCGTTGTCTGAAAATGTTGGCTGTGGTCGTTTGCGAGCTGAGCTTTTTGCTGTCCCCACAGCCTTTTTTCCGCGTGTTTTCTGAGAAAACCACTTATTTTCAAACAGGCATTCATTTAACTATAACATTCGCAAAAAAACGAGCACCCTGCGTCAATTTACGGTTTAAAGAGTTAGCTTCGCAGGTTAGCAAGAGTACGGTATCCGAATTCCTACTTTTTAATTTCAAAGTTTAATTACCGCCTGGAAAAATTGCGATGGTCCACAATTATGCAAAGAGCTCGTTTTTTTGCGATAGTAATATAAGTTCTTAAATATATATGTCAAACCTTTGGAGTATAAGCCACCGGTGCAAAATCCTCATTTGTGAATCCTTCTTTAATAATTCGCGAAATGCGAGTCAATAGTTGCTCTGCTTCATGCTGAAAATCGAAATTTTTTCCAATTAATATCTGGATGTAACGCACTCGAATTTCTTCGCTTTTTGTAGTCTTCGCCAAATTGGTGATCATTCCCTGTATATCTTTAGCAACTAAGGAATGATTTAAGAATTTGCTCCAATGTCTCATATTGTCACGAAGCTAAAAAAAAAACTTGGTTTTTTTTGTTTCCATAAAAAAATGCAACTAACTTTATAGAATCCGGAATCAGATAATGTGAACAGTGATAGCGCATGCGATAAGTACATTGGCGAATCTGGATATCCGCCGAGAGTTGCGCTATAATTTAAATGAATTAATTGTTTCGAATCTGATAGATTCTCACTCCAGCGCAGCGAATTTACTGCAAATGCGTTCAGTCAAACTATCCATGCATGAACGAGATTTATCGCGAACCATAGACGTAAGAAGCCTAAAATTAAGAAACCTCATAATCTCGAAAGACAAATTTATAAACTCACGAGAAAATTGTTTTATATTGCGGAAAAGGAAGACGTTCCCCTGTGCACGCAAGTCGAAGTGCAAACTCCGGAATCAGATTGATAAGCACATCACCGCGTCGATTCAAATCTGTGAAGAAGCTCGCCGCAATCGACTGCACAGCAGTCACATCGTCACACAGACAGCGAGCAGGCTCTGAGAGTGCGCCACGCGTTTGGATCATGTCATTCGACATCAGATGCGACAGGACCAAAATAGCGCTTTCTCGAGTTGCCGCGTCGGCATCGCGAGTCCTTCAAACATGTCAAATTGTTTAAATTCAAACGCAGAATCAACTTACATTTTATACAAATTCGGTGCATATAATTCGAACAAGTTTGGTTGCGCGAATGCGAAATCCGAGCAAGCTGCCAGCATATTGGACCTAGTCAATGGATTCGGACTGCGTGCGATCAACGAGAAGAACACTGGGGCTCCAAATTCAGCAATAGATTTACTGAAAACACTCAAATAGCAATTATGCAACAAATTGAAGCGCACTTTAGGGTCATGAATTTTCCATATGCGAAGATTGCAGCTTCTCGTATACGCTCCGGTGTGCTTTCTGCTCGTAATAAATAAACAATGGACGGAAAGATTCGAGAAAGAAGTCTTTTCGCCACCATTATTCTTTCATTGCAGATTTTGTTCGTCAGCGTATGCAGGAAGCTATCAGACGCTCCTTGATTCGAATCAGGCATATAACCGAAAACAGCAGTGTGTTTTCCTGAATAATACTCGAGCTCAGTAAGAAAACGAGCTGGTTCCTCGGGAATAACGACTCCTTTCTGAAAATAACAAGAATCACATCAAAATTCTAAAATTGACGATTTACTTGCAGAGATTTTTTTACTCTAGCTTGATAAACAGCATGAATTTTCGGAATCGAAAGCTGAATATAAGCATGAAGGCGAACAGCGATCTCTCCGCAAAATGCCATATACCTCTCAGTAACTAAAATCCAGAGCCTTCGCCAGTAATTTCTGCAAAATATTCATTAATATTTCAATATTGCCAGTTGAAAATAATTTTTTAAGCAAATCAGGAGTGAAGCAGGGGCTAAAGAAGGGATTGACAAAGCTGGTTCGATCCGAGATCAAAGAATTCCAATACCTACCTTTCAAATCGAAAATTCAAATTTATATGCTAGAAATAGTGATTCCTGCATAGGAGAAGAAGAAGACATCTCCATATTTAGAAAAATGTTTTCTGACAAGCGTAAAAATTACCTTCTTTGCAAAATCGTCGCGCGATTTGCTGCACCGTCCCTTTCCGCTTCTTTTTTAAACATTATATAGAATTCAGCGATTCGTTTTGTACGATACATAAACTTAAATTTAAGAATACATTTCGAAACATTTGAAACTGTTTAGTACTTTGCTGACGAATTCCGGAATAATTTCATTGATGTTTCGGGCAACCCGCATCATAACATCGATTGATGTCTGTACGACTCCGAACCAATCCTTCTCTTCTGTGTCACGCAATACTTCTGAAATTCAAAAAAAATAAATAAATAAAGCAGTCTAAAATAAGATTTTTACCATGGAAGAAAAGTTGTTCAATCGATTTGAATAAAGAATCGTCATTGTCGACGCGGAATGTTGGAGCATCATAATCTTCGGGTAAAACCTGAAAACACAAGTGAACAGTTCTTTTTTGAAAATTGAATGATACCTTTGGAAAATTCAAAGCGCTAATTACGCGAAGTGCTTCAAGTGCAAGGGGAGTGTCCAATGTGAGCATCTTCTGAAGAGTTCGAAGACGATGACGAGATTCGATGACACCATTACTATAAACAATTATTCGTGCCGAATATCAAAAAAATATACTTACCGCGACCGAGTAATAGCATAAAGAACACGAAGCGCATCGATTCGGACATTGATATCTCTATTAATTCCAGACGCGATCTAGAATTTAAAGAAAAATGATAGACATTAAAGCGACAAAGTATTCGTACCCCCCAGATCTTATTAATCACATTCTTCGAAAACGCATCCGATTCTGCGAGTAGATAAATAACTTCTTCGACCGATGTTCTTTCAGACTTAATAATTAACACAATTCAAATCAGACAAATGAAAAATTAAAAAAAAAACCTCCGAAATGCCTTTCATCGAATTCATAACATTCGCAACTGTTGAATCTTCGCGAACTGTTTCTTTTTCATTTCCACCTTTATGCTTGCTAATGAACATTTCGTGTGAGCTTTCAAATAATTCTTTTCGCATTTCTGGTGAATTCCTCCATACCAAAGAGCACATTGCTCGTGTTGCACTTTCCGCTCCCCTTAATAAATTAATTATTTAATTATTCAAAATATAAAGTCATACGTGACATTAAAATTTTTGCACTGAGCTAAAAACTTGATGTTTTCGCGCACTTCTCCCAAATCGCCCATCAGAACACTTCGTAACGAACTTTGAACGCAATCACGAAGATCGTATTCGACTAATAGCTTATTCTAAAAAAAAACAAGTGATTGTTGGAATTCATTTCGCAGAAACGCATTACTATGCATAATTTAATCCGACTTTTGATTTCCTCCTGCTTCAAATGAAAATCGTCAACCTGTTGAGTTTGTATAACTCGCGCTTCATCGTTCATATTATGCTTTCTGAGCTTAAAAATTACCAATAATTAAAACCAATTCGTTAAAATATTCTTACTTCAAACAAGGTGTAATCTTGAGAAATTTTATCAAAAATTTCAGAGCCAATTCGTCTTCTTTCCTCATCGATTGGAGCACTTCGATTTATTCTGAATTTTATTAATTAGACTTCAATAAAAAGTTAAACTCACGGTGGAAGCTCATTTCTTGATCCATAGTAATGAAGAATAATTGTTACCGAGGCACTCGGGTTACTGGTTAAACCTTCGAAAGCGTAAACGATCATACTAAAATAATTTAATTGTCACAATCTAAATATAAGTATATGTATATTATTTCAACATTACAGAAAATGATACTAAAACCCACTCTCTTTGATTTTCTGTCTCTTCAGACATCCCAAAGGGTTCTCCATTCAAATAACTATTTACGTTATTTAAGATATTTTGATTAATAGCTGGAGCTGCTAACGCAAATCGTGCTTCAATATCGCTTAGAACGATATTCGACGGATCCCGCATGAGTTTCTTCTCGCGAATCAATTCTCGCAACTTGTCTTTAGTTACATTCGGATCCAACTGAAATTTTCAATTTCAATTTCTTCTTGATTGTGATGTCGCTTACGTCGTGCCCGTAGGCGTTGTAGGTTAAAAATGCCGACAAAAATTGCACGGCGCTTTTACGAACCAATACAAGTTTATCGTTCATTCGACCACCTTAAATAATTTTTTTGTTTTGTATAATCTAATTTCGAGTCGAATTCAAGAAAATACTCAAAATAACTTGCCGACAATGGCTATCATTCCTCCACTTTGAAGAGAGGGCGGGATTTTCTCGTCTTCCATTAATTTCGTTAGCAAGCCGATTGCTTTTGCTCGAATTTGACCGTGGGTATCCGTTATATGCGACTGAAAACACAAAATTTTACGCAAAATTTTAGATAAATCCTACAAAGAATCGATTATAAATTAGAAGGCGTTGTCGTCGCCGATTCTCGTATCTCGAGCACGTATCATTGTTGAGGAAATTCGATTTCAACACATCATAGAGAACCGTTAAACCAGCCGATCGAAGCAGCGAATTCTGGAAGACGTGAGTTTAAAAGTTCAAAAAAAATTGAAAAATATGAACTCACTTCGCCTTGGAGTAGGCAGAAAACTGACGACAAACTTAAAAGAATTATATCGGGAGTATGCTCGCCGATCGCCTGTATTAATAGGGAAAGAGGCTTGACATTTGAGAATGGGACGGATGTTATTGCACAAGCAAGTTTGGCGATTTTCTCGAGAAGTGGACGAAGAGCATCTGAAAAAAAAAAATCAAATAGGAGGAAATTCAATAATATATCAATAAACGATTTCACACTTTTTAAAGGCTCGTTTTCTGCACCAACTACAACAAGCGGCTCATAAAACGGATACGTGTTACAGCCTTCTCGCAGATATTCAAGACTCATGGTTTTCTCAATTATCTTCTTCGCCATATCTATAATAAATAAATTGTATCAAAATGTTCACATTCTCTCAAAAATCACCATCTTGTTTTTTATAATCGATGGCAAGAATTTTGATGATTCTGAAAACTTTAACGAGCCATTTGTGAGAACTATTACGAGCACAATCCGGATCATCCATCAAACTAAAAACTGTATCCAAAAACGTTCTGAAAGACGACATTCAGGCAATAATATTATGCAAAAAGTAAATACTTGAGGAAATCAGGATCCATTACATCTGGTTTCCAAATGTATTCGATACACTTGTATCGATCGTTAATTTTGAGCGTCAAAATATCGCAAAGACAGTTGATCATCTGGAAAATGCTCAAATATGGATTAGAAGAAGATAAGAGCGATACCCGAATTCTCTGCACATTTAGCCAATTGTGGGTATCCTCGTCCATGTCATTAACAGCAGCACGTTTTCCTTTTCGACCAACTGCATTGTTAGTCGCTTCGCGTTGTCTTAAAAATATGAAACAATTATTCAAACAAACTCATTTCAATTGCTAACCGTTTTGACACATAAAGTTGCAATTGCACTGTGATTCTTTGCACAAGAACAACAAACATTGAAAGCGTTTTCAGCAGTAACGGATTTTTAGGCGTCTCGGTCTAAATAATAATTTAAAAAAAAAATTGTTTTACACATAATCAATTAGAAACCTCATTTTTAATAGCCTCGAAAACTTCTGTAGCATGATCGACGACAGCATCTTTTAAGGGACCAGAGCCTTAAATTATCATCAATAGAAATCATTCAGATTCAATAAGCCTACATGAGACGAGATAATCAACGATTTGAAATCGAATTTTCCAGTTGTCGTATGTTGAAATCAAACTTTAAAAAAAAATAGAAAGAAATATACGAATCACATTCATATTTACCTGGTAACGGAAGCGAGAGTATCGAAATATTTAGGAATTCCTTTCCAGTCTGAGACATCTGCATACAACGAGAAATCTAGAATCTATTTGTTTCCATTCAAGACAATTTCAGAAAATTTACCCCTAATGTCTGATTCAATTTTTAGCGGATCCAAATCGTTGTTGATTTCGGCAAGCATTTGCGAAATCATTACAGAATCCCTGAAATATTCCATTCTTCCTTCATCAATTTTTCGAATTTTAATTTAATACTCACTCATCTGTAAGAAGTTCCTCGTCGAATAATTCGCCATCGACACTCCCAGAAACTACTTTATAATTCCTAACCATCTGTAACAATTTATTCAACAATTTATAGTAAAATAAGAAAAGGAAATATCAAAATCGAGCAAACGATTAAAAATTAGAAAATTAGAAATAAACAGATTGAAAATATTCATTGGAGCTTTTTAAAAAATTATCGATTTAATGCAAAACTTTGATTCCATCTTTGATATGAACTTCTGAATTCGGCCTTTTGAATCTCTAATTGCAACAGGAAGATATGGTGTGTTATGAAAAATCAGCAGTTCCACAATTGTGTCATTAACATATTTATTAACAATTAGAGCGATTCCGCCAAACTTGGCATTCCTAAAATTTGATTCATTCGACGGATTGAATAAAGTGAAAACCTACTTTACAATTCCATGTTCGAAATTTTCTTCAAGAAAACATTTTACAGTGTCTGCGCATAAGTTGTCTTCAAGATCATTTCTGAAATAGAATCGTCTTAATCGTTCTCTTCTTCAATTATTACAATATAAGTTTAGCAATTGATCGACAGAAATCGACTCGAATAAGTGCTTCTCCATGTCCGGTTGAGCAAATTGAAATTGTTCTTTCTAATTTTTCGCCATTATGCATAAAAGCTCGTGATTCGGCCCAAACTCCGCTGCCGTAATGGCAACTTTGACCTAACCGACCCGGAGATTTCAGTGCAATTCCACCACTTGACGTACAAGCTTCTGCTTCGGATGTTAACGAATTTATCGATACTGCTCCAACAGTGTCATGTGAATCTTCCACTAACAATTTATACTTTTTGAATGTTTTTATAGATTTTTCTGTCTTCAAATCATCGTTGGAACAAGCTTGAAATCCTGGAAGCAAAGTTTTTTTTCACAAGTCGGAAAAAACTTAAAGAAACACCTTTTGATTTTGCGTATTTTTCTGCGCCTTCACCAACCAAAATCATGGGATGAATTATATTGAGGTTTTCCCAATATGTATCATAAGCAAGCGTCTTAGCCAGTTCTGAGGGATTCTTCATATTCGTGACACAACCAACAGCTCCAAATCTTAAGAAATTACTTGAAAAATAAGAGTTTCGAGCGTACCGCATATTATTTGAGCACATGTATGATGCCTCACATTCGACGTTACCTTCGAAATTTAATTCTGAGCCGACGCCACAGTTCGATGCTGGATCTTGTTCGAGAGCCTGAATCGGAAGCTTGTTGTGAAACATTACTTTACGAAAGGGAAAATACTTTAACCGCAGAAACTACATCTAAACATTTAACTGATTGTTCGCAAGTTTTGAGCATATCCTCCATTTTTCTCAAACAAGCCCCTAAAAAATTATATTTGATTCTTCAAAGTTCAATTTTATTATTTCACCTCCATGAACAGCTAAAAAATTCATTTCGACAAATTTTCTTTGAGAAGAACTCCGCTAAAATGATGTTTTAAAACAATTGTGTCTTTATGGACGAGAACAGGAATATCGTACTTGTACTTCTGAAGTTGATCAAATCTGTATATAATTTCAGATAAAACAAGCTAACTTCAATAATATTCTGTGGCTCGAATTGCAAATTCTTTTCAATAACACAAATATTCGGATTTCTCTTCAGAAAATGTTCAAGCTGACGACGAAAATGTACACATAAGGTGCAATTTTCAGAAGAATATAATATTAATTTGAAGGAATTGGAAGAAAATAAACGTAGAAAATATTTCGATGGTCCAAGCATTCACAAAGAATCGAATAATTGCAGAGAACGCCAGACATACAAATCGATGCCGAAATAAATGGCTTAATTTTGAATTCCCGCGAGTTGCATACACCTGCAGCGTGTTTTAGCAGAGTGTATGAAATAGTGTGCGAGGTTTGCGTTTTGGCAGCCTCATGCTCCGCCTCTCATTTTCGTTTTCTTTTTTTCAGTGTTTTTCGAAGATTTTTCACCTTTCTAAGTCCCTTTCCGTAGAAATATTATGTATTTTTTTTTATTTTGGAATCCAATCGATGCCATTTTAAACATAATTTGGTTACAATTTGTTCGAAACATTGATTTCATGACTTTTATTTTAGGCCAGATAAATTATTATTAATGTTCCTCTCGAAAAGATTTCTATCGACTCCTGTGCTACAAGTATTGTCTCTCGATGCTAGAGGAACTCTTATAAAATTGAAAGAAAACTCGGGGGTTGTATATTCACGGTTTTCCAAATACGAAGGGCTTGATATTGAGCCATCCAATGTTGAACAACATTTTATTAAAATTTATAAGAAGTTATGCAAAATTGAGCCTTGTTTTGGAGCTAAAACTATTGGAGCACGTGATTGGTGGAAGAAGTTGGTTATAGAAACTCTAAACCAAGTAAGTTCGTGTTAATCATGTGAAACCCCATTCGCTTTCAGAGTTATGGTGGTTCATATCCTAAAAGCGAGAAAATCGCCGAGCAACTTTTTGACTATTACTCCACAAAAGATGCGTGGGAGCTAATTGAACCAAATGTAAAAGTAATAATAACTTATATCCTGTCAGTATTTTTTTTTAGATAAGACAAACACTTCAAAAATTTCGCCTGAAAGGAATAAATCTCGTTGTTACATCTAACTTCGATAGTCGTTTAAAGTCCTTATTAGATCAATTTGAATTGTCAGATTTGTTCTCTATGATTGTTCTTTCGGGTCAAGTTAATTATGAAAAGCCCAATTCAAAAATTTTCGAATTAACGTTAAACCATTTCCAATTAACTCATCCCTCTCTTATTCTTCATATCGGTGATGACATTAATAATGATTTTTATGGTGCAAAGAGCTTCGGTTGTAGAGCTATGTTGTTTGATCCTAATTCGTGTGCATTAGATATACCCGTTGAAGACCGTTTAACAAGCTTTAGATCACTCAGACTTTATTGAATAAATTTACAGAATCATGGACATGTTTCGTAAACCGAAAAAACGGATGGTGGCTTCGCGTCAAAGAGAGGAAACAAATTCGGGTGATGAAGTAGACGCAGTTGTGGATGTAAAAGGAATTCGGAAAAGAAAACGCTTGAATCCGATGGTCCAGTCGGTGAGATGTTCGTAAATTTTTCATATGATAATTTAATATCTGATATTAATAAATAATTAATTGGTTTTCTATTTTCAGACAAAAAAGCAAGATGACTCTAAGCGAGACTCCTCTTCTGATGGTGGTAGTAGCGATTCTGACGTAGCGGTTGCGGAGCATTCATACGCCGCTTCTGGGGAAGCCGGACCATCAGGCCCTCGAGATCAAGGAGCAACAGCCACTCTAGACATTGATACTGATCGCTCCATAGATGCTCAAGCTCAATTCGAACGAGTTCAGCAGCAGTTGAAGGAGGGCGTGGAGAAGGTAAGGAGATTAATGCGAAGTTCCGCCTTTCTGGAATATATGTATATACGTTTAGGATGGTAAAATTTTATACAAAGGAGCTGCATTGTATGGTGCTAAAGAAGCGAAAGATACTGTAAAAGGAAACGCGTCGAGTGGTTTGAATAGAATAGGGCCAGTGCGTGCTCCACAGTTTCTACGCCAAACGGTGAGATGGGATTTTGCGCCGGATATCTGTAAGGATTATAAAGAAACCGGATACTGTACATTTGGTGGTATGTAATGCTTCTAGAATTATTGTTATAATTAAGCGATTCAGATTCGTGTAAATTTGTTCACGACCGATCAGATTACAAGCATGGATGGGAAATTGATCAAGAATTTGAAGAAGGGCGCTATGGTCAAGAAGATGAAACGAATTATGAAATACATGAAGATGAGGATGCTTTCCCTGAAGAATGCTACGTCTGCGGAAACGAGTTCGTGGATCCAATCGTTACGAAGTAGGTAACGCTTGAGTTTATAAATATTTATATTGATTTTCAGATGCAAGCATTATTTCTGCTCAGAATGTGCTTTGAAAACTTTTCGCACTACCTCAAAATGCCCAATATGCAATCAAAATACTGAAAAAATCATGAATGCTGCTAGGGATTTGATTGCGCATTTGAAAAAGAAAAAAACACAAGTCAAAGAGGAAACCAGTAGTAGTGATGACGAAAATAAAACGGATGAGAAAGAAATGGAGCCGACTAAATCTAATTCACCCGTTGAAGGAAATGGTTGTTAAAGTCTTACTGGAATTAGAATATTTTCTGTTTTAAGATTCTGTTGAGCACGAAGACGACAATTTAAAAGACGTAGAAGAGACCGCTGAAGACCCGGAAACGGATATTGTAATGGAAGATTTGGACGGGCTTGATGGTGGAGAGGATGGAGGATCCGGAAGTGATAGCAACTGATTCATCTTTTATTTTTGTTTTCTGTATTTATAAATGTAATTCTCGTTGTTTTGAATTAGTTCGTTCTCATGGTTAATTTCCATGCTGTACTGATTTGGTCAAATTATTGACAATGTTTAAAACTGTTTTTTTCAGGGTTCCACTTCAAATCATGAAGATTAAGACTAGAACTATCCGCGGACAAAAGAAGGACGCTCTTCTCCAACAGCTGGAGGAGCAGAAGAACGAGCTTGCCTCGCTCCGCGTTTCTAAGGTCACCGGAGGAGCCGCTTCAAAGTTGAGCAAGATTCGCGTCGTCCGTAAGAACATCGCTCGCATCTTGACGGTTGTCAACCAAACGCAAAAGCAGGAGCTTAGAAAGTTCTATGCTGATCATAAGGTTGGTAAAATAAGTAAAATTGTTTTTAAAAAAAATGATATGCAGTACAAGCCAATCGACTTGCGCTACAAGAAGACTCGCGCCATCCGCAGACGTTTGACAGCTCACGAGGCCAGCCTTCGCAATTCAAAGCAGCAGGCCAAGAGCAGAAAACTTGCACTCAGAAAGTTCGCCGTTAAAGCCTAAATGCTTTTGGTTGTTGTTTCATAAATAAAATTGTTATTTCATGTTTTGCTAAATCGTAGACATTTTAAATAGCAAACGCAGGAAGAATAAGTGATAAGAAAACAACATCGTCATGTGACCTGGCTCCCGATTTCAAACGAACAAGTTTCTGGACATAGGCCAATGTTGTGGAAATGAAATTTTAACGGAAAAAAAAAACATTTTAAGAAAAACAATATTCAAAAACAGTGCAGTTTTTCGTCTCTTCACTTTTAGTTTTGCATCATGACTGACATAGGTATTTTTGGCATTTAGCCAGTTTTCCACAGTCGCGCGACGTTAACCGTAGCTCCAGACTACATTAGCATGAAAAGTGATCGATCGATATCGACAATGCATTGGATCGCGATCCAATGCATTGTGGAAGAACTTGGTGGCCTAGGAATTTTTTTAAAAGTTAGTCCTCGCGACAAAAAATCGTTTGTGACTTTTTCGACGTTTTCCATTCCTGTTGCTATAATAGTTGTTAATTACGTTGTTTATTTGATCTGTTTATTCTGACCAATTCTTTATTTCAACTTTATTAAATAATAAAATCATTTCATATTGCAACGATGCTCATTAACTCCTTTCCTGTTCTTAACTATGAATGTTTTCAATCGATTCCAAAAACCTCTTTATTCGGCAAACTCATCGGACGAAATAGCGTTTTTTTTTTAATTTTTGCCGCAACAATGGCAAATTTTGGCAGAAACAGTTGCGACAAAAAACAAATTGATGGTTTAAGTAGAAGCGGCGAATATTTCACCAAAACCGAGGAAATCTACTGTTGAGTTTGCCGATTGTTTCATCTTTCCGTATTTTATTCAATTTTTAAATATATTTCATAATAACTGTTTTGTTCGCCAAAATTATTGTCGATGACGGACGAATTTAAAGGGGCATTGCTTATTATTCAAATTTTGGCGTCATAGTCTTATAATCATTTTTCGATTTGACCTAGTATGAAAGACTGAAAATTACAGTAGATGTCAAAGGCGCATGCAAACAATTGTTGATTTCGCGCTAAGATCAAAATGGCTAACAAGTTTCAAATTTGTCCAATTCGTCCGTCTTCCACAATAGTTATTTTCAAAAAAAGGTTATTTTCTTAAACTTTCAGAATGTCAGCTTCTAAACGATCAAAGGAAGAATCTCCATTAGAAGTGAGAAAATAATTTTTAAAAACAACGATTAATGTCGTCTGAAATTTTAGGACAATGTGTACATCGTCGAAAAAATTCTAAACAAGCGGACATTGAAAAATGGTAAAACAGAATATCTTATTAAGTGGAATGGTTTTGAAAATGACGATTCCTCGTGGGAGCCTGAGGAGAATCTCTCGTGTCAAGCAATGATATTAGAATTTGAAAAAGCGGTAAGAAAATGTTGTGTATTTCTTTTTCATCGTTTTTTTTATAGAAAAAGGACGAAAAGAGGTCAAAGAAGAAGGAGAATGAAGAGTAAGTGTAAAATTTATATTTTTCCAAAAAAAAAATATTCAGACCTAAGAAAAAGGAAGAATCACCAATCGAAACCAAAACGGTAATGTAAATAATTTGCTGAATCCGATAATAAGGTTTTTGCAGCTTCGGGGAATTGTCGGATTAACAAAAGCACCGGGAGAACTCCATTTTTTGTGCAAATTCTCTGATGACTCTGCTCAACTAATTCCAGCAAAAGAAGTAAATGCACGGTTAGTAATGTCCAATTAAATCAATAGAAAATTAAATTTTCGTCAGCGGAAGCTGGACTCCGTTGATTCACTGGCACTCTAACATCGTTCATTTTCAGCTATCCGGCTCAAGTGATTCGCTTTTATGAAACGCGTGTCAAATTCACTGACAATATAAATATTCTCTAACAAGTGTCGTCGAGCTTCCGCTGCATTTCTTACAACAGATAATATCTATACATAATTAAATTCAATCAAAGACGTTTCAAACTCTGTACTTTATTTGTTTTGTGTATGAGCGACATTGTAGAATGACACTCTTTAACACTGAGAAACTGCGTTTCCAATTAATTTGAGTTTTATATTTTTCGTATTGCTATAAACACGTTTTCGCAATTCAGTCGGTTCTCATTGATTTCAGTTATCGAGAATTTGTCGACACTTACATTGAGTTTGTAAAACGAAAAGTGGAAAGAAGGCAAAGGAAAATGGAAGCTGAAAAGCAAGGAAAAGTTTTCAATGAAGAAGACGAAGAATGGCCTCCAATGCCTGCTGGACTCGATTTTTCTGTGAGGAAAAAAATTAAAAAGAATATAGTCGATCGTTTTGAAGCGAATAAAATCATAATTTAGCCCAGCCTCTTCTAGATTTTATATGAAATCTCTAATTACATCATGAAGCGACACTAGGATTTTTAATTCTTATTACTTTGTCATCTCAAAGTTTCAAGATTTTTTAAACGTAATAGGCTAATCAATTTTGAGCAAAAACCGGAAAATTGTATTTTTTTTTCGAATTTGTAACGTGAAGCTGAGGCTTCCTCATTTTTCAATTCAAAAACCTAAAACTATGTATCCTCGACAAGTTTTGTGCCGAGAAAATGGCTCCGAGGTATATATAAAATGGGAGATGCTTTTCAAATTGTTTAAAATAAGTTTCTTATTGATAGATTTGTGTGCAAAATCCATTTTTCATTCATTTCATACGAATTTTGTTCAGGTCGCAGAAAATCCGGAAGAATGTGAAAAGAAAGATGAAGAAAACGAAAATCAAAGTCATGTAGGTTCGGAGAAAATCGATGAGCCGCTCACACTTGCCGTCGACGCGACCTCGACGATGCTCGACATGAGCTCATTCGCGATTGACAAAGATTCGCTTTCGCATTTTGCATCTGACGAGATTTTGGATTCGGTGCCGATTTCGATGGCTGACGAATCGCTCGAACTCATGCAACCAGTATCGGCGATTGTCGTCGACACTGTCATTGAATCCGATGATTTTTTGTATCATGAGACTCCGTTGGAGTCGAAATCTTCTTCGGATGCTGCGGAGAAGCCTAGTGGGACACCAAAACGACATGAGAACGAAGCCGGACAAGACGAGTATGAATAATTATTACTTTTTCTTTTAATTTATTGTAATATTGTTGTTTTTCTGCATATAAAGAAAGCGTGTTTGACTGTGAAATTGAATTTTGTGGTTGAATTCTGGGCACATTTTCTCTTTAACAAAACGTTTAATTCAGAACTAACACACCAAAATCGAGGAGTATCACGCAATTAAACATTTTCAGATTTGAGTCGAATCGACAGTAAATTTTCGTGAATACTTTATACTGCTCAACAAAAATCGTACAACAATTAAAACGGAAAAATAACAATAACAGTTGAACAACGTGGAACAAAACAAATTTTAACAATTTCTGCCGATACGTTCTCTTGAATCGCCAACGAAAATGGCAGTGTTAGATGTGAAATACAATATGCGCCTATTCGCTATCGCTGCTACTATCCTCCTTTTTCACGGCCTTCTTTGGTTTCTTTTGAACAGGCGCTTCTTCATCCTGCTCCATTGGCTCCTATAATAATAATTATTGAATAGACTATTTCATTGTTTCTTGGATCTTTTGCTACCTCCTTAGTTTGTTTTTGAGTTTTCTCGTATGAGAACTCTTTTCCCCATGAAGCTGGAGTTTTGTCGTTGGGTTTTCCAAATTTATCCAAAAGACCGTCTTTAACCATTTGCTTCTTCTTTGAAGCAACAGGTCCCAATCCCCACTTTCTTCCGTAAACATCTCGCTCCATGATAACCCGCTTTGACTTGGCCACAATTCCGTGATCGACTGAAGCAATAGTCGCAGTACTCATTTGGGCAATAGCTGAATTAAAAAATTACTGAAAGGTGTAAAAAATAACAAATACCAATGCAAATCGCTTCTCCCTTAGTCGTCATAATAACAATTTCTTTTCCAACTTCGATGTCATCGTCATATCGTAAAACTCCAGGAATCAAGATCTTCGCGCCGTAGCAGATTGCGTTTACACTACTATCCTTGACGACAATTCTCTTATGTTGAGTCAAAAGAGCTTCGAGTGGGCGAACAATATGTCTCATGTAGCTCTCATCCTACAAAAGTTAAATAATTGTGAAAAACGAATGAAAAAATATGCTACTTTTTGAGTATCGAGCATGTATTGAGCATCAAGAACGTCATGCATTGTCACCATCTCTTCATTTTCATCACAGATTCCAGACCTGTTTCTTCGTAGTTCCTGCATCTGACCACCGCATCCAAGAATCAAACCAAGATGAACGCAGATTGTACGAACGTAGGTTCCTGACTCGCAAATACAACTGTAAAACCAACGTAATTAAGTTAGTTTCAACTAAAAAAAGTTACTTAAAGATTCCCATTTGTTGTTCTGGGTCATATTCGATAAACTTATTTTCATACACCGTACGAATACGCAACTGACGCTTCACAGCAGAAATAAGTGGCGGCCGTTGGAAAAGAGCTCCAGTAAGCTGAAATAAATATTAAAGTTTCGGTGCAAACAGCAGATTTTAAATATTTGATTGATGAATATATAAATACCTTCTCAAGAGCCTGGCGCACTTTTCTTTCGTCATCAACAGCTTCGTGAAGCTTAAAGATACAAATGTATTCTTTACCAGCTCCTTGTTGAGATTTTGCAAGACGAGTAGTTCGATCAATGCAAACAATCAAGCATCCAGAGACCTGAAAACTATTCATAGAAGTGTAACTATTGATTTTAAACCTTTGGATCCAGGGTTCCACTGTGTCCAGTTTTGTCGGCACGAAGAATTCTTTTAATCCAAGAGACAACTTCATGAGAAGATGGATTGGAGGGTTTGTCCAAGTTGAAGAACCCGGAAGACACATAATTTTTGATGTCTCGTTTTAGAGGGGAACATCCTTCGACATGTGGTGTATAATGATTTGATCGGACATTCAATTTGTCGTAGTTCTTAAGAAGAAGAGGCCATTGAGAGGCATCCAATTTCGCAGCTTCATTAGAAGTTGGAAGTTGAAAATTCGATTTTTGTTGAATTTCCTGAAATAAATTTTGAAATGTTTGAATTCGAAAATTAACATACCGCAACTTCCCCGTCGGCCACCTTGGATTTTTTGTCCTTTTTGCCCATGTTTAGAATAGTTTTCAATTACCTGAAAATGTGACTTCTATTAAGAAAGTATTTAAAAATATTTGCAAATTAGAATAGTCAGGAAATTGAATATAACAGCAAGAGTATAACAGGTTGAACACTTTAAAATTGCATATAAAAATTATGTCTTATTATTTATAATAATTGTGAGTCTCCTCGTCGAAATAGTTCGAATAATTCTCAAAACGTGCCAAAGAAGAAAGATATGAATAGTTGGCAATTTGCCCGGCTAGGGTCGCACTGCGTAGTAGCCCCTTTAACATGCACCCACGATGAGCGGGGCAGCTACGCACTCGCAATTTCGAAATTCTCTTATTTTGGCGCGCACTCTTACTTTTCACCCGTTCAAAGCTCTATCGGCGTGTTTGTTGCTTATCTCCGTTGCCATAGTTCATTTTCATTATTTTCTTTTTCGAAAATTAAATCCTTTTCAAATAAGGGTTTGCATTTGACGCAAGAAGTCATTATTTTCGCCAATTAATCCACATTCTCGAAACTTCTTTTATTCGATTCTTTTGAGAAATGGCGTCTGGAGATGGAATCCCAACATTCAAGCTCGTCCTTGTCGGTGATGGAGGTACCGGAAAAACTACCTTTGTTAAACGGCATTTGACTGGAGAATTCGAGAAGAAGTATGTCGGTGAGTGCAGTTTCTTCAATATTACGCCGTTGATCAATGTTTCTTCCAGCTACTCTCGGAGTTGAAGTGCATCCACTTATTTTCCACACCAATAGAGGACAAATCCGATTCAATGTGTGGGATACCGCCGGTCAGGAAAAGTTCGGAGGACTACGTGACGGCTACTACATTCAAGGTAGAAATATCGATTTTCCAGAGAATATGTATTTAAATTCAGGACAATGTGCCATTATCATGTTCGATGTCACTGCCCGTGTGACATACAAAAATGTACCAAACTGGCATCGCGATTTGGCGAGAGTTTGTGAAAACATTCCAATCGTTCTTTGTGGAAACAAGGTTAGAATGCTTGATATTTCTTATATGATATTTTCAAAAATTTCAGGTGGACGTGAAAGACAGAAAAGTGAAAGCTAAAACCATCACTTTCCATAGAAAGAAGAATCTTCAATACTATGACATCTCGGCTAAGTCGAATTACAACTTTGAGAAGCCCTTCTTGTGGCTTGCTCGAAAGCTTCTTGGAGATCCAAATCTCGAGTTTGTTGCTATGCCAGCTCTTGCACCTCCAGAGGTAATATTAAATTCCGCCGAAATTAAAAACATCATATTTTTTCTAGGTTCAAATGGATCCTGCGATGATCGCCGAGTATGAAAAAGATTTGGACAACGCAGCCAAGGCTGATCTTCCGGACGACGACGATGATCTTTAAATTAATTAGACACCATTTCCATCAACATTGTTTTACATCTCACTCCAAATTCAACTACTATCTTTTTAAAACATTTCATATGTCAATTAATTTCTTAACTTAATTTAAATTTAATTTCGAATTTTGATGTTAGCTTGCCCGCCGGTGCATAGCGAATACACGAGTTGTGTGGGTTGCCGTTTGATTGTACATTTTTGTTTGACCGTTGCGAAAATGAACCGAGGAGAGTGTGTGCGTATTCCCCATTTTTCTTTTATTGCGTTTTCCATGGAACTCTTTCTCTCAATGAAAATAACTTTATTATTCTTTCAAACTCAATAAATTTCGTCGAACAGCACCAAATCTGTATGAAAGTGAGTTTGAAACCGGAAAATTAAGACGACCTGTACCAATTGAAGTGAGATTAATTTACACGTATTTAAAGCATTTTTGGTGTTGTTGCGGTAAGCGCGTTTTGAACAAAATCGAATCAGCGCGAAACTGAGAAAATCGAAGAGGGTTGTATCCATAGATTTTTGTGAATAGTCGCATACATTCGTGTCGTTTGTTAAAGTGCGAATCCGATTGTGATAAGTTTTCTGTACATCCCGGGCATCTAAAATAAAAATATGAATTATCATTATTTGATTTCTGGTTGAACCTTAATGTCCATCTGGAAGTAGTTTTAATGGGAGGTTTCCTGGTAATATGAGCTACTAAATAATTCATTGCTATGTCCTCACAGTTCGTGACTTTATCAACATGCTCGCGGATCGATTTTGGCATGTCTTCAGTGTAAGCTCTTAGATAATTCTACAATAACATGATGATTCAAATTTTCGTCAATTCGCCAAACTTTATGGAGAAATGCAGCGCCAGTGAGAATAATACTCAATTGGCACGTATGATTACTATTGTAGAACATGGAATCACCATATCTCGCATGATAACGTGCCGGAAAGCCGACAATCCTGTCTCGATTTTCACGCCATACTCTGTAATTATTTTTAAAGTTTTTTCTTTGAATACAATCGCAAAAACAGCGAGTACTCTTTGTAGATTAACGGTGTGTGTGTGTTTTTTTTTTTACAAAAACGGTAAACATTAAATGTGAAATCGCGCGACGTCGACAATAAAAAAAGTTGTGGATTAGAAGTTCGGAATTTGGAAATAATTAAATTTTCCTATTTTGGCCCGTCGCAATCGAAACAATAGAAATTGGGCATTAAAATAAATACCTGAATGCCAAAATGATTTCCTGTTGCATCAAATCAATATCATCGTCAATCGAGAAAACTGCTTCTGTTTCAATTCGATCCCAAGGAATGAATCTGTTGTTGAGACTGTTTTCAGACACATGAATAAATCTGAAATTTCAATTTTACTCGATTCAAAAAATAAAACGATTCCTACTCAACAGGAACATGTAATGAAGGCCAAGAATCTGAAGGCGCACGATGAATATTATTCCAAATCACAATTACCTTTAATTTCATTTTAAATAATTTATTTTCGAGTCTTGAATACCTTATTGAGATACGGCAAATTATGAAGTCGTTGCAATGCTCCAACCAATACATCGTCTCGCTCATATGTCAAAATAACTGTTGTGAATTGCTCACGCACTCTATTTCCACCGAGTGCTCGACTGAATTCGACACCACTTCCTGGTTCAATCGGGCGAAATCCTGTGAAATATACGTTATTAAACATTTAGAGTTGCGTTACCAAAAGATGAGTCCGGATAAAATTCGGCTTCTGCTGGAGGCTCGTGAGCTCGAATGTTGAATTCGAGAGACTTGTGAGGATTCATTACGAGATTCCATGTTTCATATGAATACTGAAAAGTTGAGTATTTCGGAAAAAAACGTTTAAAAGAAAATTGAAATACCAACTGAAATTCGGTAAAATTGTGCTCATATGAAGGACTTTCAACACGCGATTCTAACGGGCCTAAATAAGGTTTTTTTTTCGAACACAACGATTTCTTCTGCAAATCAAAACCTAATAGAAAATCATCATCGTAATTTGGCTGTTGATTCACAGAAAATCCTTTCGGTGCAGTGAATGAAGCGTTGAACAACGGAGACGCTGTGAACTGAAATATTTCCTATTTTTAGTTTTTTTTTAAATACAAAAAATTCTATTAAACCTTTCTATTATCGGGAGTTGGTAATTGAAGTTTGTATCGAAGTGCAGATAGCAGGGTTCTTGCAATTTCTGAATGCACAATTATTAAAAAAAAACCGCAACAGTAAATAAATGATTTATACTTTGCTTTGTACTGAGATAATTTTCATAATAATATATTCCTTTTCGTCGCATTTCTAGAATATCATTTATAGTGAAAGAGCGAGCAATGAAATGAGCTTCTGAAAGCCTCGCACTCGCTATTTGATAGCTTGCTAGTCGCCAATCGATAAAATCTGGAAAAAATGCTAAAAATTTGATTTGACACAATTAAATTAATTTACCTTGAAATGGAAGAATTGCAGTCGACGAAATCACAAAAGGAACGCAGCCCGTTCGGAGAGCTGCTAGAAAACGCGATGTGAACGATCGGCTTGGCATTAAAAAGCAAAACATTGTGCTTTTGAAAATTTCGTCTGAAAATGTAACACAATTGTAATTGTTTAAACGATTCGGACCTCGAATAGAGCTCGATTCTTCGCAAGCGTCCGATTCATCAGTACATTCAATAATCCTTATAACATCGTTACTTCTTCTGGCAGATTCTCGAATTTTTTGCAGATCGTCTTCATTAACAGCTCGTTCTTCTATTATTAATGTGAAAAATATCGAACGAGAATATGGTAGAATAGATGGCACATTAAATAGGGGTTGATCAGTTGAAATGGCAAAATCCACATTTGGTCTGAAATAAATTTTCTTGAAAAAAAAAAAACAATAAAACGATCCCCGCAACTGCAGAAATTAGACTTAATTCCAAAATAAAACACTGCCAGTAGATTTGGCGACGAACTAAGTGTCGATTTACGGGGGTATTTAGATAAGTTAAAGGCACACATGGCGAGCCGTGACCTTTTTCGATTTTTTTTTCAATTTCCCTCTAATGTTGTGACATTACCTTAAATTCGAAGATTGCGCAAAAATTACGCGACTGTTAGTGGCATTAATAGAGGTTCCAACATTGAAAATCACCGTGTTTTCTATAGTATTTTCGTTAATGGTATGCTTTCCATTAGTAATTTTAATCTGAAATATATTTGTATCCGATTTTTATATTATGAAGTGAATCAATACCGTTATACACGACGAATTCGCATCTTTGACAGGGGTTAATAATACAGATTCAAATGCGTTTTTCCATTCCATTTCCATTTTTCCAAATGTGATTAGATCAACAAAAACTGGCATGAAGGAAGAAATGGAACATCTTCGGAAATCAATTGTATCTTCAATTGAAACAATAGTGCTTGGAGCTACAATTTCTCTGAATTTAGATATTGTTAAATCATATTTCAGATAGGAATCCAACGTTTTAACATTTTGGCTGAAAACAGGCGATAACGGCAAAAAAACTCGGACATTTCGATTTTCTCGAAGCTCTTGCAATTGCCTTTGTGCTGCTTCAATCTCGCCTTCAATTGACGATAATTCCAATTCTGAATTTGTTATTTTCAACAATATTCTATTAGAGCAATTACGTTTTTGTGGAATCAATCGTTGAATTTCGTCTTGAATTGTTCGAATTTCTTCGAGCTTCGCTTGAAATTCGCCGAGTTCTTGGCGAACTGATTCAAGAATTCTTTTTTGTTCTCTTATAATTCGGCCATACGAATATCCACTGCATGCAGCATCATAATCGTCAATATTTTCTATTTTTCTTAAATGAAACTACTATATTCATGAATAAATAATTAAAAAAAACCTATTATCGATCAACCTAAGCGATTGATTTTGTTCGGAAAATGCATGATTATAAAGAGCTATTGAGCTAAGTACAAATATGACAAGAATAACCAGTGCTATTTGACGAATGGAGAAACTACGAACGCGGAATTCTGCAATTAATATTATGATAACTTTTACTGTTTTAATGATAATACCATTGTTTCGAAATTTCATCTAGTCCAAAGCTTCGGTGATAATTTTTTTCTAATTATCATTGGTTAATATCTACAAAATAATTAATTAATTTATACTAAATAATATAAAGAAAGAAATAAAATTTAAAATTCATTGCGTGCAGAGTGTCGTAAAATGAAGTGCTTGCGGACATTGGTGCCAGCCGACCAGCTATGGCTTTTCCGACGGAAAACCCGGTCGTTATCCCATTTTAGTACATTTTCACACGACATTCAGTCTTATCGATTTACCTAAAGAAGTCCACGAATGTTTATCATACGTTAAGTTGTTATTTTAAACGTGTATGCAAGTTCAAACAAGTTAAAGTGCAAAACCAAACATTTTCTGTTTGCAGAACTCGTGGAATTTCTTTCTTTGAATTCATTATTAGTTTTTACGTATTTTGTTTAAGAAATTATTGGTACATTATTAAATTTTAATTTACTCACTATTGATTAGTTTATACCGGATTTAAAAAATTTCTCAATTTTCGAACTTTACGTGTATTCATCGTTTTTTTTTCTGTCGTTATCATTTTAATTTTATTATCACTAATGAAACATCATGTGTCATTTTAGAGACTCTCTCAGGGTCGTTGAGTTTCTGCAAAAAACCAAATCAAAATGCTCCGAGGCCGAGTTGATCCAAAAAAGGAAGAGCAGGTATATGAAATAGTTGAATAACTCATTCACACTGTCAGTTTAGGAGCGCCTACAAGGTTTTCTCCTTGAAATGCTTAAAGAGGAAGAAAACAAGTATTGCGCCGATTGTCAAGCGAAAACTCCAAGGTTGAGAATTGTTTACAATGCTTTATTAATATTCATTTATTTTTGCAGATGGGCTGCTTGGAACTTGGGAGTATTTATTTGCATTCGTTGTGCCGGAATTCATCGCAACCTAGGAGTGCACATCTCAAAGGTATTTCTTTGCACATCTATAGTCTTTCATAGTTAGGAAATCTTATTCTTCCATTTTAGGTGCGATCTGTAAACTTGGATTCGTGGACCGCTGAGCAGGTTCAGACAATGCGGGTGATGGGAAACGAGAAAGCCAGACAGGTTTATGAACATGACCTTCCACCTCAGTTTAGACGCCCCACGAGCGATTCTCAAATGGAGCAATTTATTCGTAGCAAATATGAGCAGAAAAGGTAAAATAACTTAGTTTCGATCACTATTCAATTAATACAGGTACATGATGCGCGACTTTGTATATCCGCGTGTTGATGTCAACGATTTGCCTAAAGCCACTGCTCATTCGTCGTCTAAGAAAGGAGTCCATCCAGTTGTGAGCATTGGCAATGTGAGAATCTCCTACTTAGCGTCCGTCGAATATAAAAATTGTGTTTAGCGCGGCACAAATTCGTCAAACGGAACTTCGTCGAAAGGTCCATCAATAACTGTCAATAATTTACTCGATTTTTCCGATGTTCCAACTTCGAACTCGTCTCCGGTAAAGTCGGCTAATCTCTTGGACGATCTTGCTGGACTCTCAATCCAAGTAATCTGAAATAAGCGCAATTTACCTAGCCTTTCAATTTGTTTGTTTAGTCATCAAATCCAGCTCCAAGTCCTACGCAATCGGCCGACAAGAATGACGATTTCGACGATTTCGGTTCATTTGTGTCTGCTACTTCGACTTTTGCCTCCCCAGCAAACCCAACTCCGAAAGCCAATAATGTTGGATTCGCTGATTTCTCATCTGCGCCGACAACAGCAGCACCTGTTGCACCGGCGGCTGGAAGTGGTCTTGCCGGTAGGATTGGAGAAACTTCTTCAAGATAATCAGAGTTTTCAGATCTAGCTTCAATTTCGGATCCTGCTCCGTCAGCAGAACCTAGCAAAAAAAGTAACGCTGACATTCTGTCGTTGTTCGGAACCAGCAGTGGTCCGGCGGCACCATCACCTATGCTTGTGGCGCCTGGTGGCTTCACTGCGTTTGGTCTTCAAGCGGCTCCGGCAGCTCAAACTGGGCCCCAACAAAATGTATTCCCAGCGTTTGGTAATATCCCACAATCAGTTCCATCAAAGCCAGCTGGTGATGGCTTGTTCGGTGGACTTGGGGGAATTAACTTCGGTGGTGCTCCTTCGGTGCAGCAAATCCCGCAATTCGGAATTATGGGACAAAGTACAGCAGCACCACAGAAGCTCAATTCGCCGACTGGATCATCGGGATTCAATCTTCCAAATAAGTCGAATGCCTTTGCGGACTTGGCGTTAGGGAAGGTAAATGAAGCACGAAATATCAGTTTTTCTACTATATTCCATCATAGGTTATGAAGACGAATTACGGACAAAGTGCTCTTCACGCGCAACATCCACCATCATCAAAACCTGCCGCTCCAATGGCAACTATTATGTCTACAACTTCTACGCCTGCTCCTACGACCGCAGCTAATAATGATCTATTCGACATGTTTGCGCCGGCTCCTCCGCCGATGTCAATGAACTCATCCTCAGGATTAGACGACTTGCTCGGTCTATAAAATTGGTTTGTATTTTATATCATTCAATTAATATCTAGCTGGTTATTATCGAAATAATTTCTTTCGTTATCGAAAACCCCTTAATTTTCTCAGAAAATGAAATTTTTAAACAAAATAACTTTTTTTTTTCAAAAATCAATTATTAATGTTCCTATGTTATTTTAATAGGTAAATTCATGAGTAATATTCCCTTTAGAGCTGAAATAATTGGCACGTTTTTTTATTCACAAAGTGCAAACCTTTCAAATCAAACATCTTCAAAGCGATTTGGCGTATCTAGAATCGGAAATAAAGTATTAAGATGAATAACCGTTGAGTTGCACTTTTAGAGGTCGTTTAATATCCAGTATTCATTTTTTTTTAGATTGAAAGGAGCAATATTACGTCATGAGCATAATCGATTGATTTGGATTCAGTTTTATTCAATTTTTTTTGTTTTTAATAGATTGAATATTCTTAACTTAATTTTTAAACCACACTTCTTGTCTGTGATTTCATCATCCCATTTCCCTTTTAAAGTTCCACTTCCGATGTATTAAAATATTCCATCATTTTTTCTTTCATTCTTCGTTTTCTAACTTTTAATGTGATACAAGTAATGGGCTGCATTGGTTGTGAAATTGCCCCGTGCTCGTCTCAAAAAAGAAAATAGTCATTTTTCATATCAAAATGTACCCTTCCTATGCAAAACTGTTTGACCAAAATTTTAATTGTTCTTCATGCATCTTCAATTGAATTTTCCCTATATGATTTGTTTTTCGGTTAAGATTATCGCCATTCAATGTAGATATGCGTTTCATTAGAATTATTTTTTATCGTTGGACCATTCTTTCTGATGGTGGCTTTAAAATCTTTCTAACATTTCTAAATACATTTTTTCGAATAAATGACTAGATTTCTATAGTTAATTTTTTCAGCTAAATGAAGAAATATTTGCTGGATTATTGATTGGTATTCTACTTTTTTATAAAACTCAAATCCAATCGGATACGTAAAAAGCAAAATCTGTTTTACAATCAATTCCGCAGAAATCCGAGAAGATTCCTTTTCGTTGAATCTGATTGAAATTCATACCTAGAATCACGATTAGTAATTATTAAGAGACCGCTTCCAAAGTGTTTTTTTATGGTTTTTACGCATTCGCCGTTCCCTGGTTTTTTCTCATTGACAAACTTCACTCCAACTGAAAAAAGACAAAAAATGGATTAAAGGTGGATGAAAAATGGTTCAGAATATAGAAGTATCTATTTTTCGACCATAGATTCATTAATCCTAGACCAACGAACTTTTTCGAGGCGGTAATTCAATTTCGAATTTGAACAGTGGCAAATCGGATATCGTACTACGGATGACCTGCGAATCAATGTCACTATTTAATTACCATTGATAATCAAGAGAAAAAGGCTATTTCTAAGAGATTCTAGTGTGAATATCAAAATTGGTTGGATTTTTTATGATTCTAAATTGTATTTTTCCAATCAACAACACATAGAGGAAGTAGAAAAGTTGCCAATTGGAAACAGGTATTTTCGACCGGCTAATTGATCCGGAAACCGTTGCCATGTTCGGAATTTAATTAATGAATCCTCTGGTTTTTGTTGTTGCTGTTAGTGATGGATTTGCATTGGCAAGTGCGCAACGACTGCAGAGAAGCTGTTCGCCTTGCATCGTATTGTTGTCCACTTGATTGTCACGCCATCGTGTCGGCCGTCTCGTGTGTCCGTCTTCTAGTTTACTTTCCCAAGCGAATACGACGACCTTTTCGCTTAACTTCCGGTTTTTATCATCTTTGCGTTTTTTATTCTCCCAGATTCAAACGTTTTATTGCCAAAATGAACATGTTGATCATCCATCCAAATATGGAACGAAAGATGACGAGATGGTGACCCTCATTCCCATAAATTATATTGCCCATTCCGTTTTGTGTGTATGTGCTCAGATTGCGCAGAATCGTCGCATCAAACGTGTCGAGCTCATTGTTTTTCGTTTTCAATCTCGACTCTTTTTTCTTTTCTTCGATTCGGTTTTTCAAAAAATCCAAATTTCATGGTTTTGTTATAAAATGGAACTTTTTTGATGAGAAACTACGAACACTGTTCAATTCTTCGTTCTATCGAGATTTTTGAGATTTCCGAATCGTCGTCTATCGTGGAAAAATGAAGAATGTGAAGAACTGCAGCGATATCCTATGCATTGTGTGTGTACACCGAGTCGCACATCTCGATCTTACCTACAGTAATCTCAACTAAAAATTATTTAATTAATTATATTTTAAAACTTTTTTCTGTTTTCTTGGTGAAGTTATGGTTTTATGCATATTTTTGAATTGAAAAAGTGTAATAGTAATTAGTTTTGTATATTATTCAAAATTAATTGTTTTATATAAAAAGAAACAATGAATAATTAATTTAATCAGTTGAGATTACTGTAGTCAAGATCGAGATGTGCGACTCGGTGTACGCACACATATCGCTGCAGTTTTTCACATTCTTCGTTTTTTCCACAAAATATCAAAAATTGTTTTAATTCGTATTTTTGTTAATTTGGTTTTATTTCTTCGGTCCGATTGACTCAAAAACTGAAACAGCACAAGAGTCTTGAGAAGTGAATTTACGATAATCGAAAAAATTCGACAAAACAGACAACAATCCTTGATTTTCACAAAAGAACAGAATTAATTTGTAAAAATAATTGAAAATAATTAAAAAGCCTTGTAATCGACAAAATTTAGGGATCAAGTGTGTGAACACCATTATAAAAATACATAAAACAGCGCGAACAATCGTGTTTTTTTGTTGTCTCGCGTTATCGTCGCGAGACCTCAATTAAATGAGGAATATATGAAATCAAAAAGTGTCGGAATTGCGGAATTCTATCACAAACTATGCGGGACATCAGAATGAGGACGACGGTATCGCTGCGTCTCTCGACAACGCGTGCTCTTTCGTTTGCCTCACAACAATTTTGTTGTCCCCGACGTCCGCCGCGCGCCATCAACCACTGAAGTCAGTTTTTGTATGAATTTTACTCGAGTTTCCATTATTTTCATCGTATTTTCCGGAAATTTGAGCCAAAAACGATCATCGAATTAGTGTAAACCAAATATTATTGCGAATATCAACGATCATCACACTTTTTCCATTCAAACTCGACGTTTTTATCTGAATTCGTCGCTCATTAATCATCGTTTTTTCTAAACCACTTTTATTCCACAATTTCAATAATTGTTCTGTCAAAAATACTTTTTTTTTGAGATCGTAATCCTCTTTGCAGACCACAATTTTTAAAAATCACCCCCTGTTCTAGGGATTAACGATAATATTCCAATTATTGATACTAACAAGTTTATACCTTTTATTTTTTCGATTTTTTTGTGGATTCATTAAAACACTTAAATTTAATAAAAATTTTGAAGCGTTTTAAACAGATTTCTTTTTGTTTTCCGGAAAATAATTTTAACTAGAAGCTCGATTCTAGTCAGCTCGGATTTCTTTTTTTTCTTGTGAGAATAAAATCTGAAATCACGTGAAATCCCTTGATGATGTTTGACAGCTTCATGTCGATTTACGAGAATGCGCCTTTAAATATGGTTTGACACTTTTGATTTTCGGCTTACTTGTCAAACGTCGACTTTAATATTTCGACGTACGGATGATGCAATATTTCGATAGATTTTAATTCAGTGCCATCTATGACGAAGCTTCATCACAGAGAGTCTATTCTTATTTTTTGGTATTTCAGTATTCAAATTTCCAAAAAAAGAACAATGAAAATAATTATGAAAAATGCACAAAGGCTATTATTTTTTTGCTATCATCATCGTCGAAACCAACAAATATTTGAATTTAATCACACGTGGCGAAACCTTAAATAAAGACGCATGCCCGTAAATCTACCCTCACACATTTGTCTCCCACTATATAATAATTTAATTAGACATATAGTCGGCGTCCGGCCGTCGACTGCTGTACGCGGGTAGATTTACGCGCATGCTCCTTGAAAAGGTCTCGCCACTCTCAACGCTTATTTCGCTGTTTTCACGTGAACGATTTATTCAAAAATTCTCGAATCAACCCATAAAATACAAATTAATCAGTTAGTCCGTGCGAGACTAAGAGAAAGACACATTCCCGTAAATCTAACCGCTTACAGCAGTCGCCGGATGCCGACTATAACATTGGTTAAGAATCGAAACAAATTGGCATTTGATGAGACATAAATTTAGGTCACCAAACAACAATTTTTTTCAGAAAATCGAATCAAGTGTGTTCTGACCTTGTAACTCCAAATGAGAACCCAAATTTGTTGAACATTAATGATCGCCGTTATCAAATTATTTTCTCGATTCGAAAATTTCCCAATAGAATTGACTCAAAAAATAAAATCAAGCCACCAGCCATTATTGACAACCCGCGCATTTTTTGAAATGTTTCGAAACAAAATACATTTTAAGTACACAAATAACCGCGAGTTAGAAGTATTGAAAAAATAAAGTTTGTAGCCTCTCGTTGAACCGCAAACACGGTCTGAGCTTTGGACACAGAATTACTGTAGATGCTCGCAAACAAATGCCAACCGAACGAAAAACTATACAAACATGTGTACAAACGGATTCCGAAAAGGTGTCGAGTGCGGCGGAGAGCAAATGGCCGTCGTTTGATTTTTCGGAACCGCCAACTACTTGCATTTCAAATGGTTTCATTTTAATTTGCATTGGGAAAGGGGGCATATGCAATACTACAGTATTCATCAAAGGCGCATTCAAAGAATTGGGAATCATTCAAACCCAAATTGTTTGACCCAAATTATTTGAATTTTCGCCCGTTGTATGTCTTCGACATATTTTGTCGAAAGCCCCTTATTTCTGTCAAATGGGTCACTTTTTGATTTCTGAATTTCGCGTCTCGCATACCTTCAATTTTTACACTAACATTTTGATATATTTCAGAAAAAAATTAAAAGCTAAACCACGCTCACTTTTCGGAAATTTGAGTTTTCTCAACAAAATATGAACTTTAAAATCTTGAAGCCCTTTTTTAGCATGACTTAACACAACAAAATCAATGATTTCTCTTTGAGCAAGCTTTTCTTTTACCCCTGAATGATGCTCCACACAAACATGTGAAAAATTTTCGCGATTATTCGAAAAATGAGTGAGCTTAATATATATTATTGTCAGATATAAAATGGAAACGGTTTTATCAGCTGAACATTTTCTTATAATTTGATTCATATAAAAGAGAGTTTCAATTTTTTCATTCATTTTCTTCCAAACAAAAAGAATTGTGCTTCAAAGTTTCAAAATAAAACGAAAAAATATTGTCATTACTAAAACAATTGGCAGTTTCCAATCAGAACTCTCCATTGAAACACTTAAATCCAGAATTGAAAAATAAAAATGTTTACGGAATGCCCGAAGTTATTCTAAAAAATCTACAAAAAATTTGATTCATCTCAATATTTATTCGCAGGTATTTTTTTTTAGCAATATACTATGCATCTCCTGATTTCATTTTGACAAAATTTTGATGATTTGAAATGAAATTGAGAAAAGTGCCCATTTTTATTCAAAAATCTGCCATTTTCTAGTGGATTTTGAAGTCGGACGTTACTTTATTGGAAGATTAAAAAAAAATTAAATTTAAAAAAAAAGAAACTAAATCACTATATATTATTGTGTATAGTTTGGTTTAAACGAAATTATAGTCGGCATCCGGCGACTGCTGTACACGGGTAGATTTACGGGAATGCGTCTTTCTCTTATGTTAGTCTTGCACGGACTAACTGGTTAATTTGTATTTTATGGGTTGATTCGAGAATTTTTGAATTTTCCGACGTCAGAAATTTCAAGAAAAATGAAGCAGTTCACGTGAAAACGGCAAAATAAGCGTTCACGCGTGGCGAGACCTTTTCAAGGCGCATGCGCGTAAATCTACCCAGCCGTCGCCGGCCCGACGCCGACTATACAAGAAACCATAATTGAATTCGATTTTCAATCTTTTTAGTGAAAATCTCTCAAAATTTTTCGGAGATTAGATATTGCCGTAGACATTCGCAAAAAAAAAGAGGCGTGGCCTAATTCGCCCGTTTTGGCTATTTGATTTGGTTGTCGTCATCGAACGCCGCCTTCTTTTTTTTCGCCAATTTTGTTGAACTTTGGTAATGGTGCTCCTTGTGATCGAATGTTTACCTAAATACTATTTTCTGCCTATTTCCGCGCATCGTTTCGTTTCTCTGCCATGTTTATCGAACTCTCTGCCGTAGCTCATTTGTGCTCTCGACACCGATTCTGCCGAACCGTCATCTTTACCAGTTTCGAGACGTTTCTGTTCAATTTTGCCTCTGACCTCTGTCTGTTTTTTTTTCTTTTCGCATTGCCCAATTTATTGCATTTTCTGTGTTGAATACTGAAATAGCTGAAACTTCATTTGTTTGCCGCCTCGGCGAACCTGATTCTCGCGTTACATTTTTCGTTCGTTCAGTTTTTTTTTAGCGCGTGTTACTATTTCCATGCGGCGAGTGTAAGAGCAATGCAAATTTTCGGCGGAGTCCGTTACTTTGTGCAAACGCGCGGGTTGTTCGAACAGTTTGTTAAAGCGAATATAACGAATGAAAATGCTAGACATTTATTGTCGACGAACTGCAAAAATTTGTTATTCGCCAAAAAAAATTAGGTTAAAAAAATTAAAATTAATTTAAAAAATGGTCTTAGTGCGCGATGTACGTCTTTCGCCTATCTTTATGTTTATTCACGTAAATCTACACTAATATTTTTGTGTCAAGACCGTTCTCATTGTTTTTTTTTTGGCATATACCAATTTTCCGCAGTCGCGCGACGTCGACAATAAATACTCATTTTCCATAGGCAGTTTTGTAACTGAATATACCTATTTATTTGATTTCTGCGCAAAATATTGCAATCGCAAAAAATAGAATCGTGTATAAATTGACGCAAGTTAAATACCAAAATTCTCACTCTACAAATTAAAATATGTATTTATTACCGCTAAATTTAACTGGTGAAAAAACGATCAAACACTCAAGAAACCCTCTTCAGATTGCACCAAAAAAATAATTTTATGAGTTTTCTGGCCAAAATCTTCATAGTCCCCATAAAAATTTTTTGAATTTTAAAATTTCGGACGTGTAAATCGTAAATTCAAAATAATTCAAGAGCTACCGTAACGACTAAAGGTGAGTATCCTTTTCGTCATGTAGTCTTGCATGGAAATGATTACTGTATTTTTTGGCTTTAATTTTTAATATTTTGTGAGTTAAATAAATATAGTTTTTCTAGGTCGAAGGATCTAAAATGTTTATATGAATATCAATAAAAGATTATTAAGGACCCAATGTTTATTAACGGTTCAATGTAGTATAATTATTTGCTGCCAAAATATAGTTTAAACTAATTTTATCCTCTGCGTTCTTTTGGTTGCTCTGTACAAACATTGCCGTGCTAATCACCATACATTGGTGCTGCAAAAAATCTCAGGGCGTTTCATGTTGTAAAAAAAACTTGCGCAGGTGGGAATGTGGGAAAGAAGAGTACCCGGTGCGACGTGCCAAGCATTATTTCCAACGTTCTCATTTCTTTATTTGACAATTCATCCACACAATACCATAATAGAAATTCCAAACCTTGTTTTTTGCTTCTTTTTTTTGAAATTCCTATGTGTAGTTTCGAGACCTAAAAAATGATTAAAGATATGAATCAACCTAAATATTTCGATTCATTTCATTTTCCATAAAAAGCAATGCGCAACAATGACCGTCTTCTTTTCCATTCCAGGAACAAGCGTTTATTCTCTGCTTTTCTCAAAAGAATTTCCATTTCCAATTTTATTTTCATCATATTTCGCTCGCTTTGTTTAATCAATTCCAAAAAGTAAATTAGTTTTACACCATTTCTTTTATTGCAAAAATGACGACGTTCACAGTTTTGTAGGCCAGTTCTTATCAAGAAACGAATTATTCGTTTTGTTAATTACACAATTATCCTGTCTATGGGAAACCACACCCTTATATGAACCAAGCTTGAGTTATTTTGTCTATGAACCATAATCCAGAACGTTTTTCGAAACTTTTATTTATCTATGCAATTTTCTCGTTATTCTATGTAACGAGTGACTTCAGATATCGTAAATCGGTAATCGTTAAAGGCGCGACCTCGTCAATAAAACATTCTACATTACTCGGTTTTCGAGAAATTCTTCGTAAATATTTGAAAAACCAGTCGTTCGATTTCAAAAAGATTTTATCATTCGAGCCTTAGAAAATGCACTTAAAGAATTTCATTTATCGAAATAGTTTTTTTTAATTTTTGAAAACCGAATATCTACATATAAATTCAAATAGAGTTCGCGTGGATATTCTCGATTTCTCTTATGCGTTTTTCCAAAAAAAAAAAACATACGATTCAGTATGAATAAAAACAGTTACCAGCTGTATATTCAAGGCGGTTTCGCAGTCGCCACCATCTGCCACCCATCGCGGACAATACCTGTTTTCGTTCGAGAATTCTGCTGGGAAAAGTGGAAGCGCGTCGCGGGAGGGAGAGATAGAAAAATGAATCTCATGTTCACACGAAAATGTGGAATTTCGGACAAGCTGATCGATGATTAGCATTGCTTAACGCCTATTATTATAATTACTCTCGATTTAATTATTCTTCATCATCGTGGCTAATTCTCTTCCATATCAATTTTTTTCGTAATCGTTGTCGAAATTCAAATGCGATTTGCAGAAATCCGCGACACGATTCGAATAAATGTAGCAAAGTGCGATCGGCACTTGAAACGAAGAACCACTGCCGCGAGTTTTCAGTATTTACTTGAGAATAAACACTCACCGCTGAGCCGAGTTGAATGAGCAAGGTGAGTATTTTAATTACATATTCATTATCAAAATCATCATATTTTATTCTCGTTACCTTTTGAAAATTAGCAGTTAATTTTTAATTACCATATTCAAAAAATTTGATATTCTACGTTGGGATTATTAGGAAAATGCGAAAAGGCTTTACTTTACATCATATTTTGTAGAATTAGACTAAAGATTCAATAAGGTACTTAAAATGATCGGGTTTATTTTTTTTTTAACATTTTTGTCCAATTTACAAGTGTTCGAATTTTGGAATGTTCGAGAAAATAACGATTTCATTTCGGCTTTGCATTCAATTTTTGCGCGCGCGCGCCCATTCGACCGCATCGTTTTTGGGCGAAAATTTGGCATTTGTCCGCCGTTTCTTGTTTCGATACTATCTGAACATTGTGCGACAATTCCGCTGAATAAAGGCGAAGTGCGAGGCCAGAAATGAGAAAAAAAAAAACGATTGAAGATGGCTAGGGTCATTTGATTTAAAAATCGACGAAAAACCTTAAAATAACAGGCGAAAAATTACAGAAATCTGTCGTTGGTGACGTTGAGGCGTCGACTTCGGCTACGGTATTCGACGACACCTTAAAAGGACACCATAGGCGAACATCGTCTTTATGGGTTCCACCATCAAGGTAATATTGTCTTTTAAGCATATTTTTCTATCAGTCCACCTTTGTCAGTTCAAAACAGACAATTTTCAAAAACGTTATCTTTTTTTTTTCAATTTCTGCTATCCTGCAATATTGAAGTGAGGGCATGATATTCTAGGAAGATATTTGTCAAAATTTTTGAAATCTCTCATTTTCAAAATTCAGGCCTATATTCTCGTCCCCCTCGCAAGTATTCCGCGAGAAAGCTGAAAACGGCGAACGAATTCTGAAGTCACATCCGGCAACACGATGGATGTTTCGGAATGGCCCGATATTACCCCAACAACGGATAGTGTCGCCCAACAATCAGACAGAACCTCCGCCGCGCTACGAGCATCCGAATCGCAAGTATTGTGATAATCGGATATCGACGACCAAATATAATCTGATCACATTTATCCCCCGAAATTTGTTTGAACAGGTTGAATCCGAATATCAAGAATTGATGAGAACTGATAATATTTTTTAGCTACACCGTGTTGCCAATCTTTATTTTATCTTCATTGTAATTTTGAATATGATAATTGGAGCATTCGGTAAATACATTTCTTGGATGCCAATTTCGTTCGTGTTGGGAATAACGGCACTCAAAGATGCATTCGAAGACTACCGACGATATAAATCAGATCGAAAAATCAATCACTCGACGTGCCGCGTGTGGGATTCGAGTCAAGGAAGGTAAGAAAATGGTTTATTTTGATAATGAAGATTCGAACGAACACATTCCTTTAAATAAAAACTGATCGTTTTGTTTTGTGATCACAATTGATATGAAAATTATCCTGGGTTTTTGTAGATATCGAAAACTCGAATGGCAGAATATATTGGTTGGCGATTTTGTGCATTTATCACACGACGAAATTATACCAGCTGATATGTTGCTTCTTAGAAGTAGCGATACGAATGGTTGGATTTTGTTGAAAACCCCAAATATTCAAATATTTTTTGTTTTTGTAGGTATCTGCTATGTCGAAACATCAAATCTTGATGGCGAAACCAATCTGAAACAGCGACAAGCGGTTCGAGCAATGGGAAAATACCACAACTCAAATGTGCCTCTCGAATTCTCTCCGAAAGAGTTTAACTATTTGGTAGTCAATTATTACTTACTTACTAATAATATTTTTTGTCATTTTAATATTCAGGTGTCTTGTGAACAACCAACAACAGATGTATATAAATTTGAGGGAAGATTAGAGCAAATGGAAGGAGGTTTTGATTGTATCGAAATAGTAAGATTGTCATTATAATTTTTGATGCAGGTCCTCCAATTCCGCGCGAATTTACTGTTTTGGCAAAAGAGAATTTTCTTCTTCGAGGCTGTGTTATCAAAAACACGGATTTCGTTGAAGGAATCGTTCTTTATGCTGGAAAGGACACGAAAGCCATGCTTAATAACAGTGGCCCACGTTATAAGAGGTTCAGTTTTTTGTTTGAACAAAATCGTTCAAAGTTGCATTATGTTTAGGAGTTCATTGGAGAAATTGGCGAATATTGACATTTTGTGGTGTGTTGTTATTTTGCTCACAATGTGCATTATTGGAGCAATTTTATCAGGTATTATCTGCAGAAACCTTGAAAATAAAAAAAATCATTTTCATTATAGGATTTTGGCTTCGTGACTATAAGGAACCATATTTAACTCCATTTTTGGTGTTCATTGACAAAAACAGCACCTATCATACAAACAATGATAAAATTTATGAATACAATCCGTCGTTTCAAAGTTTTTATGGGTTTTGGAATTATATTATTGTATTACAAGTATGTGGCACAAATTAGAGCGATTAAAGCCAATATAAAGAAGTTTAGGTTATGATTCCAATATCTTTGTATGTTTCAATCGAATTCATCAAACTTGGACAAGTTTGGTTCATGTCGCAAGATATCAACATGTATCATGAGAAAAGTGACAAACGATTGCAGTGCAGGTACGATATTAGATTTATGTCCACTTATAAAAAAGCATTTTTTATTGCAGAGCGTTGAATATCACGGAAGAGCTAGGACAGATACAATACGTAATGTCAGATAAGACCGGAACATTGACTGAAAATCAGGAATGGATTAAGCGCACCAAAACTAGAATTAATGGTAGCGGTTTAGATGGTATTCCGGCGATGTTCTGTGCAAGGCCGCGATTATGGTGGACGGCCAATTTCAGCTCCAACTGCAATTAGTGTGGCATTAGAAAGATCGAATAGCGATAGTCCAGATGTGAAAGCCAAGAAGCAATTGGCTGCGCTTGAGGAGACCGCCATGATCACTGGTATTAAAAAATTTTACATTTAGAATAAAGTGTTCTTCAGGTCGTCCACGTCCTTCTAGAGATGTGAATCTTGAATCTCAATTGGCGACAATTGTGAGAAAGGATTTCGCCGACATTGATGATCCGATTTATGCGTTTTTCTTAACTATGGCCATATGTAATACGGTCGTCGTTAATGCAAAACCTCATGAGGATTTGATGGACCCTGAAGGAGATATGGTGAATTCGCAATTCATGAGTCTAGATGAAGATAGCACAACAACGGTATCGACGCCGGCAGGTGCTGCTGAGAACGATGATTTCACGGAAGGGGCAAATGTCAAATTTTTGGATGAAGTTATTGAGGAAGAAGTGACACCTGAAACAAAAAATGAGGAAGATGGATTCGAGGAAATTGAGTTGATCGATATCGCAGAAGATAAAAAGTCTGAAGAGGAAGAAGAGCCGAAAAAGAATAATGAAGATGACATTACGGTGATTAAGCGCAAAAATGATGATGTTAATAATTTCAACGGTGAACGCAGGGAATCGAAATTCGTAAGGAATCAAAAAGGATTTATGTGTTCATAACTGATTTCAGGGAATTCTTTCGCGACCTTCGATTCTTTCTGTGCCACTAGCCAAACTAAAAGGGATCAAAAGCCCATTTCGTAGATCAGACAAAAGAAAATCGAGCTCATCTGATGTTAGCACACCTCTTCACTCATTCTACGATTCCGAATCTCCTGATGAGCTCGCTCTTGTTGAAGCTGCTCGTGAGTACGGTGTTCGATTGATGAGACGAAGATTTGACGAGGTTGTGGTGCATCTTAGACATTCTGGAAAGTGCATGCAATATAAAGTATTGGAAAAAAGAAAATGTCAGAAAATAGACTCTAGTTATTAGGTGCTTCACACCCTTCCATTTGATGCTGATCGTAAACGAATGTCGGTAGTGATTCGAGAATGTACTGGAAAGAAACGCGTAATTTTGTTGACGAAAGGAGCTGATGCCACAATTCTTCCGGTGCTTAGCGAAAAATTTGCGACTTCCGAGGAAGGAGAAGATCTCATATTCAAGGTTTGAAATTTTAATCTCATCCGGCTCTACCTGAATGGTTTAGGCTCAAGATCATCTCACTGCGTATGCGAAAGAAGGCCTCCGCACTCTTTGTCTTTCCATGAAAATCTGGACGGAAGAGGAATACGAAGAATGGAGAGAAAAACACGAGGAAGCTGAGTTGGATGTGAGCAACAGAGAAGAGCTCCTCATTGAGAGCATGGTTCGAGCTGAACAAAATCTTATCCTTCTGGGTTTGTTTTTTAAATATCACTTTCAGCAATGATTGCTCTTCCATTACAGGAGTCACCGCGATTGAAGATCGTCTACAGGATGGTGTCCCAGAATGCATCCATTCCCTTCGAGAAGCCGGAATCCGAGTGTGGGTTCTCACCGGAGACAAAATTGAAACTGCAGTGAATATCGCCTACTCATCCCATTTGTTTTCACCATCTATGGACTTGTTGAATATTGGAGCAAACGGAGTTCGTGCTGTGTCTGATCTACTTGATGAACATCTTCAAAGAATATCCCGGGTTCGCGAAATAACAGATGATGCCGCTGATAATTTTGGTCTGGTACTGAACGCTGCAACGATGAACTATTGTCTTGATCCCCACAATCTCGAACGATTTGTAAAGCTACTTAAAGGGTATGTTCGATGAATTTCATATGTATTTCTATTTGCTTTATTTAGATGTCGATCAGTTCTCTGCTGTCGAGCAACACCACTCCAAAAGGCTCAACTTGTCTCGTTGGCGAAGAATCAGTTAGCCGGAAAAGTATTGGCAATTGGTGATGGCGCCAATGATGTCAGCATGATTCAGGTAGAAACAAACAATTTATTCTTTCCACATATCTAAGGTATGTATTTAGGGTGCTGATGTTGGAATCGGACTCTCCGGACAAGAAGGAATGCAAGCTGTAATGGCTAGTGACTTCGCAATGGCTCGTTTCAAGTTTTTGTCGAATTTACTGTTGGTTCATGGCCATTGGAATTACTATCGACTTGCGGAGACGATTCTCTACTTTTTCTACAAAAATGCGGTATTCGCTTAACGCAGAAAACCATTTTAAAAAATGATTTTCAGATGCTTGTATTCGTTGTTTTCTGGTATCAAATATTCAACGGCTTTTCAGCTCAAGTGCCTATCGATCCAGTCTATTTGATGGTTTATAATCTGATTTTTACATCGGGTAAATTAAATAATTTCATTATTAAAAAATCAACTTTTTATAGTTCCTCCTTTACTGTATGGCTGGCTTGATCAAGACGCAAGTGCCGAAACTCTACTAGAGAATCCAAAGTTGTACGAGCTTGGAAGACTGGGAAAGGTACTCGCTCCAATTGAATTATATTAATGAATAAAATATCACTAAAATTTTAGAAATACAAATGGTATTCCTACTGGATCAACTTTTTAGATTCAATTTACCAAAGTTCCGTTGTCTACTGGATATGTCATTTTGTAAGGGATTATTCGAGAATATTTACTGAAGCGGCTCTTTCAGATATACCGCGGATCAGATGCCTCAATGTGGGAGTTCGGACATTTGCTGGTGACTAAACTCATTATAGTCAACACTTTCCATTTGGCAGTTCTTGTGCAATATTGGGTAATTGATGATAATTTCTTTTTTCGAAATTTCTCTGTTATTCAGACATGGCCAATGTTCTGGTCGATGTTCCTTTCCGTCCTTCTCTTTTTCATCTGCGCTTTACTCTATAACGGATTCGTGACACCTAGCTGGACATGGACAAATGTCAAAGACCCTCCATCAATGGTCGCCTTACAGTCGTTCGCTGATATTCGATTCTGGATGGTATTTATTGATTCGAATGATTGGTTTCATTCTTCAATTCAGGGACTCATTATCGCAGTCGTTCTTTGCTTAACCCCACGATATGTTATAATGTCGATATTGAACACGGTGTTCCCTTCACAGGTTCTTCGTCAGAGACTTGGAGCCAAGTCGGATATCAAGAAGACTGAGTCGAGTATGAATGAATGAATAATTAATGGCTGAATATGGTTGTTTTAGGGTTCACTTCATGTGTTGTCGGGTGTATATCAGCTCCTATTCGTTGCTTCAGAGCTTGTTATTGTTGCAAGAAAACAAAATCGCATACGGTAAGGTTTTATTGAAAGAAATGCATTTCCATGGAGCATACTTTGATATTTATTTAATTAAATTGATTACCTAGTTTTCAGGTAACCGATGAGATGCATTAACCGGTTTGTGCGTTCTTTTCAATTCGGTGATTATAATACCCGATTCAATTAAAAAATGTTCAACTTCTGCCGGTGTTCAACCAATATTCTTCTCATCAACTTCTCACGGTTTTCACTAGCTTTTTATTCTCATACGTTTTCTTTTTTTTTCATGCCTTCTTCTATCATATCATACTCACCCATCTCCAATTTGTATACATATTTCCTACGACGAGGTTCTGCCTTGAAAAACGGGCTCAACGATTTTTGCTTTTGTTTTATAATCGTCAAACAAGTTGAATTGTTTAATTCTTTCCGATCTAGGCTAACTAATACTTTTTAGTTTCACAATTGTAGATTTTGTTAAATATTATATATAGTTTATTAATTAATACCCTCTCGTCAATCCCCCGACTCATTTTGTTCATATCAAATGACATTTAATACCCCAACTCTATCCTGTATTATAATTATCTCATTTCCTAGTTTTAATCGTAAGAAAATAAATTTTAGCATTTTTATAAACATTTAAAACATTTATTACGTCTCGAAGCTCGTTACAAAAAAATTACAAAGAAAATTGGAGAGAAATCTGGAATGAATGCAAGAATGTGGACATGATATTAGAGCGGCGAATTCGAAAATAAAATCAAAGATTCAATTGTCCTTTCGTGGATTTAAAACCGGACGCTTATTCGAATTTGTATTGCTGTTATTACTGGAAGCTTCCTTTTGCAGCTCGTAAACGAACGCAACAATTTTGGATTTGACGTAGAGCCGTTGAACCGGCGGCAACGCATTGAGTAGAGCTTCTTCCAGTGCGAATAAATCGCTAAGATCCGTACAAAACGGCTTCGGATCAGGTTTTGTTGCCATTGAAGGTGAATCTGAAATGAATAAAATCGAAGAGAACAGAACCAACGGATGACGGTGAACGAAGAAATGAGAAATCAACTCTTATCGCGAATCGGTTTTGTTTTTCTGTTGTAATCAATACAGTTCGCCACCGAAGGTCGAATTCAAAAGAAATGGTTTTCTTTTTGACATTGAAAAGATAACAGAACCTCTGATTAATCTAACAAGTGGTTGCGTTTGTGGAGGTGTTGGCAATAAGCATAAAGAGGGCGGTACTTCAGGCTTCAAGTCAGGAGGAGAGTTTTGCTCATCATAAAAGCTAAAAATAATTGAATCAATATTTCAATGTTGTTTTCGTACTTTTTCTTTTCCAAAAACCTCATATCGTAGAACAACGGAAACGAGGTCATGACATCATTTGGGTCCGCAGCCTCTCGTTCGTCACGATAAACAGAAATAAGTTGCTCAAGCAAATATCGAGCAGTGGAACCTGAATTGCGTGATTTTCTTTTAAAATATCCATTTTCTTTACCATGAACTCGTCCTCGAGCCAAAAAACGTGAACAAGCATTCTCGATTTCATCTAAAATTGGAGCTTTCATCTTCGTATTTTTGTACAACGGATGCGCTTCGTCCCAGAGAATTGGATGTTTTTCCACAAGTTTTACAAATCGCTTCAAATTGGCGACGTCGTACTGCAAAATTGAAATAAATTTTGTATTTTTTTTTAGGAAATCTTAAACTTAAAACCTCCAACCATGAAGCATCCCGTTTTGGTTTCTTTGGGCGACCGCTTTTAGTCTCACTGTAGATGCTTCGGTCTGAAAATATTTAAATTCACCCGCTTACTTCGGATTGTAGTATTCGCACCAATACAAAATAATATAAAAAATAATAAAATTACTCGAATTGAAAAAATGTATATTGTCGAGGTAGCGCGACTACGGAAAATTGGTTGAATGCAAAAAAAAACCCAATGACAGTGGGGTTGATCCAAAGCTTAAAAAGTAGATTTACGGGCTTATGTACAAATATAGATTAAAGGAGCACATCGCGGCATCGAGACCTCTTTGTAAATTTGTTGTCATTTAGACAATTTTCCGCAGTCGCGCGACGTCGGCAATACGCAGTCCCTGAAGAGTTAGAAACTTACACCAAATTGGCTTAAATAAAGATACTTCGGGTTGGATATTTTCGACATTTGCGACAAGTTTTGCAATGACTTCGTGAACGGCCCATGGAATTCCGACTAAATCATTGTTGTTGTTGTTATTTAGTTTGAACCTTTTCTGCTGGTAAAGTTCATTATTCGACTTCCCATCCGAAAAATCGAATTCGCGCTTCGTTCTTTTTGGTTTTATTGTTGCTTGGGAACAAATGGAGTTGCGAACTGGAATAAATGGCTTGATATCTGGCATCATCCAGTTATGATAGGGTTGAGTGTCGCCATCGATCGAGGAATTTAACAGTGCGGTGTCCGGTTTAATATCTTCCTCGTACTCGAGTTTCGGCATTTTGTCTAATAGATTCGGATGTTCTGTTGTATCATGAATAGACGAGGGATCCATAGAAACTGGAAATAAAAAACGCTTTTAAAGCGTGAAAATGTTTAAAAAGTAAAATGGAACATACATAAAATGAAAAAAAAAATACAGCGTCGAAAATGACGGAATTTATACAAAATGTTTTCGGACAAACCATGCAAAGAGTTCGTGATAAGAAGTTGGAAAAAAAATTATTCAGATTTGCGTAAACAAGTAAGAAAAGCCTGAATTGTTTATTTAGATCAAACCTGATAAGATCAAATAAAGATATAAATAACATGAAATTGAAATTTTCAGGAAGAATTTTTAAAACAAATGTATAAGAACAACTAAATTGTTTCGAAAATTTTAAATTCAATTGTCGAAGAGACGAAGATTCGACTAAATTAAACATTATTTCGAAAATAAAGTTTATTGGTTACGGTAGTGTGTAAGATTTTGAACACGTTGACGCACTATTACGGGTATTTTTTTTCACGCGTGACATACGTTTTCATGTTGTTCCGTTTCTTGTTTTCCAGTGAATCAAATTCCTGGAATCATTGAAAACGTTTTTTGTTTGTATTTATCTTTTTACGTGTTCAGTTTTTAATCATTAACGGACCATTGTGAGTAAATGGTCTTTAGAATTGTTCGAGTGATTGAAGTAAACCCGTTATCGTAATCAAATTAGCGAAATGCTTGGTTAACCAAACAAATTACGTAAGAACCTGTAAGTAGTCTCTCGTTATAATCGCAATTCCATCAAAACTTTCTAACAGGGCAAGTCGATAATAAATCATCAAAAAGTTTTTTTCTCATTGGATTCACTGATAGGGCATTTTTGAATGTAACCGATTAGGTGCACAGAACTTCCGACATTTGAAAATTAAGTTCCGTGCCGCTCGGTAAATTTTTTGAAAAGTATTATTTATAAATATAACGTTATAACGTATGTGCTGTTTCTATTTCCGAATGTTTTTTTTTCTACATTTGTAAATGTTCGTATTTGGCACAATTATATACATGAGCAATTTCTGTATTTCGGCTTTAAATAATTCAGAATATAATTCAATGTACAGCTTCTCTTTCATACTGTCCACTTCAACTTCATTTCACCATTTTCAATAGAATTTAATCGAGAACAAAACGAATCGAAGGAAAGTGAGTTTTTTCATTCAAAACTCTAAAAAATATTTCTCATCGAAAAAAATCCGTCCATGAATCCATCGGACAGCTGTTTCGCAAAGGAGCGAGACGCAGGATCGGCGCGCAAATCGGCCGCACGTGTGGAACAGCTGAGTGGTGCCAAGCGAGAGAGTGCCACCAGACGGGCAGAGGCCAGCGTATCGATCGACTAACGCACCGCCCATGCCTGCGTCTTTCCATTACTACAATGTTTTTGCGCCGTGTGTGTTGTTTCATCATAAACTCTCTTTTTTCTATCTATTTTTCGGTATTTTTTTGTTAACGGGTCATTGATGTTTGTAATAATGCCTCTCGGAAGTTGGTAACCGGGATAGAACCTTACAAGCATCAACATAAAAATATTGAATATTAGGAAATCTCGATGTTTTCATTTCCATTTTGAAAATCTCTTATTTAAAGTCAATTCGTGGCAGTACATTGATTTTTAATCAAACCGCTCATGCTGCAAATTTATCAGACCAATTGGTTTGATAATTAATTATCATCGCTTAATTGAATAAATTCTTCCAATAATTTTCAACATTTGCTAAACAAAGATTGAATTTTTTTAGTTTTTGGTTTGGGGGAGAGGAGAAGAGTATTTTTCTAAAACTGCTTATTTGTTATTATTTTCGTAGAAAAATTCCAAATGCGTTTTGGTAATTGTTTGGTTAGTTTTGTTTCTCAACGTTTATTCGTAGCGGTTTCTCATGGGCATTACTCATACGTATTACTTCGAAAAAATGTTTATACTATCGGAATATTCATGTTTTCTTTTTTATTCCCACAACGCATCATGAAATCCGAAGTTAATTCTTCTTAAATGCTTTTTGCCCAGTATGCAGTAGTAATCTTTTGAAAATCTTGTGAACCTGCAAAGTGTCTCCGCAAATGTGCATCAGAATAATGTTGCGTGCTTCTTCTTGCTCTTGCTCGTCTTTTCTCAGCACTCTTCGCCAAATTTGATTACTCAAGTTGTTTACCACTTTTGGATCACCGCCTTCCTTCGTATGTGTTTTTTGTCGGCGTTCCTCTTTCCGCCATTCCTCACTTTAGTTAAACAAATTCGCACTCCTCTGCTATCTAAGCTGGCCTACTGTATTTGATTAAGCGTTTGCCTTCTTCAAAATTTCCTGTGCAAACTTTTGCAACATTTGCTCTCGGTAGGCTCAGGCACCTGATTTCTTTGTTGCGCATGCGAATGGAAATTGATTGGCGAATAAATGCACAAATAGACGTTTAATTGCACTTTTATGGATCATTTTGCGTTTCGACGACAATGAGCCATTAATTTAAGGAGAAAACGACCCAGAATCACTTGTTGTTCTTCCATTTTTTCAAAACAAACAAACAAATATGTAATTATTGTTTACTAGGCGATATTCTAATGATACGCCAATACTTTTTTGTTGAGTTTCACTGACAAAACCTCTGAAAATGCGCTTGCCTTTTTTTGGGTTTATGTCGGCATTTTTAAATTAGGGTTTTTTCTCTTTGTTCATTAAACCAGATTTTGATGATCTGTAGATTTAGAGCAAACATTTTAACAGTGTGTAATATATGCTCAGTACGCGTTCATCGTCGATGCAAATCGGTAGATTTTCGTTGAAATTCGAGCGCACTCACACACTCACTCAGTCGACGAGCAACTGAGAGAATATGAGCGCAAGAGAGCACTTCGTCCGGTGTTGCACAACTGGCCCAAGAATCCTTTCTTTCCGCCGTGTACTTTGTCCGATACGTGTAGTCAATTTTGTGAGGTCTCTTCTACATATTTACAACAGCTACCATATGTGTATCATATATTATCAATCGGCGTCTTCTTTCTTTGTTGGTTTTTGATTTCGACCCTTTTTTTGTTCATCCGATCCAATACCATTCTATTTTTGAGTGTTTTCGACGAATTTCAGAATGTTTGCAAAAAAGTTAATCTGATTCCGGTCAAGGTCGATTTTTCTCTTCATTGTTTTAGTGGTTCTCTTATTCATACTGCCTACGTGACCATTACGAATTTGAGAACAACCAGCTGTGTCGGTGATTTCACACTGATTTGTTGTTCAAATCGGGAGAAGAAAACACGCATGTAGATCGAAACGCGTCAATGTGTCCCGGAAATTCGACGCGATTTCAGTGTTGATTTCAAATTTTTTGAGTGTACTTTGACCCCATTGATAATTTATGTTTTTTTTTCAACCACGTGTTCATTCCTTCATGATTGAAGGAGATTGTTTAAAGTTTAAGGTCACCTCTGATGGTTTTTGAACCAAATATTTCATTTTTTGGATATCGAATGAAACAGTTCTTCGTGTCTGCTCAACAACATTAATAAAATTGGTTCACCGGAGTTGTCAGAAAAAACTTCATCCATTTCTGAGTTTCTTTATTCTCATATAAGGATGACTTTTTGTATGTATTAGTCGGCGTAATGATCGTTTGATTTTTCATCTGTCATCACTGTTCTCTGAAAATCGTTTCGATCATTATCGCGTTTTTTTTTGTTCGCCCCTTGTTTATTTTTATTCATGCAAATCATTTTTCTTTTTCAGGTCTCACCACCCGGAACCGCAATTCTTGCAAAATAACCCGAATTGAACCTTTTCCGACAGCGTCGAATCAAGGCGATTTCGGAATTTTAGAATGGTCGCTGGTGTGCGGTTGTTAGCATGCGGTAGGCTTGCTGTGCGAGCCGTATTCTCAGCATCTGCCCTTGACATTGGTATGTTTTTGTTCACTGATTGTATCCGATGAATAGCGAATTCGTCACCCATTTTCAAACTTGTCTTTTGTTCAGTGATTTGTGATCATTCATTTCTGATTTTCAAATCATTTCATCAAACTTTTCTTTAAATATTCGCTTTGAAAGAATTTCAAGGAAAATCATTTTTGTTTTTTTTTTCAATTGACCATTCATCTCAATTTTTGCAATTCTGCAATAATTCAGTTTATTTACTCGGGCTAGGTGTGATCTTTGATTTACCCGTTAGACCAAACATCGTGAAAATGATTCTCTTTTGAAGGCGCAACCGTAACAGCAGATTCTATACAAACGACAGGAAAACGATCGTTTGCTTCGCAGCCGTCAGCTTCTGGAAAATCGGCTGAAAATGCAGCGAATGCTGCGACGTCGTCGCACGTCGAAAATGTGATTGCTAGCTGCGCAGGGTTTCCAAAAGTAAACCGATATCTTAATAACTTGAAATGTACAGCCGAAATTTTTCAGGATATGTTAAATGGTCCCTCGACAGTTCTTGAAAAGGGTGTTTATGGTGATGATGCGTGGTTTATATCAAGGTTTAAGAACACTTTTGTCGTCGGTTAGTTTTTCTTTTTGTTCTCTAAAAAATCCTCTTATCTTATTTAAGGCGTCGCAGATGGCGTTGGCGGCTGGAGAAAGTACGGAATTGACCCATCGCAGTTCTCTCGAAAATTAATGAAAGAATGCGAAAAACGGGTACAAGGCGGCGAATTCGATCCGAAAAGGCCCGACACGCTGCTCGAATACGCGTTCCGAGCAACCGCCGAAGCGCCAAGACCTGTCGGCTCGTCGACGGCGTGTGTTCTCGTTGTGCATCAGGAGAAGCTTTACTCGGCGAATCTCGGTGATTCGGGTTTTATGGTTGTGCGGAATGGCAAAGTGATACTCAAAAGCAGGGAACAGGTGCACTATTTCAATGCTCCTTTCCAGCTCACGTTACCTCCAGAGGGTAATTGATTAGAAAACTCGATTCAAACCTATCGATTATTTTTTAAAGGTTACCAGGGATTCATTGGAGATAATCCTGATATGGCTGACAGGGACGAATTAGCTGTCAAAAAAGGAGACATTATTTTGCTTGGTGAGAATTTCACAAAACTTTTACAATTTTCTTAATTTTTTCGCACCGTATGTTTTTTAACAATCTTTGGTTGTTTTCAGCGACCGATGGCGTTTGGGACAATCTGAGCGATCATCATGTGCTCGAGCAGCTCAAAACATTAGACGAAGGAAAGCGGAATGTGCAAGAGGTTATTATTATTTTTACTTGTTTCCGAAATAAACTTCTATTTATTGAAAAAGATTAGAATCTTAAAAAAATAAGCTGAGCATATTTTTCTTTGATGAAATCAATATTATTTTTGTGAAACGAGAAATCGTTACCTTTTAAAATACGAATTTTAGTTAAATATTTAATACACAGTGCAAATATTTTCAATTATAAAGTTGTTAGAAAAGGAATCTTCATCATTCTCTATTCCGTTTTCTGAGAAATTTCTGGTAGTGACAGGTTTCTCTCGGAAAATAGTACTAATTGTTCTCAACAATTGATTTTAGGTGTGCAATGCTCTCGCTTTGACCGCTCGTCGTCTCGCATTCGATTCCAAACACAACAGTCCGTTCGCGATGAAAGCGCGCGAGCATGGATTTTCGGCTCCCGGCGGCAAACCGGATGATATAACATTAGTACTTTTACTCATCGCATAATTAGACGGTTATTTTTCATCTAATTATTCGTATTTTTATTCTTTTGTTTGATATTGATTGAACTGCCCGCGCCGCAGAACTCTCGCAAAGAATCGTGCGATCTCCACCAATTGTTCTCTTCAGAAAACTCCGCCTGAATTTTTCATTTTCTGGTTATTGCGTGTCCATTGTGCCTTTTCATACTGTGCTCCATGAGATTTGCTCTCATTTCAATATTAATATTATTATGAACAACCAGCCTTGCGCTGTTTAAATGGGTTTTAGATGATTTTAAAAATCTAGAAGGTAGTGTTCAAAAACTGTGTTCTTGTTGTTATTTTTGTTTTCTTTTTTAATGTGCCACAACAACACTAATATAAAGTTTAGTGCGAATCAATAAAATAGTTTTCGGTTTCTTACCTCGATAATGCAAACAATACAAGCGACAAGGAGGGCAGAGATACAGAGGAATCGCGATTTTAGGTCAATTGAACTGACTTCTCGCATTCATCGATTTCGATGTTTCTTACATCCTTATTTCCTCAATATGATTACTTTAACTGTTCTTAATTTAATATGTTAACAAATAGATCAGAAATGAAATCATTTGAATATTAGAAACATTTTCAGAATGATTGAAACGTACATTCAAAAATCAGAATCGCTCAAACATTTTCGCATTTTATTTGCATATTTTCAGCGACTCTGAGTCGCTTCTTTTCGCTCGATCTCTCTCTCTCTCTTTAAACCGTTTATCATATTAAAATCAGCATCAATTTTTGTATCCAATAACGATGTACGTATAAGGTCATTTCAGTTTAAGAAACACTAATGTAGTGTTCGTTGACTCGATGGAAAACTATAATGTTTTTTGTTAAATAAAATAAATGAGGAATGGAAAAGAAAATCGCTCATTAACCCAAAATGAAGAAAACTGATGATTTTCAGCAATGAAATAGTGAAAAGAAGCAAACAAAAAATGCCGAATTATTTAGCAAGCCGAATTCGACGATATCGGCATGTTTAAAATATTATTTTTTTTCGAGAATTTTCAATTTCAATTTTCAGCGAGACCTTCTTTCCTCTGATATTTGGGGTTTTTGTTGGATACTTTTTCGGATTTTTGTTTCTGTTTACGAGTGAGCAAGATGTCATTGAACATATTCGTATTTTGAATAACGGTAGAGTTCTTCTAAGCACCCAACTCAAAATTTGGTCATTTATAATTTTTGAGACGGTCAATTCGAAACCGAAAAACATTTTTTCCTTCGATGTGTCATCATAATTCATCCTCAGACAGCGGTATTGTTTTTTTTTTACAATATTGTTTTTTTTTTACGTACTCCGTATTTCAGAAACCTGATAAGGTTGTATCAGCATTAACTGACGGCTATACGAAATATTGCAATGAAACTGTATTTTTCTATAATACAGAAAGCTTTGCTAAAAAATTGAAAGGTAAACGAAAAACTGAAATTTTTAATGAGCTTAATATTCGAATGCTTTCAAAATTGTCGAATTTTTCAATTTTACACATTAAAATTTGTTAAACTTTACTCCAAAAATAGCAATTTATCATTTCACTTAATAAGTCCACAAGATGATCAATTTAAGGCAAATATCGAACCGAATTCATCGATGAGCCGAATACAAACCATTTCTATTGGGATTATTATCAACATGTCATGTCTTCTTCTTCGTCTTCTTCTCCAGCTCAATGGACATTTGTTGGTGATGATCAAACATATTTGATGGTTGCAAATTTGCGAAAAACTCTTGAAAATTTTAATGAAAATGAGCCACTCGTTTTCGGAAAAGTCGCTAGTATTCCAACATTTCTATCATGGATTTTTCCATTCTCAAATAAAGGAAAAATCGCGATCCGAGCTGGCGTAGTGTTTTCTTCAAATGCTATTCGTCAATTAGAGAAGTGCAGGTAAAACGATTATTCGAATTTTTCAAGGAATATCGCTTTCAGAGGATTTTTCTTTGCTCGTTCAACTGAATTTGCATTATATGAATGCTGCGAAAAGTTTTCTGTTCGCGTAACGGATCCATTCGACGAAAGCGCGCTACGACAGTTTCATGAATCCCCACCACGAACTCTAATCACGCCGTCGTCGTATTCATTTCAATTTTGGAAAGGGGTTGATTAAATTTAATTTGCTCTTAATTACTTTAACATTTCAGAAAACAAAACCATGTTGCTCGGATCATGCTATTACTTTTGGGCAACTTTCAACAAAGGATATGAGGGTCTTAGAATATGGCTCAACGTTGAAAGTGTTTGGACGCGGCGAAATTGTGGAAATCGAAGATGAAATGGATGCGGGTGCTAATTTAACAGCGGGTTTATAAATTAATATGTTTTTTTGGAACCAGTTCATTTAAATAATAACATAACAAAAGGTGAAACAAGAAGAATAAAAATCTAAGCTATCTAAAAACAAAAGCAACTCAGACAATTTCGATGACAGCTCCGGCTTTCTCCAAAACTGCTTTCAATTCTTCGGCTTCCGCCTTTCCAAGATCTTCTTTCACGTTTACTGGAGCGGTTTCCACAAACTAAAACACACTATGTTGATAATTTTAGATTGTTCTATCAAAATACCTTCTTAGCTTGCACAAGATTCAATCCAGGCACGGCATTACGAATCTCCTTGATAATAGCAATCTTCTTAGTCTCGTCGAATTTAGTTAATTTCACGGTGAATGTCATCTTTTGCGGAACATCCGAAGCAGCTTCAGCAGATTCGGTTTGCGCGACTGGAGCAGCCGCGGCTGGCGCAAAGGCCGCCATCATCGGTTGATCGGGAATGTTCAATCGCTTCTTGAGTGCCCAGTTGAGATCAGAGACGTCGAGGAGACTGAGATTTGCAATTTCCTCAACAAGTGATGACACTTTTGGAGAAATTTGACGATCATCCGATGATGGAAGAGGAGCCGGTTCTCCTTCGCTTACTGGAAGACCAGCGGCTTGTGAGTATCGCGCCGCAGATGAGCGGATGATCTTGGAGAAGGTAAGGAAGGAGCGGGAAGTCAGCATCTCTGTAATCGATTTGAGTTTGGTTTGAAGTAAAAACTTAATAATTAAATAAATCTCCTAAAAATGTAGGAAGATAAAAATAGAGGTTAATTTTTGGAATGCACAATGATATTCGGCATGAGGTGCTTAAATGAGTACTCATACGCATAATGATAATCATGCCGATTGTTAAAATTAATGTTTTAAAGACTTTTTTTGTCTGGATTCGAGGTGACAAGAAAAATAGGTGCCTTATAAATCCTATGGATCTATCTGTTACGAAGTGTGGCGCCTGATTAAAAAAACATGAATAAACCAGTGCAACCCACTGTGAAAACGTGAATTAACAAAACCTCAATTTTTAAAGCCGTAAATAAATATTAAAGATATACCTATTTAGCATAATACATAATACTAGGAACATTTCTGCGTCATATTGGGCGAATTCTACAGAACTGATTTACATTAACTAAACTTTAATTTACATCTTTGGAAAAATTTGTATTTTTTAACATTTTTGCATTGCACTATACTTATCGAATTGATGAGAAGCTTCTTTTGTAAAATAAACAAAATTGGCGCATTTATCAGAGGAAAATTTAATATATCATTTTCCTTGTTCGCCCACACTTTATATATTTGATATTAATAAAACATTTTTTGATTTTACATTAGATTTATTGCTTCATTAGAGCGTCTAACGTCAATGTAGGGCGATGAAACGCCATTCTTCAAATACCTTATTGTAGGCATTGCTAAAAAAAAAGAAGAGAAAATTTCAAAGCAGCAAAGAAAAACAAATTGTTATTTATCTAACTTTTGATGTTGTTTAATTTTTTGTTGTGATATTTTTTCTGCATTGACCCATACGTTAATAGAAAAAAAGGATAAAATAAATAAAAAATTCCAAAAAAATTGCGCATCACCAAATTTACGCCAGCCCGGAGCTTGGCGTATTTGCGACCTGCTGGCGTATTTTTTGTGCACGAGCTCTGCAATTTTTGGTCGCAAATTTTAATATATTCAATTTTACGCTTTTTTCACTAAAATTTTTTCATTTTTCAGTATCGTGTATGCTTGTTATTGGGGATAATAACCTCATCATCTTTAGCAACTAGAAACCTAAAAAAAAGGTAATTTTCATTTAAAAACATTTATAAACTGCGCCATTAGAGAACCCGCGAGCGGATCAATGAAAGTGTTTTTGTTTTTAGAAGATGGGCTCATCGACGGGTCTGGTAATCGCTGGTGTTGCTGGCGTGACGGGGCTCGTCATCACAGCGGCTTCTGTACCGTTTGTTGCGCCAGCCCTACGTCGCGTCTGCATTCCATACGTACCAGCGACGAGCGCGCAGCTCGCTAACGTCTCTCGCGCTTTATCACTAGCTTCTTCAAATTCAAAGGGCACTCTCATTGATCTAGGCTCCGGCGATGGTCGTGTTGTAAGTGACGTTTGTTATATTGCAGATGAAGTTCGGCGAGCAACTCGTCAGCCATTTGACACCAGAATGGCGTAAACAATATATTGACTATGAGCGCCTCAAAAGTCTTCTTTATGACAATATGCTCGAGGTTCCTGCAGAGGATGATCGTCGAGAAGAGCATATTGCCAGACTAGATGAGATATTCTTCAATGAATGCGAACAAGAACTCACTAAAATCAATCTATTCTTCTCACAAAAAAGCGCTGAAGCCCAAGGAAAATATCACGAGTTGCAATCCGAGTTACAAACGTTTAAAGAAGTTCTGGAATCGCGAAATGAGCCGATGAATTTACGACGCAGATTCGGCGGCAAGGACAAATTGCACAAAGAAGCAACACGAAGTGAACAGCAACTCAAACTCGCATTTTCCGAGTTCTACCTTAGCTTGGTGCTCATACAGAACTATCAACAACTGAATGCTACGGGATTTCGTAAAATTTTGAAGAAACATGACAAATTGACAGGAAACGAGAAAGGTCTCGACTGGAGAATCAACAAAGTTGAGAAGAGTTCGTTTTTCTTGAATCGCGAGATTGAAACTCTCATCACGAATGTCGAGACGTCAGTTATCAACGATTTGGAAGGTGGAAATCGTCAAGCTGGCATGAAGCGGTTAAAGGTACAATTTTCTTTTTTAATATTTTTGTCGTACCAGCATTTATTGTCGAAGTCACGCGACTGCAGACGCGTGGGGAATATTTACGCTACGTTGCTAATCGTGATTTTGTCTGTATGGAATACACAGACGGAACTCTTCGTCTCCAGGCTTTTTGCCAATTTGTCGCACTCGTGCGACTTCGGCAATACATGTGTTAAATTTTTAAAATGTAATTTTGGAAGATCAATATTCTGTTTTTAGGTACCGCCACTTTCCGAGAAGCAGAAACCGATGACCACTTTCTCATTGGGTCTTTTCATTGGTGCAAGCATCATTCTATTGTTAGCCATCATCTTCAGTTGGTGGGGCTCACCTCCAAGACCCAATGAGCCGAAATGGGTTGCTGTCCGTTTGTTTCGTGGACCACTTCTTGTCTTCCTCTCGATATTCCTTTGTGGTGTCAACATGGCCGGCTGGGCAGGTGCTGGTGTGAATCATGTGCTCATTTTCGAAGTCGATCCCAGGAACCATCTCTCGTATCAAGCGCTTATGCAAATTGCCGCGTTCATGATCATGCTTTGGTCATTAGCTGTACTCGCCTACTTATATGCTCATCTTCTACATATCCCTCCATTCGCCCCGCCGCTCGTTTTGATGATCCTTTGCTTCCTGATCCTTATCAATCCGATCGGAAAACCTGATTCAGTTTTTCATCGAAATTCGCGTTTTTGGCTCATTCGTCATTGTTTCCACTGCTTCTCGGCACCGTTGTTTTTCGTCACATTCACTGATTTCTGGCTTGGCGATCAAATGAATTCTCTGACCACTGCGTTTCTGGATTTCGAATATTTTCTGTGCTTCTATGGAAGTGAGGTTGACTATAGCGATGGCTGGATGGAAGTGCGAGCGCTGAATTCAACAACTGGATCCGTTCCATGGGGACATGTCGATATAGCGACTGGAAAGGACATGTGCATGTCGGCTGCTGGAATCCGATCAATGGTCTCGGTAGTTCCGGCATTGATACGTTTTCTTCAATGTCTTCGAAGATACCGCGATACAAAACGAGTTCATCCGCATCTTGTCAACGCCGGAAAATATTCCACCACATTCATCGTTGTTGCTTGCGGTGCTCTAAACAAATGGATGGAGAAGGATGATCCAAATGCCACGTCGATCTTCTTCTACATTTGGATCCTGTCTTATATAATGTCTTTCACCTACACATTCCTTTGGGACGTTTTCATGGATTGGGGTCTTATCGATCCAAGAGCTCCGAAAGATGCAATGTTCTTACGAGAGGAGATGATTTACGGCAGTAAATGGTATTATTATGCCGCTATCGCTCAGGACTTCATTCTTCGTTTATCCTGGGTTTTAAACGTCTCGCTCGGAGAAGCTTGGACATTGGATTCAGACTTCTTGACAACAGTTACTGCTCCATTTGAAGTGTTTCGTCGATTCATTTGGAACTACTTCCGTCTAGAAAACGAGCACGTCAACAATTGCGGTCAATTCCGTGCTGTTCGTGATATCTCTGTGAAGCCGATAAGAAAAGGCGATCTGGAGTCTTTGCTCACCAAAATGGATCAGATGGACGGTGTCACACATCGTGGGCATGATCTTATGGAGCGTGTGAAGAAGCAAAAGAAGACGGCGAAATCGACTCGACAGCTTTTGAGGAAGACGAGATTCAATCGATTGATTGCGCAAGCGCCGGTCGCCATTACATTGGTCGAAACGGCTCATTAGGCTATAATGTATCTTCCGCAATTTTAGACAAGCTTCATGTTTTAGCGAATAGTACAAAGTCGTGTTTGAAAAAGCCTACTCTCATTTTTAGAACATATTTTATCGACAAAAAAAAAATGCCATTCATTCCATTATTGTCTCAACCCGTTCTAGTGCTCCATTGGATGTTAATATTTGTTGCAATACAGTGTTTTCACTTAAATTTTTTCAAATAATAACGAAGTTGTTCAGTCATTCCACAAATTTTAGTCACAAATGGCTTTATCCAATTAATCCGCGTTTCCAAATTCTTTTTTTTGCTCTACTTGATTATATGTACTTAAATAGATTACTTTTGCTTCTAATTCTTATATTATTTGATAAATATAAATTTTTATATGTGTTTGATTTCAAATATATTTATAAAACAAATAATTAAAAAAAATACAATGATTTAGGTACTTCAATGCGCTAGAGAAGGATATAAAAGCACTGGAGTTGAATTGAATTCGATTTTGGTCGCTTATTCGAAATATCGGTCGATTCGTGAAGGACTGAGAAATGAAGCCAAGTAGATCACTTGAATATGATTCCAGAAATTTGAAATAAAACATTGAAGGTTTACGAGGAAGGACATCTTCAAAACCGATTTGACGAAATACGATACTGCAGTGATTTTTGGAGCAGAAAGCTTGGTATATAATTATTTGTTGAAATGATTAAAAAAAAAATACAATTTAGATGGGAGATTTGGTTCCAAAGTTAAGCGAAATGAGGCCATCTTCGAATCTTCTTGCTTGTCGGTTTCCATTACCTGAAAATGATGCTTGGAAATTAGTAAATTTGCATAAATTTGTCATTCGTGATTGTTTCCAATTTTCAGGAGACGCAAATCGGCGAGGGAATCGACGCAGTATGGGTTTATAAGCGCAATTGATACAAATTTTAGTATAGAAACTTAGATTTTGTTGTTTTTTCGTTTTGTTATGAATTATTATATTGTTCAAAGTTATTATTTCAAACAAAAATCGAGACAATTCGATAAAAAATATCTGAAAACGGTATTTCGAAAAAAAAAAGAATTATATTGGCTTCATCCTAGGAAATGTTGATAAATTATGCGACGAATTTGATGATTAACCAATCAAGAAACAGAGCCACATATTACCAACAGACGAAGAAATTCCCTCCTGCCTTTATACGGTATAAATCAACTCAAAATTGCATTTGCAAATATGAGAATTTTAGCCGATTTCTTTTGCGGTACCCAAATGCGCACTTATATCTTGTTTTCGGATTATGCTCATCAGCTATGGTTGCTCCAGTTTTGCATTCTGTAATTTCTTTTATGCGATTCCCGCATTAAAATTATTATTTTAGTGTTATTTGTACGCAACAATGTCAAAAACAGAGTTCGATATTTATAGGAATGAAAGGAATGCGCTTGTTTTAGATCGACAAAAGTTTGGTAAGTCGACTCGGCTTAAAAAAAATGTTGAAGGAAAATTCAGAATAAACTTGGTTTATTAGAAACCACTCCCTCTTTTTTAACCGCCACCACTGCATTTCCACCTCCCAATTTTCTAATGTTAAATTTTATATCGAAACAAGAAACAATTGAAGAACGGTTTTTGGAAATTTGAAAATTTTGTTTCTGAAACGTGTCAAGTGTTCAAGGGCGTCTAAATTCGAAAATTTTTGAAAATTTCTGAAATGAATCCTAGCGACTTCTACACACTATAACACTTTGGCATGTTTTATTAACATTTTCAGAAATACGAGATCGCTAGGATCTGGAATTTGTAAAATTTTCGTATTTGAACCCTTAGGACACATTTCTACACTTTTTACAGGTTTTAGGAACAAAATTTTAAAATTTCTGAAAATTGTTCACATTAGATAATATTCGTTTAGTGTTTTAATGAACATTCGAGGAACATCCAATTAATACGATTTTTATTGCATTTACGAAGGACAAACATTCTCTAGTGAAAAATGTGAGAGAATGTCCGTGATTTTCTTAATTTGAGTGTATTAAGTATGACTTGAAAGGATGCCGATGCTGCGTTTTTTTTTTGTTTTCTCTCTTTCGAAATTCCGCAGTTATTTCGCTGAGTTTTAATTGACCTCTTGGGAAAAATAATACTAATAAGCCTGTGGCGTCTTGAAAAACGAAAAACCCCTATATTTCTGCCGAAACGAATGTTTTTTTTTTCGCTGACACACTTTTGTTTCTATTGATTTTGTCAATCCCTCATGATAGATATTTGAAGCTCAAAAAAAAGTGTTTGGAGGAGTTGTAAAATAACGTATCTCCTCCGCTAAACTATATATACGTTTTATGCTTGAGAAGAAATAAAATTATAACGATGTTCTGCCAACTTCCCTTCAGCTCTTTATTCGCAAAAATTTGTTTTATCTCTCTCTCTCAGCACATCGACAAGTCGATTCTTCTTTTTCGTTTTTGCAGGAAAAGGCTTGTGGTTTCCCTTCATGTCTTCCGAAGAGAAAACGACCACCCCCCGCGCAAACACCAACGTCAATCAGTCTGCAGACTGAGTTCAAATTTAGCGCTTTTTTTCTTATATAAAATAGTTATCAATAAAGTTGATTTTAGCATTAATACATTTCAAAATATTCAAACGTTTTCGCTTATCGAATGTATATTTTTGAAGAATACGCCATCGCTTGTTTGCTCAAGGCACGCGTTTCGAAGAGGAATGAATTCTACAAAAAATCTTTTAATTCAATATTTGAGCGCTTTGCCTTCTATATTTTGAGTAACTGATTGATTTTTTTTTGATTTTCGAAACAAAGCGTGTTATATTTGGCGCTTCAAAGTGTTTATTTCAATTAGTCACAAAACTTAATCCTCATCATGACTAACACAAGAAATTTCGTAATTTTTTTTGCAATCATTTCGTTGTTTCATTTTGAATAACAACAAGCTTTGTTTTGCATTTACGATCTTTAAAAAAATCTTTAAAGTTAAAAAAAAATAAAAATGCATTCTTAACCGCGGTTTCAATCATGATTTTCAAAACATTCGCTAATTTTCGTGAATTACGCTGTATGCTTCCGCAAACATCGACCGATGGCGGCAGGTTTAAGTTTTCACTTTTATTTCTCATTGTCAATTCCCTTATGAGATTATACTTGTTTGAAGTGGGTTCGTTGAAACCAAATCTTGTAGACTATTCATCATTTTGGAACAATGCCAAGACGCTTTGCCATCGCAAACGATGCCGTCGACTTTTTTCGCTCCTCGTTTTTTTCGCGTTGAAACGTCAAAGACCTTGAGGCGGCCGCGGCACAGCCATTCATATTCATTTTTCACATAACGTTCGATTTATTGCCTCAAAAAATTGTATTTCGCCCCCAATTTTTGTTCATGTTTGCCGCAAATTTGATTATTATTGCATTTTTCAGTTTCGTTCCACGATGACGACGTTCACAGGCGAACTCATCATGCTGACCCCGCTCAAACAAGACAACGATCATTATATTGTCAAAATACATAGGTACATTTCATTTTTAACTAAAAATAGCCGCATTTAATGGATAAGAATTTGAAGAGAGTAGATCAAACGGTTAAACCATCATTCTGTTTTTTTTTTCAAAACAAACGTTGCATGTTTTATTCCGATAAAATAAATTTTGTTTTTGAAAATTGAAAAAAAAAAACAGTTTTCTATAAATTGTGGAATTTAGGGAAGAAAATGCTATTGCTGAAAAGATTCTTCATATTGCTGGTGGACCATACGCAGGCATTATTGTTAATCGACTCGAAGAAAATCCAAATCTCGGTTTTTAATGATTTCCGTTTCTTTGTTTTCCACATGTTGCATTTATTCAGATTTCCATCCAGATGTCTCGCTTTCGTTCAACGTTTTGCTCGGAAACAGGCAGGAGAAGCCTGTTCAGGTATTTATTTTTTCCTGCAAATTTAAAATTGTCTTATTTTTTAAAGGAAAAACGCTCCCTTTATTTCTTCATTCGTCATGGAGTCGATGCCGATGTTGGTCGTGCCGTCGTACATAAATATTTTAGAAGCCTACTTTCAAATTTATCTGGAGGTGCAGTTTTTGTTTCAAAAATCTCTTCATTATGTTTTCTATTATTAAGGATATGTATCGTTTATGAAAAAAGCAATCGGATTACTTCAAAAAGAATTCCTTGAGATCACTGCTCTTGTTATTGATTATAAGCTGGTTGCCGAGGAGGAGCAAGTCGCCATCCCAGATGCTGCTCAATACGATTCGGGATCGGAAATCGAAGAAGTGACTGCCGGACATGTTCAGGAAGTTCTCGAGCACGCATACCCAGATGGTCTTCCGGTAGCGAAAATTGCGGAATGCTTAAGGTATATATAAATATTATTGAACAATTCAATATTCTTTGAAGATGTGATGAAGATGAGGTTATCGGCTATCTGTCGGAACTTGAATCTTCTAGAATTGTGACACAGGTTGGTGATGAATGGATTCGTGCTGATACCAAAAAGGTTTACGAAAGTATTGAGGCTCAGAGACAAGGTATAAATGCGGAATACTTTTTTTCAAAAATATGCATACTGTGTTCCAGCTTCAGCTTCGACGTCGGCTGATCAGCCAACAGTCGCCATCATTTCTTGTTTGTTCGTTGAGAAGCAGGCAGTCGATTCTCTAATTGAAGAAAGGTAGCTCTTAAATTGAGCATTTTCTGTCTAAGCAACAATGTTTCAGCTCGACAATTCATAAATACAAATCTGGAGGTGATTCGAATGTGTACACGATCGGAAGAATTGGAGAACATCGGGTGGTTGCGACGAAGCTTGCTCTTATCGGAGATTCACGCGAAGCAATCACGAGTGCCGGATCAATCACAACAAGGTTAAAGGTTTTGAAGGGTTAACAAAACATTTTTAAAATTCACTGGAATTTGGTGAATCTTTAAAATTGAGGAAAATCGGAAACATATTGCTTTATAGACTTCTTGGAAACTTCCAAAACATCGAACACGTGTTCATCGTCGGAGTTGGCGGAGCGGTTCCGCATTTCACCGACGCGAGTTTGCATGCACGACTCGGAGATGTGATTGTGTCGGCTTCTCGACCACACGGATACGTCTACGCTCATGATCTACTTCTGGACAGAAAGACGGACAACGTCACCGGATTTGCTGTTAGGTGGGTTTTATTCGTGCAAAAACAATTCGAAACCGGTTCGAGTTTAGAAATTGGGATGCCGCCGATAAGACCATCGAACGAATTGTCGAAAAAGGAATCGAAAGCGGAGAGCTTATCTCAGATTGGAATAAATCAACAAACCAGGCGATTAAACTTTTGGAAGCCACCGCTGGATCAGCTGGTAAAAATATATGGTGCTTTGTAGATGTTGTAAATAAAAGGTTATTAAGATGTCGAATGGAAGTCACCCCCTGAATCGACTGATGTTCTCGCAATGACTATTTCAAAAGGAAATGTTGTTGTCATGCCACATCCGAACCTCGACCGAAAAGGACCAGAGGTAATTATTTTATTTTCGACTAATAATGGATTATACTGAGTTATAGATTCATATTGGTTCAGTTGGTGCAATGGCTTCAATGAAGAAGTATGAAGCAATCGTGAATGAGGAAGACTCTATCAATCAAGTAAGATTTTTACAAGAATTTAATTTTCAAAATTCATGGATAAATACAATTCCGAAGTATAAGTTTTGTTTTCTTTAGCTCCGCGAATCTTTTGTTGAGTCGTTTGGAATCCGATGCATGGATGCTGGATTTGATTCAGTTGTGGGCGCCATTGTTGGCTCATGTGTAAAATCGTGGGCTTTGATTCGCGGAATTTCCGATTATCAACAGGGACAGAGTCGTGCCAGCAAACAATGGCAGGCTCATGCTGCTGCTCGTGCTGCTGGAATAACACGGTGCATCATCGAAAAGCTTCCTGTCTAATTTATGTCTAATTGTTACTTGTTCCTTTTGCCTCCTTTTTACTTTCAAGCTTTATCTTTCCTTATTTTATCCGATTGTAACTCATTATTCACTGACGAACGAACGCAAATCAATTTTAATTATGCACTCCTGTTTCATATAATGTTTTACGGATTTTCTTGTCCACCGAATGCATTCCATCAAATTATCGTCTTCTCCAATGTGTTGCCTACATCATGCTTCGTCGAATTTTCTATAATTCAAGAAATCATTATTATTATTGGCACATTGTCGTTTTCTAAGAATAAATGGACAACACGAATCAAGTTCAAATTCATGTTGTAGTTTAATTTGAACATTCGAAGAATTTGCTAATTGATACCTTTCGGCAGGTGAGAGTTTGTTTAACAACATATGATTTTCAATTTTCGCATCTCAAAAATAAATTGTTGTAAATGGAAGAAATCAACAAGAAATCATTTGGGAAACGATTCGCGTTCGGTGTTGTACTGTGAAAAGAGAAAAGAGAGACCAGCCAGAAACATGCGACAGTTTTCTTTAATCATCTAGCTCCTCACAATGGAATTTCCCGAGAAAAAGGGCGTCTCGCCTCGCCATGCGATCGTCGTCTTCACCCGCTGACCTCGATCTTCATTTTGGTTATTGCATCCAAGTGTCGACTACTTATTATTATTTATTCGTAGTCCGTCGAACAAAAAAATGTCGATCAATATGAATGCGAATCTTTTCAAACTTCTCACCCATTTTCGACGCCAAGATTTGGTATGTGATTTTATTTTCAGTTTCCAAAAAACTGCAAAATCAGGTGATATCGAAAAAAGTTTCGTGGTATTGATACGAATCAATTCCATTTTTTCAAAATAGTCCGCATTTTATATTTTCGCAAATATTGAATGAATTTGGTTTATTGTCGGCGGCCGGCGACTGTTGCACGCGGGTAGATTTACGGGGTGCGCCTATTCGAAATGGTCTCGCCACTCGTGAAAGCTTATTTTGAAATTTTCACGTGAATTGTTTGATTTTTCTTGATGAGTTTGCCGTTTCTTTGAATTCTTTATATCATTGAAATTGAAATTTGTCGGAAGGACCACTAAAATTCAAAATAACCGGTTTTTCCATAATACTCGCGTAAAGCAGTCTCCGGACACCGACTATATTTAATGTTCTTTTGATGCCGTTTTCATTAATAATTCAAGGAATGTAACACTTTTTCACCCACTCTGTGCGAGACGCACTGCCGTTAATTGCCCCTTCAATTACCCGCTGCCCTAAATTACAATCGACACATTCTGCAAGTGCATGTGTATTTTCAGTCAAACTTCAAAACGGAGCATGATATTCTGTATGATGAAGCTGTCAATAGTGGCGATCATTTGAAAGTCACCTCACACTATTATAGTGTTATGAGCACCGTTATCGATGAATATTTTGGAGGGAACTTCCATTTTGTTCCACCTAGTTATGAAGGACAACCGCTAGAAGATGCGTTGAAAACGTTGCATAGGTTTTCGTTTGAATATTAGAAATGAGAAAAAAAGAAACGAAACGTTGTTTTTTATAGACTTATTGGAGAAAAACTGGGACTCAAAAGTGGTGTTAAATGTTTGGATATTGGGTGTGGAATTGGTGGAGTCATGATCGATATTGCTGATATGGGTGCAGAAATGACGGGTGTCACAATTGCCCCAAACGAGGCTGAAATTGGTAGTTTGAAAAATGCAAAACGAAAATGTTAGATTTGCTCAATTAAGGAAATGAGAAATTCGCAGAGCTCGGAATTGCTGATCGTTGTCGAATTGTTGCTGGAGATTGTCATGACCTTCCATTCGGTATGCCATCGTTTTGCTCATTGTGATTTGATGATAACATTTTCAGATGATAATTCGTTTGATGTTGCTTATGCAATTTATTCGCTTAAATACATTCCAAAGCTTGAGCACGTTATGAAAGAGGCTTGAATTCGTGCTATTTACCATAATATAAACACTTTTTTGCAGATTGCTCGAGTTTTGAAACCGGGAGGAAAATTGATAGTGTATGACCTCATCAAGACAAACAAATATGATGGAAACAATCCGGATCACAAAAAGGTGATTCTCAGCTTTGCATTTTTACGAATTGATCTCTATGAAATAATGAATCACAGTGTGGCGTGAAATTTGAGAATTCGTAAGAAAATCAACAAAAAATTAAGACGCTTCATATGCTCGAATACGCTTGCGGAATGCCCGAATTGCATACGCAAAACGAGGTTGAAACTGCAGCAGAATCAGCAAAAATGACGAAAAAAGATCAAGAAAATCTCGAAGAAACATTCGATAATCGACCATTTCATTATTGTTTCTCGTCAAATTCATTGTTCATGTGGCTCATTTCGACACCCGTATTAGGTAAGAATAAGGGAAAAATCGAATATTATTACGAATTATTCATAATAGATCGACTCATCAAAATCGCAGAAGCTCTTCGTATTCTTCCGAAAGGATTCGAAGTCTTCAATCGGACATTCTTGTGTGGAACAGTTCAAAGTATTGTCGATGGAGGAAAGAAAGGGATCCTCTCCGGTGCAGATATCCTTCTATTCGAAAAACATTAATTATTAAAAAAACGAGCACTTTGACAAATTGTAGCCATCGCACTTTTTCGAGGCGGTAATTCAAATTCAAATTTAAACAGTGGGAATTCGGATACCATACTCTGAATAATCTGCGAATCAAACTCTTCGACGCAGGGGGCTCATTTTTTGCGAATGTAATAGTCAGTATTCAAACAATTTATTGTCGATGTCAAACGACTGAAGGGAGGCGGAGCTTTGAAATTCGTTAAATCAGTGTAGATTTAAATTAATCGTTGACTGAATATTTAATTGCGTAAGCTATAATGCAATGTCTCGCGTACTTCTCGCTGCCTCGAAACACATTGGCACATTGTCAATAATTTTTTAAAATTTCGTCCAGTCGTTTGATTCCGACATAGGTATTTTTTTATTTGAATGATAATAAATGTGCGAAATTTAAATAATCAAAATGGACAAAACGAAGCGCAACATCGAGAAATTTTTGCTTCAACAAATTTCTGATTTCAATTGCGTGTTTATGTAGCAAAAGTTTCAATGAAAGGAAGATTTTTTTCATTCATTGAGTTTGTATATGTCGGTTTGAGCAAAAAAAAATTATATGTGGAATATTGTGTCAGAGTTTTATATTTATTTTAATTTAATTAATTGCTTCATTATTTCTAATAAAACTTCTTCATTACCCGCTGTTTTGCAGAAGTCCAAAATTTGCTCTTTTTTTCGAATTTTTCAGAATTCCTTGAAAAGTGTTTTCAAAAAAAAAACTAGATATTAACCAATATTGGCATGCCGAAGTCTCGAAGCGAATGTAGCAAAAGAGATGCTTTTTCATCGCCTGGTTTTTTGCTTCTATCGATTTTCCCATTTATGATCACGCTTTGTGGTATTTCCTTTCTATTTCCAATTTCGTCACACTTGAACCCGACAAAAAAGCGAAATAAAAAATGCGTGTTAAAACAAACAACGCATCAGCGGGGCCGCTTCTCGCCCGCTTTTTTTGTTATTTATTTGTATATAAAAATGTCGATTTTTTGTTGTTTTTTCGCCGTCGTCTCGCCGACGTTTTTTTTTCGTCACCACCAGACAGTTCGATCGCCGCGTTTGGTGCATGTGCACTGCGTCAAATTTGAAATGACGCTTTTCATCTTCTCGCGCTCGTGCCGAGCTGCACCGCCAGTAGTCGTGCTCAACGACGGCCGCCGGGTAGACGCAGAGGAATCGCTGAATTTCGGATAGAGAAGCAGGGGAAATGTGTTTCAAATCGAGAGCCGTCGACTACCTGTTGAAGAGCACGACGAGGACGGCGACGGCCCGGTGCCGTATCGATCTGAGGGTGGCCCCCGAAGGCTCTTCTCCCAATTCCTCTGCGTCTCTTCCCCATTCATCGCCTCGATTCCGTGGCCGCCTTGTTTTGCTCATGTTCTTGGGCATGTTATTCTCGGATTTTTTTCCAATTCCCTTCGTTTTTATCCTTCTCCTTTCCCTCGCCCTTCCCCTCCTCCATCTTCATCGGCCCTGGTTTCATGCGTGTGTGTGTGCGTGTGTGTGTTGTGTGCTTGGTGTAACTTGATTAACACGTTGTCTTTTGCTCTCAATCAGTGGGTTCAAACCAATTTCGTGGCGAGACGCACGTCGCCTGTTCAATTGGGTCCCATCATTGACAGCCATTTTGCATCATTCATCGTTCGGTGCTTCGATAAGATCTCTTCAAGTTCTTGACATCTACAGTATGATTCAACTATTTCTCATTTAGTAGGTCTAAAATGTTTCATGATGCATTTAAAGACGCAGAGCGAGACGAGATAATTGGTCTCAAACAGAGCACCCTCAGATGGTCGCTCGAATTTGTATTATCCCATTAATTGTAAGTGCGCATCAAGAATCCATTCTTTTGCATCCAAATGAGACTACAACGTTTGAGAGACAATTAATCAGCGTTAATTGGTCAATTAAATGAAACTTTAATTTGATTGCACAACTATTCGATATACTAATTAAATTAGTTATAATTGAAATAATTAATAATAATATAATGTTTGATTATCTGATATTGCGATAATTATTTTTGCAATGCTGCTCATCATCCGAATTTTGCGTGATTTTCTATAATATCCTTATCGCCTGAAATCAGCGAATTATTTCGAATTAAACATTCTTATTAGAAATGCCCGTTTAGACTTAAAGGACTACAGATTTAATCAATCAGCGAGACATCAAAAATTGGTGTTCGTGACTCACACAAATTCGGATTTCGGCAGGCGATGGATATCATTGTCAATCGTTGCCAAAATTCAAGAGATTTTTGCGAATATTTTGGAGTTAACCATATTAAATGGTAGATCAAAAAGTCTCATCTGAAAACCGAATACGGTGGATTCAAATTGTCAGATTTGCTGATTAATTAATCATACATTCTTTATTATAAACATGAAATTTTCCACTGAGAAATGCCGAATCCGCCGACACATTTCGAATTGCGGAATCTAGGTTCTATTTGAAACCCGCATATTGGATGTCTACGAGACTTTCGTGAAAACCCGCGGCTTTAATCGTTTTGCTAATCAAAATGTGCACTAGCGCCTTTTTTTTTTCATCGCGGCCTCATCATTCACATCGTCGAATCGCCTCATGTTTACCACCGGATTTTGTTTTGAATTCGAATTCGAAAAGACTCGCTCGTCACCTATATATGTAAAGCAACCAGTTGGATAATTAAGCTAATTAGAAGTTGTAACGTGGGTGTGTCAATGTTTGGATCTTGCTCAGTGTGCATGTGCTCGACGAACAATGCCCACAGGCGTTGTTGTGAGGCGCGTCGGCATGATGCGTCACACATTTTTCATTTCCCCGTCGTCGACCGCCGCTTTTCGCCACGTATTTTGTGCATTAGTGTCTAATTTGCATAATGTGCTGCGGCTTCTTCTTCTCCTTCTTCATCTTCCGATCCGATTGTGCTCCTCCATCTCGACGCTTTCTGCTCGTGCTTCGGATTCTTCTCGTGTTCTGTCCCACCAGCCGATCCGTTCGTTCGTGTTCCGTCAATGCATTTTAAAGAAGCCGCTCAACGCTCTGATGTTCAATGAAGCTTGTTGGACCTCATTGTTGCCGATTTTGTTGTCCACTTACGAGGCGCACTTTTTTTTCGTTTTGCTGTCTTTTTTTTTCATTGTGCTCCAATTTCCCAATAATTTTGTTGAGATAATGAGCCGATTGAATATTAATAAGATAATCGAGAATGGAAATAGCAAATTATTATTTTTCTTTTTTTGCTTCGACGCGATAATACGAATCGTGTGAAAATATCGCATTGTATTCTATTCTATTCAATTTTTCCTTCCTTTGTTGTGAAAATCGATTTAATGCACAAAATCGAGCCATGCTTTTTTTTTGATTATACTCGCACCAATTTTGGGGAGATCTAAAAACACATCATGCGCCTTTAAAAATGTTCTCAAAACGAAATTATTATTATTTCTTTCATTGTATGAAATAGTCGTCGATAAAAAGAAAAAAACTCATATGATATAGAAGAAATGACAGATAGTTGAATCTTAGACAAATTTCACCCTTGAGATCATTTCGACTTATTCATTGCCCTAATAAGTATTTCAAACGAGCCCCAACATTCGATTTTTCGTTTTTTAAATTCTATTAGTATTGTCGGAGTCAAACGAAATTTGAAAAAAAATTATTGGCTGGATGCCAATGCGTTTCGAGGCAACAAGATTGCGTACATTGCATTATACCGTACGCGCATTTAATATTCAGTCAATGATTATTTTAAATCTACACTGATTTCGCAAATTTCAAGGCATCGCCTTCCTTTAGTCGTTTGACGCTGGCAATAGAATAATTTCAATTTTGATCTGCTCAACCCACTGAGTTTCCTTTTTCAACTTGCACAAAAGAAAAAATTTTAGACAATTTTAGACCTCTTCGATATGAAATTTCCTAAGTGATTATCTGTCTTATAAGTATGGCCTATATATATGTAGATATGCATATATTGTGCTCCATCCGTTTTGCTCACACAGACTGCGTCTCGCCGCGCATGTTTTCGTCTCGGCAACTCCTCATTTACAAGTATCTAAATCGGCTCTCGAGAGCCGTCATAGCCACAAACCTTTATTTCTCTCCCCGCCTTCGTTTCCTCGCCTTCCCCTCCCCTCCCCCTCCCCCTCCCCCTTCACCACGCCCTACCCTCCAACGTTTTTTTTTTCGTCGAGTTTTTTTTTCTGCCAAAGACTTTGCTCCTGAGTTTTATTATTATTGTTATTGATAAATTATTCAAGGCGCTCTCCAATTTTTTGGCTCGACGCATTCCTCGTGCAGCCTCCCCCCCCGGTCCCCCGGCCCCTTCCGCCTCTTTATTTTTCTTTATTGGATGGCTCGACGGGGACCCGATTACTGGCTGGTCCCTCGTGCGCCTTCGACTTGGGCTCAAATGTGTGCTCGACGAATTATTAGTAGGTGCTCGAATCAAAACAAGCATCAAATTCTGAGCAAAACATCTCGCGTTGGCGATAATTAGATGTTTTCCTTCGGGCTCATCCTCTCCTCTCCCTTCCTCTTCCCTTCCCTTCACCATCCCCTCGTTTTTCCGGTTTGAATATGAATATGAATATATTGGGACGGACACGCAATTCCAACTTCGTCTCTCCTTCTTCATTCATTCTTTCGTTTCTTTTTTCAAGTATAAAACAACAAAAAAAAAGAGCAATTCGACTATAATTAAATGTACGCGGCGGCCTCGATGAAGGAGAAGAAGGAGATGATGATGAAGAAGAAGAAGCAGAAGAAGTTGTGAAGAATAAGAAAGTACGGCGAAGACGAGAAAAAAAAGCGGGGGAGAAATGAGGAAAACGGATGAAAAAAAAAGAAGAAGAAGAAGAAGAAGCACTATTCAATGTGTCCAATTATTTTCCAGATCAATTATTTCGGTTCCGTACTTTATGCTATTCGTTCGAAGAAATTAACGATTTTCATCATTCTGAATATAGGCAATCAAGCATCGAAAATTTTATTTGTCATAGGTAATATCGAAACGAATACCGTTAAAGTTTTACAAAAAATCACGTCAAATGAGCTTCTTCGGAATGAATTTGATGGAAACTTTTCAATTAAATATGAACAAAAATTGGTATATTTCGAAATATCAAACTGAAAAAATTTCTCGGATTGACACTCATTTTTATTTTGAATTTTTTCCTATTTAACCAGAAGAATGATTATTTGTATTTTGCAAGTTTCATCATTCCTTATTGCCGTTATTTTTCCTATTTTACGGAAATGCCGAACCCCAAAATATATGTAAGTGATTGTTTTATTTAATAGACATAATTAATTAGGAATTAGTCAATTTAATTATTACAAATAATTATTATCAAATCGAATTTGTGAGATGCTCACAAATTGAATTTCGCTTAAAAATACTTGCAAAAACTCCTCGAAAACTCAATTTGAAAACTCATGAAAATTCTTTGCTCGCAAAATTTCGCTTTCCTTCTTCATTGAATATTGTATTTGTACGGTATCCTTCGACGTCGGTTATAAATTTCTATCTGCCGACATTTTCCAAACTCGATGAGCATCAATGAAATTTTATTTATATGCGATCATTTGATATGCATTAAATACACCTGCAGAATGATTCGAAGTCATTTTTCATCTGTCCATTCTTTATTTTCAGTTCTGTGAAATATTGTTTCAAAATAATATCCATACATTTCAAATAATCCGGTGACTGTTGTAGATTTACGGGAATGCATTTTTTTGCGTGGAAATAAAATGAAACAGTTCACGTGAAAATTTCAAAACAAGCATTCACACGTGGCGAGACCATTTCGAAAGGCGCACCCCGTAAATCTACCCGCGTAGAGCAGTACGACGATTATATAATTGCAAAATGAATTCTAAATTCGATTTATAATGAAAATAATTGAAATATCGATTTTTGAAACGTGAATTTCGCAATAGAAAAAAGATGAATATTTGCTTAGAACAATTTCAAGAATATTTCCTGTATTTAGGAATTCTTTTCACTCGAACAAAACAAAATAATGTTCGGTTTCGAGAGTTGTCAATCTTCTTTATGTTCGCAGATTGAATACTTCCTTCTTTTTCTTCTTCTTCTTCTTCCTCGCTTTTTTTGGGAGTTATAATAGAAAATAAATTCTCGTCGGCATAGCGCCGTCGAAGATTTCTAATGCAATTTTCCCACATGATTTGATAGAAGTTCTTTTGGGTGCCGTCGTCGAGTCGCCAATGGCAACCAAACGAATCTCCCATTCACCAAATGCCAATTCTCTCGTTTCGGTCGCGGTTCAAGCCGAAACATGATATTTTTGGTTTCGGCTTCACCAGGCAAAAAAAAACGAAAAAATGGGGGGGGGGCACATTTTTGACACTTTGTGAAAGCACTCAGACGTCTATTCATGCCGTTTTTCTTTCGTTTAATGTTTTTATTTTATTCTACGAAAGAATGGCACGAAATTGGATGGTTTTTGAGATGTGACTCGCCCCGTCGAAAACGCCTCGCACAACAGAAGAAAAAAAATCAAAATGTTCGTTTGCCCGAAAAGTGCAATCATTTCGTGTGCCACTTCCGTTCTAGTATAAAAATTTCGTTTGAGGGGGTTGGTCGAAGGGGAAAAAAAAAGACAGCGAATTTCGTCGTCGTCGTCGACGGACCGCTCTACTCAATTCAATTTCCCACACGTTTTGACATCTCGAGCTTCTTCTATGGAGGGGGGGGGGGGCCGAACCGGACCCGCCTCCCATTTTTCTTCTCCTTCATGAACTCTTCGTTTTTTATTTATTTCTCGTTTCCCATTTTTATTCATCCGCTTCGTCGCTTCGAGACCACCCGTATTTATTATCGTATTCGTTACAGGGGGAGGCAGGCATAACCACCACACAAAGCACATACACACATACACAGACACAAGCATGGCTGACTTGGAAGCGGTGCTGGCTGACGTCAGCTACCTGATGGCAATGGAGAAGAGCCGAAGTCAGCCGGCGGCGCGTGCCAGCAAACGAATTGTGTTGCCCGATCCGAGTGTGCGCAGCATTATGCAAAAGTATCTCGAGAAGACCGGCGAGATCAAATTCGAGAAGATTTTCAATCAAAAGCTCGGTTTTCTGCTCCTCAAAGATTTCGCCGAAAACGTTTCGGAGAATGCGTGTCCGCAAATCAAGTTCTACGAGGCGGTAGGCTCTCAATCAAACACACACAAAATGCCGAATCACACGGTATTCGATTTCAGATCAAAGAGTATGAGAAAATGGAAACACCTGAGGAGCGGCTGACAAAAGCGCGCGAGATCTACGATCATCACATAATGGTGGAAATGCTCGCACACTCTCATGTACGATTTAAACTCTATTAATCGAATCTTTCATTTTCTTCAATTTTCAGAATTATTCGAAGGAATCTCTTCAGCACGTTCAATATCATCTGCTGAAAGGAAATGTGCCTCCGGATTTGTTTCAGCGATATGTCGTCGAGATCTGCGAACAACTGAAAGGCGACATTTTCCAAAAGTTCCTCGAAAGGTTCGTTTTTTGAGACATTGAGAAGCTTCTCGAAAATGTCAAACATGCATTAGCTTCTTTGATTCACTAAGGACCATGAAAAACAACATCAAATTTCAAGTGTTCAATATCGGTTTTCAGTGAGAAATTCACGCGCTTCTGCCAGTGGAAAAATCTTGAGCTGAATATGCAGCTGACGATGAACGACTTTTCGGTTCATCGAATTATCGGTCGTGGCGGATTCGGAGAAGTTTACGGGTGTAGAAAGGCGGATACGGGCAAAATGTACGCGATGAAATGTCTGGACAAAAAGCGAATCAAGATGAAGCAGGGAGAAACTCTTGCGCTCAATGAGCGTATCATGTTGAGCCTTGTCTCAACCGGAGTAAGAAAATAAAAAAAGAAAGAATGATCGGTTCTCATGTTGATGTCGGTTTCAGCAAGATTGTCCATTCATTGTATGTATGACTTATGCGTTCCAGTCGCCCGACAAATTGTGCTTCATTTTGGATCTGATGAACGGAGGAGATCTTCATTATCACCTCTCGCAGCACGGTGTGTTCAGTGAGCAAGAAATGCTGTTTTACGCTTCGGAGGTTTTCGCAATACAAATCACAATCGGATTCGAGCTCGCAATTCCAGGTGATTCTCGGTCTCGAGCACATGCACAATCGGTTTGTCGTCTACCGCGATCTCAAACCAGCCAACATTCTTCTCGATGAGAATGGACATGTTCGTGTTTCCGATTTGGGATTGGCTTGCGATTTTTCGAAAAAGAAGCCGCACGCGAGTGTGTAAGCGAATTGTGATTGCGAAATATGCGAATAATCGCGTAATGATTTCAGCGGAACACACGGCTACATGGCTCCGGAAGTGCTCGCGAAAGGCGTCGCCTACGACTCATCGGCTGATTGGTTCTCGCTCGGTTGCATGCTCTTCAAACTTTTAAAGGGCCATTCGCCATTCCGGCAGCACAAGAGCAAAGACAAGAATGAGATCGATAAAATGACTCTCACACAGGTACCGTACTCATCCTCGTTCCATTATCATTTTGATCCCTTTAATTTTCATTTGCCTAGTAACGAGCGATATTCTCCGAAAACGGCGGATGTAAGAATTTTCAATGGAAAGCTTTTGCTTATTTTTTTTTGAAAGAAGCCCGATTTTGCTTGAATAAATATATTTCGGTTGAATTTTATCGAAACTTTCAGTCTAAATTTTTTTTCGGCAATTAAAAATCTAATTTTTGATCTACATATGTATTTGACGCTCTATTGAATTCCACGTAAATGGATTAGAAAATATATAAATATATATCGAGTCTATTTGCTATGTGATTTGATATGAGTAAAACGAACAATCCAAATCTTTTCAGGATATCGAACTACCAAATGAGGGATTATCGCGAGATTGCCGCGATTTACTCGAAGGTCTCCTCAAAAGGGATGTGCCCGATCGACTCGGATGCCGTGGAAGGGGGTATCGAGACATTTGAAAGAAAAATTCACACTAATTATTTTGTTTTCAGCCCATTGGAAGTCAAGGAGCACGCGTTCTTCAAGGACGTCGATTGGCAGACGGTCTATCTACGTCGAATGTCGCCCCCTTTGATTCCACCGCGAGGTGAAGTCAATGCCGCCGACGCATTTGATATCGGAAACTTCGATGACGACGAGGTGAAAGGAGTTAAGCTGACGGAAGCTGATAGCGAACTCTACAAGAACTTCAACATCACAATTTCGGAAAGGTGGCAGAATGAGGTGGCTGAAACGATATTCGAAGTTGTGAATCAGGATGCGGATAAAGCTGAAAATAAAAAACGATCAAAGCAAAAGATTAAAGTGGCTATCGATGAAAAAGGTACGGATTACTTAAATCTGCGATGAAAAAAAAAAACAATAATTCCCAGACTCTGACGTCATTGTGCATGGTTATATCAAAAAACTTGGCGGTCCATTCACATCAGCATGGCAAACGCGCTACGGGAAATTATATCCATCGCGTCTCGAGTTGTATCCGGAATCGTTGTCCGGAAAACCGGAGCTCGTTTTCATGGATCAGATCGAGGATGTGTGCATTGATTTGCAAACCGTCAAAGGCGAGAATGCGATTGTTGTGAAATTACGCGATGGATTCAAAGAGCCGAGAATTAGCTTGACAAACTCGGTAAGACATTATCACATAATGACAAATCAAAAACATTTCGGCACGATTTTGAAAGTTAAGAAAAATCTAGACATTTTGGAATATATCAAACGGCTAAAAGAAGGCGGGTTCGCGAAATCAGTGTAGATAAAAAATTAATCGTTGACTGAATATTAAATGCGCGTACGGTATAATGCAATGTACGCAATCGTCTCGCGTACTTCTCGCTGCCTCAAGACACATTGGCACATAGCCAATATATTTTTTTAAAACTCGTTCAGTCATTTGATTACGACAATATTAGCTGATTAAAATGCTTGAAAAACGAATTTACTTGCAGGATGAGATCAGTTTGAAAGAATGGCACACTTCGCTTCGAACCGCCCATAAAGTCTCGTCGGAACTGCTGCAACGAATGGGTCGAAAGGCGATCAAAATCTATGGCATCAATCATGATCCGATGCTGTCGGACAGCGAACGGCCGGGATCAGTCACACGCGCATATCTTAATCGGGCCAGCAGCGTCGATTCCGGTGTATAGCTCTTCAACCTATTCCCTCTTTCTTTTTTTAATACATTCCCTAAAATCTGAAACATTCCACCATCCATCCTAGCAAATTAATCAAGTAAACGGGTTGCCATATTTGAAAATCAAAATCAAGAAACTCCTATCGATTGTGTTGTACCAGATTCCGCGCAAGACCCGAAATCGAGCAATTGTGGAGTCCCACGCAACAACGTGCACATATCAACACGTTTCTTCCGTGAACTCCCTCCTTTTTCTACGTGTTTTCAATCGCTTTAGGACCCGTTCGTTTGAAATTCGTTCGCCTCAATACCGATTCTCTAGTGCGAATAGGATGTTTTTAGTTTCTTTCATATAACAATTTTATCATTTAAGAGAGTTCGACATTTTCGATTTTTTCAAATGTTCAATTTGTAAAAGGTTTAATATATTGCATCATAAATAAATGATTTCTACGAATAAATGTTCGATTCATAAAGCAAAGCGTATTATGTGGTCCCATGATTCATTTCAAATTTGCTACAGTAGCCTCAAGCTGCTTCAACTTGTCGATGACGACCGCCATTTCTGATTTGCCCGTTGTCTGTAAAATAATTATATCGATTTTCCAAAGTAAGCTCAATTGAAGTTAAATTATTAACAAAAAGAATAAGAGAAAATGTCTGGAAAATAAGAATCTTGAAAAAAATATTTGGGAAATGTGCTAAAAACCGATTGTCATTTTCATTAAAAATATTTCAAAAAATTTCGTCAACCGGAAAATAGACAAAATCCGAAGTTATTTATGGACTATAATAAAAAATTTAAAAAATTTCCTATCCAAAAATGTAAAGGAAATGAGCATTTAATGTAATTTTTACATTCTTGTGTTAAAAAATTCCATTTCATGAATAAGCCCATTAAATTCAATGGGGAAATGAATATACCTCAAATTCGAGAATCGCAGCGCGACCCTGCACCACTTCCTTTTCCAATTTCTCGCGAATTTTCTGTAAGTGACTGAGACGGGAGGCGAATTGTTGAGCTGAAAATGACTAGATTCGAACAAAACGACAAAGGGAAATTTTTTGAGAACTGAAACGAAAAACATGCCTTGCTCGTGGAGCCTACTCAGCGCTTTGACCTTGTTCACATTACTTGAAAGCGATGAACATGCTACATCCCATCTGAAATTTTCCTATATACAAATATATTGGAAAAATAAACTGTATAAAGGGGGGGGGAGTTTCAGAAATTCCAATGGAAAAAAAATTATTTTTGAAAATAAAAAAAGAAGAAAAACTGTCTGAATGTCAGAAACTTTTTCTCAACACCGTAAAAAAAACAAAAAAAGAAAATTTCAAATAAAAAATCATTGCTAAAGAAAAAAAAGAAAAATAATCTTATTTTTCTTTATTCTTCTTTAAATGTTTTCTTGCAAATCAATGAATTTCAAAATGTTTGAGAAAAAAAAGAAATTTAGAGTATTTAATAATTTCTATACATAGACTTTTAAAGTGTGGCTTACTTTTGCATCATTTCGAGTATATCGTTGATTTTCTTCTCGATATCATCGTCAATTTCATGTCGTGCTTTTTTCTCCTCGACTTGATCAAACTTCGTTAAAAGGACATTGAGACGTTGTTCAAGGCCAGAAACGTAGGACGAATTCAACGTTTCACATCTAAAATTAAATTAGAGAAACATTCGATATTTTAAAGTAATACCTCAATTTCATGTCTTCAATTGAATCCAGAATTGGCACTGTGGGAATCACAGTAGATCCCAATACCTTTTCAAGTTTTCTCAATCTTGCGTCCAAAGCGTACAACTGGAATAAGCCAATATGTCAATTCAATATCAAATACGAATTTTCAACCTTTGGATCGCTAGTACGCTGAGCAATGTCGATATTAGCCGAATCATGAGAAACTGGAGTTTTTGATGTAGTTTGAAGGTTCTAATTCATTTTAAAGTTTTAACATGTTTTCTCAATTTCGTATACCTTAACTTCGGCTGAAAGACTTTCAAGAACTTCCTCATTCAACAAATCATTTTTCAATGATTCGTCTCCTTTAACTTGTTCGTTCAAATCCGCAATTTCATACAAAATTCTGTTAAGTTTTTCAGTAGGAGTTTCAAGACCAGAATAACCTAAACAAACGTTTATACTCGTGCCAATAATCTATTAAAACCTGATCCAGCGACTTCCAGCACATAGACATTATTTCCAAATGCATGACGCCTCTTTTTCGCAATATAATCGGAATAATCTAAATTTTTTGTAAATAACAGCATTAATAATGAAGCATACCGACGGATTTTAGGTTCAACACTTTGCCTTTGTATTTTTTCATAGCCTCGTCGACATCAACGGAAACCTACAACTTGGAACTGTTTTCACGATAAACCTCGCACACTAACTATTTCAATATCTGGATTTTTTGGATCATCTTGCAAAAGCGAAACGTTTTTCGAATTTTCATCAACATTTCCTTCCGATTCGTACACGTCTTCTTTCACAATCGACATTTCACCTATAATATTTCGCAATATTTTCTAAATAATCGCAGTTATACAATAATGAGAATATAGCTACCCTACATAAACAATATTGATAATTTTTTCACAGATTAAAACAGAATCGCTCAGATGATGTTAAATTATTAAAATGACACATTTTTGGCGTGGTGGAAGAATAATGCAAAACCGCAACCGTGGCCTAGAACTTGTATTAAAGGACGTAAACGCGGAGCTTCGTTGTTGCGGCGTTATTTGAAATTCGCATTATTTCGACCAATAATGAACCAAAACGTTAGTTTCCCCAAAAATCTAATGATTACGCTTTGTTTAGATGTATTCAGCAAATCGTTCCAATCGGGCGGAGACCAGAAATCGGACCAAAGACGAACTTCGAAAGGTTTATTCACATTTTGAAAATTTAAAACATAATATGCATATATTAGGTCATAAACTCGTTGGAAAAAGTTCGAAGATGGGAAAAGAAGTTGGTCTTAATCAAAGATACAAATATTAGAATATTTAAATGGGTTCCAGGTATTTAGCAATTGATTTTTTCAAATATAAAATATCTTCTTTCAGTGAGCGCCCAGAATTTGCCACCGCCACCGCCAAAGGTGAAAGCTCAAGACGACGAGAGCAACACAATGCAGTCGGAAGATGTTTCCCAAGGTATTTCTGAAAAATCCATTTTTAAACCGAATTAAATTATTTAGATTCGACCAGTGTAAACCAGCTTACCCGGTTTGATATTAATGAAGACTCGAACTTCTCTACAAATGATGCATTTGACAGCGACTCAAACCAAACATTTGAGCCGCAAAACTACACTGGCGCCGCAAATGGATCGACTGATTTCAGCGAAATGCGAGACGCTGAAATGTCGAAGTAATAATTCCATAATGGTTTGAAACAATTAATTTATTTTGTACATACAATTAATAATTTAATATTTATTCACCAGTATAAATGTGACTGGATTAATGAAGTCAAGTGAAATATACCTGTTTAGTATGCGGACAAAATTTAAAAGAAATATACGGTTAATACAAAGAAAGGAAAGAGCAGTGATCGGAAATGGAACATGGATTGGTTATCTCGGACGAGACGTTCTGATTGGGGGCAAAAATGGAAGCGCAATTGTTGCGGATAACCATCAGCAATATCTAATATCGATTTTGACGAGTTCATTCGATAAATTTCGCTCCCTTTTACGAAATGAATTTCTAAATTATGTTTTAAAAAACATGTTTCGTTAGATTTTTTCAAAACCTCGATCTTTCGTAAACGCTGAAGTAACACCCTCCGGCACTCTAGCCCAGTTCAACTTTATCGGTTTCGGATAACGTTCGTCAATTTTCCGATGATTCCTTTTCGGATCAAGACGCCAATACTTGTCGTCCTTCCAAATATAGATAGCCGGTGGACTTAAAATAAGATCGGCTTATTATAATGAATAAATAAACAAAATCTACTTGAAGTAATGCCATTCGTAGGCCAAATCGATATTAGAGGCGTTAATTCCGATTTCTGATAGCTTGAATGGGGCGTGCAACATTTGATATCCACTGATTACATATATCGAATTGCCTCAAATGATAATAATGCTTTGAATGGAAAATAAGCAAAGGTTTACCTACGAATACCCAAAGATTGTATTCGACAGTCACTGCTGCATCAATAGGTGACGGCAATCCGGGAAAAACTTGTTCAATCAGTGTGGGTTTTATGATTAAACGTCGAAAATCCCGCGAAACTCTCCATACCCAAGAACCCTTTAAAAATTATATGAAATAAATACAATTAATAAAAAAAACCTTGAAGATTAGGAATTCTCCTCTGTATTCAACAATGACGGGATTTGATATTTTGCACTCGTTCGGAATAATTATATCTTTTTCCTCCTCTCGCCGATTTTTAACAATCGGCACTTTTTCGACAACTTCTTTTTCTTTCTCGATTTTCTTTCCTGGTTTTGTCCCATAATACATTCTCATATAGTATTTGTCCATCTCGGTGAACCTCCATTGTCGTGGAATATCATAAGGATACATGATACTGGCACTGTCCGGATTATGTTCGAATCCAAGAGCATGACCGAATTCATGAGCCACTACTGAATACAATGAGTGTTCTGAAATTGAAATGATTCTAAAAGTAAATCGATATAATATTTTAATTACCTGTGTAATTATCGGTATAATTTCGCATGCTGAACTGAACATCGGCGTTGATATGAATTCGGCCCGATGGCGGAAAGAATGCGTGGGCAAGAGTTTGCAAATCGAACGGAAAGTGGCATTCGCCATGACGAGCACGCTGTAAATTTGCATGAGAAGATGAAAAGAATCAGTCAAGTTCAGATTACCTCAGCCGATACCACAATGTTTGCGTCGTTGTCGCCGGATTCGACAAGCTCGATATCTGCCAGTGAACTCCATTGATCTGCAGCCTGTCTTATGGCCCTTCTCAAATTATCCGTTGATATTCGGTTGTTGGAAAATGCACTTCTAAAGTGTGATTCATTATATTTGTGTCGTGGGACTGATTGGGTGGCTGGCACGCGCTTCGGCTACGAACACATGTTGTAAACTACTCGCGGCATTCACACATTCCCTCCAGTTGTGCAGCGAAAATAATGAGAAACGTTGATTATAATAACAAATTTTAAAAAATAAATGTGGGTAAGAAAGAGAAGATGAGTTGCTTGGAATTACGTGCGAAATACGAATGACGAGAGATATTTTTGAAGGAAAAAACTCGGTGATCGTATGATTAGGTCACCTCGGTTAATGATAAGGAAAATTTGAAAAGAAATGACGAGAGGATTGGGCGTTCTCAACTGCATTTTATTACAAGATATTCAATATGATAATATTTTCGCATCGCGCAAATGTGGGAAATAAAAAAAAACTTTAAGGAAAAGTTTTTGACTTTTAACCAATTTTCCTCATTTTTGTCCACCAAAACGGAAGACGAAGTAAAGTTTTGTAACGGAATCCGGAGAAATTTATTTACTATCTAAAAAATAGAAAATCGAAAACAAAGGGAATTTCAAAGATAAAAAAGATGTTAATTTTTGCGTAATATCGACTGATTGCGGACGTCGATGCTACCGTAATGCGCAAAATAAATTTAAGACAAACACGATATGGTATAAATGATTTTTAGCGATCTACAAAAAACGAAAGATTATTATTTTTTGATGAAAGCCACTTTTGATAGGAAACAGACTATAAACTGTGGGAATTAGAGTACCACACTACAGGTAACCTACAATTTAAACGCCATTTAATGTTATTATTCTCCAATTAGCTATGCGGCTGAAATTGATAAAAACACATTAAATCCATTTGATATTTATGGACCAAATTTATAATATTTGTATTTTTTAATTGCAAGAATAGATCGATTCCAAACAATTTCGTTGAAATCCAAATTTTGACAAATTTAAACACAATACATATGTATTATAGGGATGGTCTTGTAAATGTGAACGAATTTTATATCCATGAGGAAATTTTCAAAAATCGAACAAAATATTTTTAACTTGATTACCATCCGCGCGAGACCGTAGTGAAAGGCGCATGACCGCAAGTATATTCTAGCCTGCACATTAAATGCTAGAGGCTGGCAATTGTAATAAGGTAAATATCTCAAAAATAAAATATTGACTTCGTCAAAGCGAATTTTGTAGGAATTCGCCCCGGAAGGTCTGAGGCAATTCGGCCATTATAAATTGCTCTCCTTGGCGGCGACGAAGAGCAAACTGCACCATCCACAATATTCAGCGAGCTTTTAGAAGCTTCTGTAACGAGAGTGCTCATTTTATTGTGTTATATTCAATTTATCTAAGTTTCATGGTCCATGAGATCACCAAAAAAACCCATTATCAGTATACTGCTCGCGACCCTTCAAATGAACGCTTTTCATTCGAAATAGTTTGTGTAATATGGCTGTTGTCCACCAGCTGACCAATCGATATCAAATAAAAGCAGTGCGGTTGACCAGACGCGACTTCTGGTGGCGATGACGAGGCCTGTTAAACTCGGTCCGAAGCACGCCAGCTGCCGAAGCGGCGTCTCGCTCGTCTCGTCCCTCGACGCACTGTTTCCGTCGATTCGTCGCTCAAAACTTTTTGCCGTCGATTTTTTGTGCGCTGCTCGCCGGCTCACTGAGTGGCCACGCCCATTCGATTCCGATTCGATTCGCCCATCAACAATTTTCGACGCTTCGTTCCATTCACTCGTGCTGCATTCGTTCGCTTCGCCCGCTCTGCTCGTCGATTGTTAATTATTCAACTGCGGACCACCGATGGTCAGCTCATTCTGCCGGTTGTCATGCGAATATCACAAAAGACACATCACAACCTCCTAGAATGAGTTGATTTTCGCTTGTCTACTTTTGCGAAGAAATTCTGTTTCTATAGATAACAAGCTCGATACAGAATTATTCGATTCTTAGAGTCGGCGTCTTGCGACTGCTGTAGATTTACGGTGATGCGTCTTTCTCTTTTGGTCTCGCGCGGACTAAATAAGCGTTGCGAGACCTTTTCAAGGGATTGATTTGGAACAGGAGTGAATATGGTAACTATTTGAAACTTTGATCAAAATTGAAACTTTTGGAGAAAAAAGTTCTTACATATTTGAGTCCAAAAATTTGACAAAAAACCCCAACGCGGAAATATTTGTGGAAAAAATACGTATCGAATGAAAAAAATAAACAAATTCTTGTGTTCAAAATAGAAAAATGAAATTTGATTTTAATAGTAATATTTCAAGTAAAAAAGAGTTAAATAATGTCCCTTCGAGAAAATGCTGAACTTTGGCTAAATGCCAGATAATGGGGAGCGGTAGATTTAGGGAAATACAATTTATAGTCTCGGAAGAGCGTAAAAATTTGAACGAAGCGATTTGGCCTCTCAATAATTTATCATTTGGCTGCGTATCAAGCACTCGGTCTCGGTCGAGAAAAATTGCTGTGATTCGGCTCTCGTTCGACGGCCGAACTGCTTCAAAATCACTCCCGAATGGGAGCAAAGCACTTCCGCATTCGGCAATTTCTAGCAATTCGATTATCGATTTACACCAACAGTTTTCGCGAAATTTGCTCAGGAAAATAAAAAAAATCAATCGGATTCGAAGAAAATGAAATATAAATTAACCTGATTCGTTTAAAAAATAATTGGAATTCGATTGAGAAAGTTGTTAAATTAAAACTTGGTTTCGATTCAAAAATCTTCGAAATCGATTGCTTCTCATTCTCAATTTTGAAATCGTATTCGATTGAAATGTTAGAAAACTTTGAAACAAATTAATTTTTAAACGATTTCGATTGAAAACAAAATTATTTTCGAATTCGATTTATTTTAATTTACCCGAGTGGCAGCGATTTGTAGCAGTTCGGCCGTCGAACGAGAACCGAATTTACGCCCAAATCACAGAAATTTTTCTCTACTGAGTTACATCAAAAGAACGTGCAAAAGTTTGTCAATTTACAAACAAAACTGTGTTTGGCCTAAATTCTTCGAATTTCCCACAATGGAATTTCGAAAATAATGATTCGCAGGTTATCTGAAGAAAAGATTTTTCCTGAAATCGGAGGGAAGTGGAGCCTTCAAATTCGCCAAATCAGTGTAGATAAAAAATTAATCGTTGACTGAATATTAAATGCGCGTACGGTATAATGTAATGTACGCAATCGTCTCGCGTACTTCTCGCTGCCTCGAGGCGCATTGGCACATAGTCAATTTTTTTTAAATTTCATTAAGCCGTTTGACTCCGACAATACAGTGCGTTTCACATTTATTCTATTTATAAGTACTCTGCTAATTCTCCTTCAGGTCTACATAATTTCAGACCTTTCACGGGGATGGTTTTATAAATGTGAAACGATTGTAAGTGACCAATTTGCAGTTTTTTCAACGTCACTCGGCCTTTATAAATTTCCGTACGAAAAGAGTTAATATCATGTTTGAACAAATATCTGAATTCTTTCAAACGCATTTTTATCGCTTTTATTTCTCATCAGTGAGTCATTGAAGAGAAAATAATTGCAGATAGTCAAAGAGAGGAACTGCTTTCGAAATAAATAAACAAATACCAAAATTGGCTAACCTGTACGTAATTTTCTTTTGATTCCATTTGAATTGCCTCGAAGCTCGAGCAACTCGATTACTGAAACAACAGAAATAATAAAGATAATGGAAGCTTTCTAGAAACCTTGAGTGCATATCCTCAATTCCGCATCTCGGCTGTTGCATCATAAACATGGTTCGTCCGTCGAGAATCCCCGTCTCCTCTAATCCAGCCATTCGTTGCATATTCTTCAACGCTTCTTTCAAACTTTCGGAGCTCACTTGATTATTTCCACGAGTCAAATATCCATATTTTTGAAGGAAATCTATCTAAAACATTTCAAGACAAAGATAAAAAGAATTGGAGAATATTGAACTTGCTTACCGATTCTACGCTTCTGCTCAAAACTATATTGACTATAACTAACAATAATACAATGAGTCGCATGCTGAAATTTGCCTTTTTGAACTATTGAAATATTAAAACAAAATCGAAAAGGAAATCAATTGAAATGAAATGGAATCACAGTTGTCAGAAAAAAAGGGTCCCCAGGACAGGGGGTTCTAGACTCCGGGTCCCAGTTTTAACAACTCTGAATAGATAGATTAAAATGAGTTTGACGAATATCAGAGGAAGGCCCAAAAAATAACGATTTAAAATTTTATTTTTTTAAGATTCGCTTTCAGAACAGAAATGAATCATGTAAATTTTCGTTTGATTTTACCACTTTATTTTTCTTCGTCGAAAAAGATAAATTAGAAGGCGTTATCTGTCGATTTCATCGACTAATATTTCACATTTAATATTTTCACACATTTTTTTTTGAATTAAAACAACTATTTATTATAGAGGAATTCGGAAAATTTGAGAATCTGCAGATTATCTGACGACCACTCTGCTATTCGCCTCGAAAAAAGTTTAATTGAACACCTGGGATGATATTCTCAAGAAAATTCATGAGCTTTTCCTTCATTCTCATTCTTCGATTGCATTCTTTTGCACATTACAGTAACAAATTGATGAGTGTGTGCGATGAGTCGGACCAATAAAAACGAGGGAAAGCAATAAAGAATAATTAGAGAATAGAAAGGACAAGCGCGTAAAACGGTTATTGAATTGAAAATGTTCGACGGACGAGCGATGCTCTCGATTCGACAAGTTTTATGATGAGAATCGTACGATATTACGAGCCCCGTGTTTTCAAAGGCACATTATGCCGATAATAATAGTAATAATGTGTTGAGCAAATCGAAAATGCGATCATCAAATGTCCGAGAATCGCCGAGGGTCACTGCAGGCGTTTTTGTCGGCGACTCGAAAAACTCTTGCCGCTGTAACATTTTTTCGAACGTGATTTTTGACGAGAAAACGACAACCTGCTGGCACTCGACAATTTATTTCCTTGGTGGGTCGCGAGTAAGAAAAAAAAAGATAGGATTAGGTGAAATGTTGAAAGAAAAAGAAATGGCATTTGAGTAGTTTCTTCGCTTCCAATGAATGTGCTAATTTAAGCAGCGAAAATAGAATCCTATGAAATATGTAGTTCGGAATTTGGCCGGAAAAATCTTTAAAATTGGAATCCAATTTTTTCTTTTTGGCCTATTATAAATAAATTGAGATTTCTGGAGGAACTCACGAATACAGATTTCAAAGCTTCTAGAATTGTATTCATCGAAGAACCTGTTGAAAAGCTTCAGAAGCTATTATAATCGAAATCAAAGGGAACTAAAGTTCCAAGCGTGAGGTTTTGTGGGCGAATTCGATTTCCGTTTAAGTAAACGTTGAACCAACAATAACATATTGGTGTTTTTGTCATCACCAGGTGGGCAATCACCAAAAAAGGTACCGAGATTTGTTGGCGAGACATTCAAATCATTGGTTGGCAAATGGCGCGTTTCGAAACGAATGGAAATTGATTCGAAAAATGAATTGTGATGAGGATAATGAGGAAAAATAATAGCACGACCAGCGACTCGACATTATTCTTTTCTTTTTGTGAACCAATGTGAGCGACTCTTATAAGGAGACTCGAATTATTTTCCCACACTGGACGAATGATAAAATATGAATGGGTCACTCGATTTTTTGAATACTGGATTGCATTTTTCGAAATGATTCATATAGTATTACCATCACAAAGAAATGAGCACTTTGACAAATTGTGGACCATCGCACTTTTTGCGAGGCGGTAATTTATATTGGAATTTACAATAGGCAGGGTGCTTTGAGAATGTAACTGGGAACCAATTAACGATTTTTTTTTGAAAATTCGAATCGATTTCGGATGGCGAAATGAAATACTCTGACATGAGGAACACATATTTTTTGCGCGCGCGCACAACAAAAACAATTAATGGAGAAACGACCTCAAAAATTTGAACAATTATTGGCCACCAATGCAAATTTTGTGCAAATACGTGTGATGAGTCAGTGTGTGATAACGGCGAGAAATGACTAATGGCTCGCATCCGAACGAACCCATCTTGAACGAAATTCGGAATAAACCGCCCAAAAAAGAAGACGACACATATTTCGAAATACGCGAGCCCATTTATTGTGCATTCGTTTTTTTTTCTTCATTGCAAATCCAAAATTTCATGTTTTTTGAGCAAAGACGACACTTGAGATATCATTGATTCGATGAGTACCTTGTCCCGGGAGACTTGGCCGATTTGATTCGTGATTCGGATCACCTGAAACTGATTTGAAATTGGTCTAGCTAAAGAAAATGAATTGTTATGCGTTGAATGCACATTTCATTGGACTTTTCGCATTTTTGAAATTATCCAAATCAATTATAATTTAATTGAATCGCAAATATGCGAACCTCGCCCCTCTCCACTGGACATTCCCCGATAAATTTCAATTTTTCCTCCAACCGCGCGATTTTCTTTCCTTTCAGCATTTTTTCCGTTTCCTTATCTTTTTTGATCGCAGCAAATCGGATATTCTCCTAAACTCCATATTCATAAATTATTTGATATTAAATATACATAGTCGGCGTCCAGCCGTCGACTGCTCTACGCGGGTAGATTTACGGGGTGCGTCTTTCGAAATGGTCCCGCTACGCGTGAGCGCTTATTCCGACCCTTAAAATGTAAAATAAACAGTTAGTCCAGGTAGGACCATGAGAAACACGCATTTCCGTAAATCTAGCAGCGTACAGCAGTCGCCGGACGCCGACTATAACAATTTTTAAAATACTACCATTTCGATGGAATTTTTGACCGAAGCGATTTGTTTGACCAATTCTTGTGATTTGAGTTCGTTCTGTCGAATTTCTTCATCAAGTATTGCTATATCTTTCTAAAAATTATTTTCGAAATTTTAAGAAGAAACAAAAATTAATTTAAAAAATTTTTTAGAATACCTCGAACATTTTATTTTTTTCCGAGACTTCTTCATCGATTTCCGGAACTTTTGGATCGAATTTTAGATTTTTTGAGAATATATCAAATACCTAAGAAATTAAAGAATTAAATTGAACATTCCAAAAAAAAACAATAAAACCTCATTCAATTCTTTTTCGATACTTTCCACAATCTGTTCAACACTTTTTTCTTCCGGAGGAGACACTTGTTCGTGGATTTCATCATAATATCTTATTGTTTCCTCGATGAATTCATCCATATTCGCAATTTCTTCATCAATTGCTTTTCGCAAAATTTCTTTTCGTTTCTTCTTTTCGTTTTGATCCGATTCGAGCAATAACATCATATTTTCACATTGTTTTCTTTAAATAATTAAATTCTATTTTCGTTTTCGGCAAACTTCTAAATGTCGAAGACCAGTTTTAAAAAATGTAAAAATTACATTAATGCGATTTTCTGTATTTTTTATTTCACGAATAGGTTCATAAGAACACGATATTCAATTTCGACACTTAGCTCCAAAATTCTAATGGTTTTTAGAAATTTATTATTGAATCTAACAAGAACAAACCTAACATCGGTCACATATTTGGCTCGTTGATGTTTTCGATGCTCGGAAATAAGAATGTGCTCATTTTTAATGGTCCATTTCTCTTCGCGGACTTCTCGAGCTCGTTTTCGTTCATCTCGAATCTTCTGTGCCTTTTCTCTTTGCTTTCGAAGTCTTTCTCGACGAGCAGCAACAATTCGAATACGCATTTTGTTCAAATTTGAATAACTAAAAAGTTTCGACAAAAAAATACATGCTTTATTTGAAAATAAACACACATTTTGAGACATTTCTTCCGCATGACTCGATTCTCCAAAAATTTCATTTCCGGAACGGAAATTTTTCGAAAAAAAAATCAATATCAATTTTTAAAAATAGAAGGATTTCCACCGAAAATGCTTATAAGAAAATAATTAACAAGATTCTATGTAGTTATTTTTTTCTTTAAAAAAGGTTCGGTTCCGCTGATCGATTCTGTTTTTTTTATTTCTTATCACTTGTGACTCATTTACATATATTAAAATATAAATTTGCTGAAAGAAAACATTGATTAATTATATCTATACAGTGCGTTGCAGAATTATAAGGCCACCCCCAAATTTGAACGCCGCACAATGATTTCGATATTTTGAAACCAACCAGTGTGAAAATCTTGTTCAGCATGAAAAATATCCTATATGTACCAATTTTTATATTAGTATCTTCAAAAGTAACCGCGCTGTGGTCCAAAACCATTTTTTCGAGCGGTGCAGAATTATAAAGCCACCCCCATGAAATACGTTATAAACTCAAAGATAACGACAGTCTAATGTATGATGGCACCTCCATTCGAGGTTATAACATCGAAAACACAGTCTGGCATAGATTTGAGAAGGTTCGAAACATATTGGGTCGATCTAGATTTGAATTGCTGCTCTAACGTCTTTCACTCGACTACGATTTCGGTTTTGAGCTCTCCAACTCCCCGAATTTCCTTCCTTGGCCATAGAGACGCCGTACTAACTCTCCCCAAATGTTCTCCATGTTACTCCAAAAAGGAGAACATGCTGGCCAATCGAGAACGTCCACACTGTGAGACTGAAGCCAGTCCAAAGTAGACCGACTCAGATGAATGACAGCATTGTCCTGTTGAAAAAGGTCAATAATGACGTCGGAATGGAAGAATATGGCTCTCAAGAACATTCTGATAATCCGAAGAGTCCACCCTACTCGTCAGAAAAGCCAATTCCAGAAATCCGGCCTTCGAAAACGCTTCCCCCATAATATCACGCTTCCTTCTCTAAAATTGAGTTTTGAAAGCAGGACGCGATTCTTTCATTACTCGGGCCAGCAACTGTTATAGCCGTCTGGGCCATCCAAATTATTTTTTTTTTCATCGGAAAAAATAACCTGTTGAAGTTTGAATGGTTATTATTCACAACATTCTCGAATGTGAACACCTTGTTCCAATCCGTATTCATGTTTTTGAATGCGAACTCAAGGCGTCGAATTTTATGGTCCTCTGTTAGTCGCGGGGCCGGCTTCATTTTTTCTCTAGCGATGTTGGGATTATTCTTGATGGTTCCCCAAACTGTCCACTTGCTTTTGTCGAAGTTTAGCTTCTTCTTGATGTCATTTGTACATTTCATACTGCTCGAAGCTGCTCGAATGCTTGCTCGATTAGCGAGATAGTCCAGTTTTCCTTTGCCGCCTGACTTTTGCGACATGTTGACACGAGTTGGATCCTTCACAAAGATGTCTACGAATGTTTTCGGATCATTTAAATTTTTCGCAACCTTACGGCTCGACCATCCTGCCGTTTTGAATGCGATAATCTGAGATTGCTCAGAAGCACTAAGACAGCGACCACGTGGCATTTCAAAATCATTCAAAAAGTGAAAAATAAGGACCACTGTAGGTTCTCAAAGTCACACAACAATTTTTATGCACATTAGTCCCGCCAAAGTTTCAAAAAAATGCGAAAAAGTCCGTTGTATGGGGGTGGCTTTATAATTCTGCACCGCTCGAAAAAACGGTTTTGGACCACTACGCGGTTACTTTTGAAAATACTAACATAAAAATAGGTACATATAGGTTATTTTTCATGCTGAACACAATTTTCACACTGGTTGGTTTCAAAATATCGAAATCATTGTGCGGCGTTCAAATTTGGGGGTGGCCTTATAATTCTGCAACGCACTGTATATATATATATATATATATATATATATATATATATATATATATATATATATATATATATATATATATATATAGTCGGCGTCCCGCCGTCGACTGCTGTACGCGGGTAGATTTACGCGCATGCGCCTTGAAAAGGTCTCGCCACGTGTGAACGCTTATTTTGCTGTTTTCACGTGAACGATGAATTTTTTCTGGGTGAGTTTGGCATTTCTTGGAATTTCTAACGTCGTTCGATTTAAAAATTATCCAATTGACCCATAAAATGCGAAATAATGAGTTAGTCCGTGCGAGACCATTTCGAAAGACGCATTCACGTAAATGTACCCGCGTAGAGCAGTCGTCGGACGCCGACTATATATATATATATATAATGAAATTTTGTATCGCATGTTTTTTATTCAGCAATTTCTCGGCCCATTTTTTAAATCGAATTTTATTTCTCAGCAATTTTAACAATAATGTTCGTTTGCCGATCCCTCTCGAAGAAACTTTCAAAACGTCTAGTTTCAGCAACTTTACACATTTCTATATTCCCTTTTAGCATCGTTGGCAATTATTGCCGAAATTCATCAAGAAGCCGGTATTAGAAATGAATTGTTTGTTTCAATTAAGGAATACTAAGGATGCTCTTCATAGATGCCCAATTTCACCTCAATAATTTTAGATGATAAAAATTGAACCTAAATGCGTTTCCCTCGTCGAAATTTCATCAAGCTTATTGTGTGTTTATGACGGCCGGCCGATCGCGTGTTTCGCAGAAGCACGTAAACCGGCTGCCGATTTCGTCATCTCGCACAATCCTTCCTCGTCACCAACCAATTGCCTCTCGGCGTTTTTTCCTCCACAAATAATCATTTTTTATCGATAAATTCAAATTCGACAACATGTTTTTGAAATGATAACGAGCATATCTTTTCGTCCATGTCGAAAACAACATCATTATAAACCAAATCATCGTGTATTTTGAACAGCCCTCAATAAACCAGTTTTCATTTCATCATTCCATTCTCGCTTTGGTGTACTTCGATATCGAAATGTTACAATAGAAAAAAATGGGAAAAGATGAAGCAATTTGAAAAGGAAAGTGGTGACGAAAATGATGAGTGTTCCCTTTTTCATCGTCAAACAATGCTGCTGCTGCTGCTTATGAACGAAAAAAGACTTGTCTCAAGAATTCCAGCATTCAATGTACATATATTTACTTTTCGTATAGTTTGTCACATGACATAATAGATATGAGAAATTTGCTGATAAAAAGCTAATCACACCACATTTTTCGGAATTGTTTTTGTTGCTGACGAATCAAAAATCGCGGAATGACGAGGCTATCAATCAGATAGTCAATCGCATAAAGAATTTCGTAGGGAAGCAGATGGTTCATTTTTTTTTGAAAGAATCCAAGGACAGCGGATGAGGATCAACATTTATATTGAATGCTCGAAAGCGGTTAAGAGGGAAAACACTTGTAGTTGAGAAGATTTGCGAATACACTAAATATATGCATAGTTTCTAGAGAAATTTCATATGGAGAAGCACTATTTGTCATGTTTTTGCAGCTTTCGAAATTGTTTCCGCATTTGTTGGTTTTCCTTTTTTGAAGCATTACGGAACTCGTATCTTTTGCAGAATCACGAGAAAACCTTTCGTAATTCCCTTTTCTCGTCACATAAGCTTTTTGTTTTTCAAAACGAAGGGTTTTTGTTTTTGTTTTTCAACATAAACAACTTTTTGTTTTCGTCCGCATTCATCCACTTGAACGAATGACCAGTGAGCAGAATCAAAAGACAATTACCGGACATTTTGAGTATTAATAAGGACAATGCACTAATAGTTCAAGCATAGTGCAATGAGTTACTCATAGTCGAAATTTCGTTGGTTTGGTCAAGAATTAATTTGTCGGTTTCAGTCGGTTTCCGAAAAAAAAAACAGCCAGAATTGGTCGCAGCTGAATGGAAATTTAATTAATTATTAATTTTTATTATTTCGTGATTGAATTCCATTAATTCTCAATTCATATGGGTACTAAAAAAATCTAATTGAAAACAGAACAGAATAGGCCGAAATCGATGGTTTTTAAAGAAGCCACATGTTTTCTAATTTCAAAAAAAAATTTTTCATATACATTAACTAAAGGCGCACGCAGTTTTTTTTGCTGAGTCTTGAAACGGTCGTTAGCCACATTTTCTAGAAACAGATTATTAACACACATTTTCAATTACACATCTCGTCGGGTTTTAAACAAGAAAAACCTTTTTGGGTAAGATCAGATAAGCGTAAAAAACTCGTTTTAACTGCATAATTCATATTTTAATAGATGGTACCAATTTGAATTGCAAACGGCCCGAATGCGAGGAAAACCGCCGTTTCTCCCACGCACGGATTACCGAAAATATTTTAGGTTTCAAATGTTAAATAATCTAAAAAAAAATATTATTGAAAAGTTGATCTATTTGAAATTGATCTGCAAATCGAAATCAATTTTTTAATCCATCGATTTTGAATTTCAATTGTGCGTCATTTTTCCATTTTGTCTGAGCACTCGGTTGTTGCATCACTCTTCACTTTGCTACTCTCTCCGCCTCGCCGACGCCGCTCCTCTGTGTCTCTCACAATTTCGCAATAACAGAACACTTTCGAAAATCTTCGGGAACATTCTTCTTGCTATTTTTTGCTGTCGATCGATTGAAAGAAAACCTTTATAAGCTATCATTTGACGCTCGCCATCATTCTGTTTGCATGTTTTTTCTTTATCAACGTATGTTACCTTCAACGTGTCCCTGACCTTATAGTCCACATTTTCTTTGCAATGAGAAAGGTGCCTGCATTAACAATATTATAACGTTTCGAAAATTATTCCACGTAATTCGTGAAACAGTTTTTTTTGACACATCCTTAAACTTCTATTACTATTCCAAAATTTTGTTTCGGTACTAAAAGGTGAGTCCATTTGCCAATTCAAAGGCTCTACTAGGTAAAACGTTTTTCGAAAACGATGTATAAAATTTGTATTACCGTATTAAAGGCGCATCTGAAAATCATTGTTTTGGTCATGCAACGCAGTTTCTTTTACGATCGTTTTTCGAAATATTTCATTACATTTCGTAATTTTCTAGAAGTATGCATTTTTCATTCACTATTAAACAATTTTTTGTCCCTTTCCCGGTTGCAATGATACTTCAGTGCCTTTAGTTTTAAATGAATAATTTCAATTGCTTCGCTGGGTTTTCTATTTTCCTTCAACCCTTATTTCCGTTCCGCCGATTCCAAATTATTGCTGCCAGACAAACAGAGTCCTGGGCACAAATATGAAGTCGCATGTCTGCCTCGCGCAAGAACAACAGCTGAACGCTAGGCGCAGAGACTGGTGGGTCGCGTCCTGTGACTATTGATCGGTTTGCGCCGGCAGTGAGCGCAGAGTATGCAAAGAACGCCCCTTACATTCGCTCACGCCCCACCTCTCCTCATTTGTGTTTGGTATCTAGCTAGACGCCGGTGCCTCTCTGTAACCTTCCTGCGTGTTTCTATTATTCTTTGCTTATTGATTGCCTATTGCGTTTTCGTTTTGTCTATACACACATTTTCGAAACGCTTAAAACGTTTTTTTCAGATGCAAATCTTCGTCAAAACTCTCACTGGAAAAACGATCACCCTTGAGGTCGAGGCTTCCGATACCATCGAAAATGTGAAAGCCAAGATTCAAGACAAGGAAGGAATTCCTCCAGATCAACAACGTTTGATCTTTGCCGGAAAGCAACTTGAAGATGGAAGAACCCTTTCGGATTACAACATTCAAAAGGAATCCACTCTTCACTTGGTCCTTCGTCTTCGCGGAGGAATGCAAATCTTCGTCAAGACTCTCACCGGAAAGACCATCACCCTCGAAGTCGAAGCTTCTGATACCATCGAGAACGTCAAGGCCAAGATCCAAGACAAGGAAGGAATCCCACCAGATCAACAAAGATTGATTTTTGCTGGTGAGAATAATTTATTATCAACTGTTTTAAAGAATTAATTTCAGGCAAGCAGCTTGAGGACGGAAGAACCCTTTCGGATTACAACATCCAGAAGGAATCGACCCTTCACTTGGTTCTTCGTCTCCGCGGTGGAATGCAGATCTTCGTCAAGACATTAACAGGAAAAACTATTACATTGGAAGTCGAGGCCTCTGACACTATCGAAAATGTGAAAGCCAAGATTCAAGACAAGGAAGGAATTCCTCCAGATCAACAACGTTTGATCTTTGCCGGAAAACAACTTGAGGACGGTCGCACGTTGTCTGACTATAACATCCAGAAGGAATCGACTCTCCATTTGGTTCTTCGTCTTCGCGGAGGAATGCAAATTTTCGTCAAGACCCTCACCGGAAAGACTATCACTCTTGAAGTCGAAGCCTCGGATACCATCGAGAACGTCAAGGCCAAGATCCAGGACAAGGAAGGAATTCCCCCAGATCAACAAAGATTGATCTTTGCAGGTTTGTATTTATAATATTTCTTCAAATTAATATACGGGCTGATTTCAGGAAAACAACTTGAGGATGGAAGAACATTGTCGGATTACAACATCCAAAAGGAATCGACTCTCCATTTGGTTCTTCGTCTCCGCGGAGGAATGCAAATTTTCGTGAAGACCCTCACCGGAAAGACCATCACTCTTGAAGTCGAAGCCTCGGATACCATCGAGAACGTCAAGGCTAAGATCCAGGACAAGGAAGGAATCCCTCCAGATCAGCAAAGATTGATCTTCGCCGGAAAGCAACTTGAAGACGGAAGAACCCTTTCGGATTATAACATCCAGAAGGAATCGACTCTCCATTTGGTTCTTCGTCTCCGTGGAGGAATGCAAATTTTTGTCAAGACCCTTACCGGAAAAACCATCACTCTTGAAGTCGAAGCCTCGGATACTATCGAGAACGTCAAGGCCAAGATCCAGGACAAGGAGGGAATCCCACCAGATCAGCAAAGATTGATCTTCGCAGGAAAGCAGCTCGAAGACGGCCGCACATTGTCCGACTACAACATCCAGAAAGAGTCGACCCTTCACCTGGTCCTTCGTCTTCGCGGAGGAATGCAAATTTTCGTGAAGACCCTCACCGGAAAAACCATCACCCTCGAAGTCGAAGCCTCGGATACCATCGAGAACGTCAAGGCCAAGATCCAAGACAAGGAAGGAATCCCACCAGATCAACAGAGATTGATCTTTGCTGGTTAGTTTTTATAATATTACTGCAAATGAATATACGGGCTATTTTCAGGAAAACAACTTGAGGACGGAAGAACCCTTTCGGATTACAACATCCAGAAGGAATCCACGCTCCATTTGGTCCTTCGTCTCCGCGGAGGAATGCAAATCTTCGTCAAGACTCTCACCGGAAAGACCATCACTCTCGAAGTCGAAGCCTCGGATACCATCGAGAACGTCAAGGCCAAAATCCAGGACAAGGAGGGAATCCCACCAGATCAACAGAGATTGATCTTCGCCGGAAAGCAACTTGAGGACGGAAGAACCCTTTCCGACTACAACATTCAGAAGGAGTCTACTCTTCACTTGGTCCTTCGTCTTCGCGGAGGAAACTACTAATTTAACATCTGTATATTCTCCATGTAAATGAAAGCGTAATAATGTATTTTTTGATCTCCGTCCATCACTCGTCAAAATTATTTATTGTATTTTTGCCGCGCACGCATCATGCTCATGCGAAGAATAAAGTTGATCGTAATTTAGCTAAATATTTATTAAGCAAACAAAACAAATCCGAGCACGAAGAACTCTTAGATGATATCCGCTTGAAGTGTCTGCGAATTGGCATCTGTAATCTTGACGTGAACGTAGTCTCCTGGTTGTGCTTGTAGCTTTGAGTTATCGAAAATTGCTTTGACTCCTCCATCGATTCGACCTTGAAAATGAACTGGAGAGCGTTTTGACATCTGTAAACTAGTAGGATTATGAATATATTAAATTGCGACGAACTCCTTCGACGAGAACAATTTGAGAAGATCCTATGAGTGATTGATTAAGAATCGTTGATTGTTCCCTGAATGTCTCATTCAATTCGTGATGTCTCCGCTGCTTAACATCTTCTGGAACGTCATCTGTGAGTCGATGATGAGCACGAGTTTTCTGTAAAAGTACTTGTTCGAATTCAACTTCAATTATTATTTCTTACGCCTCTCATACTATACGGGAATACATAACAGAACGAATACTTGACTGTTCTTATCAATTCAAGAGTCCTTTGATGAGCTTCTTCGGTTTCTCCACAAAATCCGGCAATAAAATCGCTGGTGAGGAACACTTCTGAAGTTTGATAATTGAAATATTCAGATGCGTCGATGATCAACCTGGAACAACTTTTCGGATATCCTCCACAAGCTTCAAATAGAGTTCTCTGGTGTATCCGCGACCCATTCGCTCCAGTGTTTCATCATCTCCACTTTGCGCGGGAAGATGAAGCTGCTTACAAAGATTTTTTCGTTCCGCGATGAGCTCAATCAACTGTAACCAATGCCCGATTTTGATTAAGAATTCAAACAATTTCTTACGGGCATCGGAAAATCCTTGGGATGAGGAGAAGTGAACCGAAATCGTACGTCGGGTGCAATTGTTGAGACTCGTTCCAGAAGTGTTGTAAAGGTTTTCCCGCCGACTTTTGGTCTGAAAAATTAGAATCAACCAACCAGCTTCAATTATTTTTCGACACAACTAACTTGTAAACCGTTTTGAATCCTGGAACACGTTCATCAGACGATGTTGACGGCGAAAAGTCAATGTTCGTCATATCCCTATAACTATTAACATTCTGTCCCAACAAGGTAATCTGCTTGAATCCTTCGTCGCGCAATCTGGCTACTTCATCGACAATCGATTCAATCGGACGACTTCTTTCCCTTCCACGTGTAAATGGCACAACACAATAAGTGCACATATTGTCACATCCTCGCATAATTGATCTACAATTGCTCATTTCAGTGCTATTCGGGTTCATGCTCATTCATACACAAACGCTGTCTTCGAGTCGACATCAACTCGAACTGGCTGCACATCCGCGTACGTTTCATCCAGCGATAATTGCACATTAATTGCGCTTGATCCGCCCCGTGCGACTGCGATCAAACGAGGTAGATCTCGATACGAATCCGGTCCTGCCACAATACTCACAAGCTCTTTCTTAGCGAGCAAGTCATGCCGTACTCGTTCTGCCATACACCCCAAAACCCCAACGATTTGTGATTTATTTTGCGAATTGAATCGAATCTGCTTCAATCGATTCCAAACTTTCTTTTCAGCTCCTTCTCGAATTGAGCATGTCATCAGAAGAACTATATCAGCCTATCATTAACCACTAATTAGTTGTTTAATAGCTAAGAATTATACCGTGAATTTATCATCAGATTCAGTATATCCATAAGATGACATTATCGATCGAACAATTTCCATATCACTCACGTTCATTTGGCATCCGTATGTTACATAACATACTAAATAAATCAATAAATCATCAGAATGAAATCAATAAATACCAGTGCGTCCATTTCCTTTTAGATCGTCCATGTTTAAATATTCTCTCGTTTCTTCAATTGATGGAATTATCGCACTTTGCCGCTTTTTTCGGCTTTGATGTATAAAATCCGATAGTTGTGGTCCATCTATAAATTAAAATTGCAAAAATTATTTCAATTTTCTTTCCGCAAAATTCAATACCATCAGGAATTACTCGTTTTTTCACCAATCCAGCAGCCGTTGAACACGACCTTTTTAACCCAATCCGGTTCGAAACTTCAAGGAATTTTCGAGCACATTGTCGAACGATCATTCTGTATTTTTTTTTATTTCCCGTTTTTAGAACTACACAGATATATTCAAAAAGAATGCAACTCTATTAGATTTGTTTGAACAAATATTTTTTTATTAAATTTTTTATCTTTGGTAACAAATTCATGGCAAGTAGGAGTTATTGGGATATTTTTGGCTTTAAGTAAGCTTAGTTTGATACCAGTTCTACATCGAGACATGTTATAGGGAAAATATCACAACGAAAGTAGAAATCCGTAAATGCGGAATCGGTAAAAAATGGAAATGAATTTAAAAAAAGCATCAACAAAAACAAAATGCTATTTGGTTTCTTGGATAAGACTAAGAACTCCTCCGACTAAATGGAGACTACCAGTGACTAAAACAACTAAATCCTTGTTTTCTCCTTCGCGTTTTATACAATTCACTGCTCTCGAAATACAATCGAATACACAACTATCATTGCGGTTTGGCTCGTGCTCCTGCCATGCTGAAACGCATTGATTCGATTTGTTGAGCTGCTCGACATCCGACATGTTCAAATTGGTGATATCTGACGATTTGCTCGGTTCAACGTGGAGACGTGTTGGACAGGAATAGAGTTTTGAGAATCCGAGTGGCTAAAACGTTATTTGAAAATTGAATTGAGATCCAAAAGTTTTTACCTTGACATATGGAAGCAAAGATGTTGGGCAGCGATCAGCAGTACATTGGAACAAAAGAATCTTATCGGTGTTGCTTGGTAACTGCTTCATTTCTTTCGAAGCCCACTGAGCACATGCTTCCATACTTTTTGGAGTATGTGCTCCGTCCAGAAGATAAGTGATTCGGCCACATTTCACAATTTGACTTCGACCTGGCCATTTGCATTCTCTAATAGCATTGGCCCATTCTACAGGAATTCTGAATGGCTCGCCTGCTTTCCATGGCATCATAGGAAAAATAACGTAGTTCAACAGAGCACAGTTCAGACATGTCCAGATTCTGGCTAGTTGAAGGGCCAAAGACACATTCAATTTTTGATGATCGCCTGCAATTCCAATTGAAGCTTTGTCAGGCCACTTGTATTCAGAAAGAGGAGGTGCTTCAAAAATGTGTGCATTTTTCTCAGCTGCGCGTTTTTTGATTACCTAAAGTACCAAGAGTTGGCTCACGAAACGCATTAATATATTAAAACCTCAAAAGCTTCATCAGTAGTTGGCGAATATACGGCAATCGAGTTATTCTTCAAAATACCAGCTTTATGCCAAGCGATTTCCGACAGTTTTGAACCAAGTATGGATATATGATCATAATCAAGTGTTGTTATTCCGCAAACCTAAAATTACAATTCGCGTTTCTAGCTAAAATAACATTTCAAAAATTTACAGAAGGATTCTCGACCACATTGGTACAATCGTATTCCCCACCAATTCCGACTTCAATAATGGCAACATCAACTTTGTCTTTAACGAATATCTGGAAGGCGAGAAGTGTCAAAAACTTGAAGTAAGCTGGCATGTCGTCAGCATATTTCGATTTCAAGCAATGGTAAACTGAAAAAAAAAAACAATATGTCAACCAAAAATAGCCTTTAACCATCGAAAAATTCGGTCGAAAATGTGTATTCGTCGATAGGCACACCGTCAAGACGAATTCGCTCCCTCGCATGGACAAGATGCGGCGACGTGTACATTCCTGTGCGTAATCCAGAGCTTCGGAGGATTCGCTCGACGAAAGCACTTGTACTGCCTTTTCCTTTAGTTCCGCTAATATGAATAATATGAAGATTATCAACATCTTTCGAAGTAATTCCCATGCAGTCCAAGAACTTTCTACATTGCGGCACATTCATCGATTGCATTTGTTCTCTTTGCTCGCGCATTTTCTTTATTGTGGCAGCATTTGATTGTAAACCATTCAGTAATCGAATCGCTTCTTCATATCGCTCGTCATTGTCCACATTTACCAAATGATGCTCATTGCAATTAGAACGTCGGCCGCGAAATGACGACATGTGCCTGATGTGTACAGATGATATCCGGCGAAATAGCATGATTTATACGGTACGGATTGGACTATCAAAATGACGTAAATATGTTGAAAACGTCATTAAATATGTAGAAATAGGCGTAAAACTAGCGAAAATTATTAATCAAAATACTTGAGACCGCATTTCGCCGTAGCGTGTTTGCGGGCGACGTACGATTTAATGTATTAACGGGTGAAAACCAAATGCACTCGACATCTCGTTTCCATGCAATTAATTGATCATTTGTGATTTGCGAAATCATAGTTCATAATTTAATCCCTTATCATCTTATAATATACATAACCTTAGGTATTATGGTTTTTTTTTCGATTTTTTTCATAATTAAAAACATACCCAAATTTTTAAGAAAATAATACATTACGTGAAATTCCAACCTGTTCATTTTTTTGTCGATGTCAGATTTATTACTAGTCATCAACTAACCGGACAAAGTATGTTTTTTTTTGTTTGTATAATCAACTTTTGAATGTTTTACATATTATTGATTAAAATTTATTAATTTGACAATTGATTTTGGATGAAACGGTTAGAATTAAAACAAATGTGAACGGAAACATGAAATGATCAATTGAAGATCACCCCGTCGGATATATAAGGCATGGGGAAAACGCTTTCGTACTGTCTTATCGTGCTTTGATCGCTCGTCAGATTGAGAACTGTCAATAATTGAAAGGCGACAACAAAGATAAGATGTCAGGAAACGTATTTTATTTAAAAATCTAAAATTTTGCGATAAAAGGAAAAGACAAACGTTTTCAAATGTCAAGTATTCGAAGCGTATCAATAGATACAGCTGTAAAAAGCAAACAATTGGAAGTTTTAAAGCAAAAAAAAACTAATAAACAAACAAACGGATGAAATAATTCAAAAGCCAATAGAAAACTGAAATTACTATTAATCTTAAGATCGACTTGTCCTGTTGAGTTTCGATTCCCATTTTTCGCATTTTTCATTTTTATTTTCCCTCGTTCGATTTTATCAGGAATCTCGAATAATGTCTTAAAACATTTTTATTTGATAAGATTTAATCGGCATTCATTTTTTCGAGAAGCATAGCCAATTCCATATGGCCAATCTATACGCAGACTCGTCGCTCTCATTTTCCACTATTTTCTCAATATTTTTTGTTTCTTTTCGTTTCTTCTCGTTGCGTGTTGTTTTGTTATCTGTTTGAATTGTTCTCTGATTTTAGTTTAGCCGTTCCAGACAACGACACAATACGAAAAACACGACGGGTTATTTCGACGTCTTCTATGAGCTTTGCCAGAACGGTCGGACGCCTCGTCGGTAGGTCATTTCTAAGTGCATCCAATCTCGAAGGAGTATCTCAATCTGGAATTTTCATTACAACATTGCAAGGTGTGTTATTTTTATCAATAGAATTATATTCTTTAGAAGGTATTTCAAATTTCTCAAACAATTGACTAAAAAACCAAATCCTGTCGTAAATATTAGAGATTAGATACATATATGCGTACATATATGTATGTATTATCATTTCATTTGCCGAATATTCGCGAAGGTCTCACTGGCTCGTATTTATAGGTCATCAGTCGGATACCACCATGTCAGTCCTTCATAATGATTAGCTCATTGTCAATAGTGCCATTTAAAATAATTTCGAATCGTGATTTTAAATTTTTTCTCGGTTTTGAAACATTGCAAATAGTTTTCAATATTACCAGTATCGTTTATTGTCGATTTAAAACTGTTGATCTCATAAATCGTTCTTCGAACGCTTATTGTAATAGAGAACATCTAGGGGATGCCATAATACACTAACAATCGAAAAATGTTAAATGAATATCAAAGTTTTAATTTGATCAGAAATCATTAAGTGTTTATATAAGTTTATAATCTATCAAAGAAATTTGAAATGTATTGAATGACCTCGTCTGATTGTTTGCCAAGATGATCATAGCGTTCACGTGTCTACTTCGTTGAAAATTGCGAGACATGCGTACGTAATATCGAATAGCGCCAAATGTCTGCCCATGTCGTCTCCTCGTTTTCTGTCGTTTTTTTTGCTCCGATGAGCTGATCTTTTCGTCGTTTGTGCTTGTGTGTGTGTGTTTTTTTTTTCGACCTTGCCACACTCCGGGTATCGCTGTTAAACGTGTACGTATCTTCAGTTCAATAGTTTCTCTAGTGGCCAACAAAATGGATGAAAGAGGTGAACGTTTAGTTCAATTTAAATAACGTTTAAAAATAGATCGAAAATGCTATGAATTTATATTTTCAAGTAGGAAATTGAAACATTAAAACGTTTTAAACCGATAAGATCTACATAATTAAAAATTTCCAATTAGATGAAGTTCACAAGTTTGTTTTCAGTTGGAAGTTGAAAACCAACGAGATGTAAATTCTATGTGTCTGGATGTGATGTTTCGAAAATCCGTATGCTCATGTTGGTGTCTGAATGGCAATTGAACGAATATTAGTCTAGATTTCTGCCGTTTGCATTGCTTTCAATTTTTTGTTTGTCTATTTATTTGCTTTCGACTGTTTTTCCCATATCTTCGTTTGTTTTGTTGTTTAATTTCCGCAATATTGAAACCATCACATTGCGTAATGTCTGCTTCTTTTTTCATCTACCGCTACCCTCCTTAAATTTCAGAATTCTAGTGATTTCCTCTTGAACGGTAACATAATGAGTAATGTACACCGAATATCTTCTTCACATATTCATATTGCTAATTTTTGCACTATTTCATTTTTTATTTGCGATGTTTCTATAATTATCTTTTCTTTATTTGGACTTTGTATCGCGTAGACACTGTGTAGCCATGTTCATGTTCAATTTCGGTAGGCGATAATTCGTACAATGGAAAACTTATATCAAACGTGTCGAGATAAGTAGCCGATTGAGCATTTTTTGCAGAATTGACAAAGAAAAGTACGTGCCACTGCGAGCAACTTCTTTCATCGAAATCGTACAGTGGCCATAAAACGGTGGTAACTTGACAGCTAGTAGCTGATTACGAGACACGACTTCTTTGTTTTGTGGCTTATCTCTAAAAGTACTGAGCACTATCATGATGTATCCCATCTTATCGTGTCTGATTTTCCATCTCACTCTTGATTCCTTCGAAGCGCCGCCCATTTTAATAGTTTCAGGCGCATATAAATGTACCAGTTCGGAGCACCTTCATTTATTCGCCGCTGTTTGTTCGACAGAGCAAATAGTTAAGCGAATCGCGTTTTTTTTGGCAGCAAGAATTTTTTTGTGATTGAATCTATGCCATTTCACATTCGCAGTTTTCGAACAATTCCCTGGTGTAATAGCGGGAATTTACATTGTTAGCAGACAGTGTTTGATCGCCGATTTTTTTTTCCGACAATGCCATTTTTGAGTCCCTTCGCAAACTGTGACCGCATATATCAAATTCGTGTCGGTCGTTGAAACGCGGCGGCGAAACGCACTTTGGCCTCAAAAACAACCTTGACGCTAGACATTTCACACAAATTTTTGCATTTTTCGCGTCTTTTAATTGGGCTCATTGACTCGTGAAATCGTCCAAATTTGCGCGTAGCTACTTATAATGACCAAACCGAACAATCTCGTAGTTTTCGTATCGTTCACTTCCCAAAAATCATGAAAAAGTTGCCAACTGCTAATGGTAGATTTAACCGCAATTTTTTCTTTTGAAAGTCGTGTTTTTTTTGCAGCGGAAACACTCACTGATCCCGCACTTGCTCCACTCAACACTGCTCGAAGTGAATCGAATACAATGCTCGCTGTTTCGGAAGCCATAGACATTGCTAAAGCTGAAGCCAGAAATCTTATGCTCGAAAAGCTCAAGTATTAAAGTTTCATTTAGCAACCAATCAAATCGAAACAACGTTTTTCAGAAAAAGTGATGCTATTGTTACACTAATGGAAGAATTGAAGAACATGCCAAATGTTCGAATTGCAAACGTCGACGCGGTGGAAACTGCAATCGCAAACATGACGATTGGCGGCTCAAGACAACTTCTTGTCATATCTGATTTCGACTACACTTTGTCGAGATTTCATGATGATAATGTAAATTTTCCCAAAAATTTTGCGGTTCTTTTTCTTATCATATTAATTTAAGGGCGTTCGTTTATCGACTACTCACGGCGTTTTTGATGATAATGTGATGAAAATCAACCCCGAACTCGGACAGAAGGTTTTGAATTCGATTGAGATTCAGAATGCGATTTCAAAACGTTCAACATTTTCAGTTTATTGACCTTCGCAACAAGTATTATCCAATCGAGTTCGACCCGAAACTCACTCCCGAACAAAAGACACCAATGTTGGAAGCTTGGTGGAGATCATCTCATAATCTCATTATCCAAGAACGATTCTCGAAGTCGACCATCGAGGACTTTGTGAGCAATTCGAGAATTGTTCTCAGGTAAGCATGTAATTTATTATTGAGATTTATTTTTTTTTCAAATACTTAATAATTTTTCAAAATGCCATTTTTTCAGGGATGGTGCCGAGGATTTGATTCTAACTCTTGATGCACGTAATATTCCGCTCGTCATTTTCTCTGCTGGAATCGGAAACATCATCGAATACTTTTTGCAAAAAAAGCTTGGTGCTCTTCCAAAAAACACCCATTTCATCTCGAACATGATTCTTTTTGACGAAGAAGACAAGGCGTGCGCATTCAGCGAACCGCTCATTCACACCTTCTGTAAAAATTCTTCCGTCATTCAAAAGGAGGCGTCGTTTTTCCACGAAATGGTCGGAAGGTTGGCTCTCGAAATTGTTGATAGCACATTGATTGACTTGTTTCAGAAACAATGTGCTCCTGCTCGGTGACTCGATGGGTGATATTCACATGGATGTTGGTGTTGAGAAGGATGGTCCGACATTGAAAGTTGGATTCTACAACGGAAGTGTAAGCAGCTAACTCATCGATTCGACATGTCAAATCAATCATTTCAGGTCTCTGACGAAGATTCTATCAAACATTACATTGAAGCCTACGACATCGTGATTATCCACGACAATTCGTTTACCATTCCCCAGAGAATCATCGATGTCGTCAATCACAATCATAATATCATCGATCCAACAACATTGTAGATATTTTATCCAACCAACCCTTCTCCATTGCTTTCTTTTTTGAATGTATTTTTAGGATTTCAATTGACACGTGTATTTCACTTTTTCTCATCATATGAGGTCCTATCTAGTTCAAATGAAATCCCTGTGAATATTTTTGATATTACTACTAGTATCGACTAAACAATTTCATTTGTATCATCACACTTGCCGCTTGAATAAAACCTTTAAATAATTTATTAATTTTATTTAGTATATTATAAAACAATCCAAGCTTGCAATCCAATTATCTTCGTTTTTTCTCCGGTGGTGGATATTCGGAAGAGTAAGGAGATCCACTAAATTGCTTCGGTTGTTCATTCTGGCGATTTACTGCAATCGAAAAATATAATTATTTATTTATTGAGATAAGACTTACGAAGATTTGCAGCTGCTCCATTGTCATTTTTGAATATTTGCAATAAACGTTGTACTCCTTCAATCATGTTAGTACGTGGCGGACCTGGATGTGGTGGTCCACCTGGACCTCCAGGAGGTGGGCCCCCAGGCCCCATCATTGGCCCACCTGGGGGACCCCCTGGATTAAACATTCCTGGTGGTTGTCCAAATCCTTGTTGTGGTGCCGCGAATGGGGGCGGTCCTCCCATAAATGCTAAATCAAGTAAAAATTAAATTGAAAACCGTCAAAAGAATTAAGTCACCTTGAGGCGGATATCCAGAATGAGGTGGTGGAACCGACATCGAATTCGCACCTGGTGGGCCCATCATTCCGCGCATTCGTTCACGCCTTGCTGCTTCTAAACGCTCCAACTCTTGTTGTCGTCGTTGCAAGTCTGCAATTCACCAAATCTCTACAAATCTACGAACTATACGCGTAAAAGATAAAACTCTCTTGAGAAATACAACTGAAACAACACACGTAACTTTCGCAATTCGGATTTTAAGAGAAAAACACATAAATATTATTAATTATTTAGTAGTAGTCTCCGTAATCCCCATTAAAACCCACATGAGGATCAATCAGTCAAATGTAAAAATTACCATGAAATCATAAGTAAAGCGTAGGAGCTCTCTTATTGTGTACGAACAAGTGTCTCTCACCTACATTTGATTCGAGATTCACTTAACTAGACCACGACGTGTAGCAATTTATTCTAAGAATACCCCGTTTTTTTTAAATTTCTCCACGGATGGTGTTAACGGTCACATACGGACATCGAGGATCGCCCAAACCGAACACCAGAACAGAATTCACCTTTCCAAAAATATAAATACAGGAAATTATGTTCGGGTCATGTTGAGGGCCAATGCAGATAAAAAAATAAAATATATTGAGAAAATTTCAACGCAGAAAGATATTATTTTTCTTTTTTAATTTCTCAGCATTGGTCCTTTGAAAACTGTTTAATACCACTCGCTCTCTCTCTCTCTCAAACTATTCCATCTCTCTCAAATTCATTTTCTTTTCGAATCTAGTGTATACTTAAGTGAAATTGTCAAAGATATACTGATTGCAAACTGAAATTGCACTCGTACTACTACAAAAATTATTTACTCCGAAAAGAAAACAATTTTCTGAAGTTTATATTGTCGGAGTCAAACGGCTCAATGAAATTTAAAAAAATAATTGGCCATGTGCCAATGTGTCTCGAGGCAGCGAGAAGTACGCGAGACGATTGCGTACATTGCATTATACCGTACGCGCATTTAATATTCAGTCAACGATTAATTTATATCTACACTGATTTGGTGAATTTGGGCATCGCCTTCCTTTAGTCGTTTGACGCCGACAATAGAACAATTTGCACATATACACCATATTTCAAATTACATTTATGTATGCAAAAGTACGGCATCTATCTAAGCAATGGGAGCTCGACTCCGCACAGTTATTTTAGGAAAATGTCAACACGTAATAATTCAATCAATGCACAAGTTGTTTTGTCTCAAAATTTTCGCTTAATAGCAGGCAGTGAATGTTCATTTGCATTTTTTGAAGTAAAATAAAATCTGTAAAACCTTCGCGGAGCATTTGAGCTTGATAATCCTGATATGCTAGTTCCATGTCTGTTTCGAGACGACGACGAGCTTCGCGGAGTTCTTCTTCGAGTTGGGCTCGGCGTTGCTTTTCAATAGCATACAACTCCTTCCATTTGAGTCCATACGCATACTCGAAACTGTTGGGAGGTGGGAAACGAGGTCCCAATTCACGTTCCCTGGATAACAATGCGATATTTTTAAAAGAATAGGGTAGAAGGAAAAGAAGGCAACAAGATTAATGTGAGTGAATAAGAGAAATAAATGAAAAACGTGTTCACATCAGGCGTGTTGGCTTCTAAGGCGATGCAAGAAAGACCAGAGCCGATAATTCAAATTCGCGCGCTTAGTTGGCTGCGATGCGTATGCTTCGCTGTGTAAAAATACGACTTCCTTTTAAGAATTTTACATAGTTGATAAATTGCAACGACAAATATACAGAGCATCTCGAATTTACGCAGACTTCCAGTTTCTTATAATAGTCGTGCAGAGTTTGCGCAGACTATTATAAGAAACTGGAAGTCTGCGTAAATTCTGCTAAAAACACGCGCAAATTCTTCCGGGACTCGACACTCTGGTAACTCAAAACCAATCGAATCCGACAAAATTCGGCTCCGGAATCAACTTTATCCGATTGGTAATTTTACGGATGAGATTGTAAAATTATCGGATCCGATTGGTAATTTGTCGGATCCGTTTCGAATTGATAGGTTAAAACAAAACGGATTCGACAGATACACTACTAATCGGATACGAAAATAACCAAAAAACCAATCGAATCCGATAATTTTACAACCTTATCCGTAGAATTTCCATTATAAAGTTGACTCCGAAGCCGAAATTTGTCGGATCCGATTGGTTTTGAGTTACTAGAGCAAACTCTTCAAGACTTTTATGAGTGTACCACATTTAGCGGAATAAATTCAATTTCCGGAATAAATTTTTAGCATTGAAATTCTAAAATTTATTTGGGCTCTTATTTCTTAAAAAAATCATTTTTAGCCAAATTTCGTAAAATAATTATTTGAGATATTACGACGAACTTGCCAAAGTTGAAAAAACATGTTCGTTAGAAACGCTGTTCGGAGGTTCGAAGGGGGTCGCGCGGGCCGCGGTGACTTAAGTTTCGCTTGCCCGTATGAAATTTTAAGAACATTGTTTTTCTTTAACAAGGGTCAAATTGCGGACTATGAGCACATCTTATTTTACTACCAAATTATTGGCAATCCGCGAAATTCAAATTTTTAAAATGCATTAAAGAACGGAAACTTATAATATGTAACAAATAAAAAATTAGATAAAGGTAATGGAGAAGATGCGCAACTGCGGAGAACATGTTTTTTGTAGAGTTGCAGAGTTGCGCCTCGCAGCATGTGTGTCGATTTACGAGCGCATTTATTTACGCACCTTTGTTTAGCGTTGCGATTGTTTCTGCTTCGGTTTGACTCGAGACAGAAATTTGATGAAAATTATCAAGAACCGCTAACACCGAATATAAGGAACAAGAGAAAACAGAGGGACATGAAATGGAAATTGATAAACTTACTTCGATAACGCCGGGGTCCTCGGAATAAGGCGTTCAGCTAATCCATCATCTTCATCACGCGGCTCCATCACTTCAACAACTAATGGTTTTGGACTCCTACACGAAATAGCAAAATTATTGCATGTTACAAGGGTTGCCAAACAAAAACGCATTCAAATCTCAAATCGCGCTCTCTCACAGTCTACTTACGCAGTCAATAAGAAGACTTTCTCTCGGATAACAGTCATTGCCTCATTACAGTGAGGTTTTCTCTCAAATTCGACAATTCCTTCTCCAGTTGGACGACCTTTATCGTCAACTATATGCACAGCTCTTTCAACGTCGCCGAAATGGGAAAATGCATGATAAAGCATTTCATTTGATACAGTTGGAGATAATTCTTTGACCCGCAAAGCGGCTCCGTGAACAGCGAAGCGGACGCGAATTTGGCGTCCATGAATAACTCTTCCGTCGATTGCTTCTTTCGCACTTTCTGCATGAGCACGAGTATCCTGTCAAAATAACACTATACGTTAAAAACACATAAAAATCAAAACAAGTCTAGCAATATACACGCGTTGCATTAGCAGGCAATAGTCTTAACGGTTGGTTGGACATTTGTAGAAGAATGATGTGATGAATAGTAGAAAACTTGGGCACATCAACAGAATAAAACTGTTTGTAGTTACAAAATGTTGTGAATGGTCGTATCAAATGTCAAACACATCAGTCTAAGATCATTAGATGGAATAAGAAAGTTCCGAATATTTTGAATCTGCTCTAAGCTGTTACCATCGTAAAAAAGCTCCTGGGATGTGTACAGAACTACGTATCTAGTCTATTTTACCACGGTTTACAAATCGCTTTTTTGCTATGGTAATATTTATATTCGGTCTCCAGGTGGCTGCTGTACGCGAGTAGAAAGCGTTTTCCGTAATGGTCACGTCACACCGGAAATTTTATATCCACGTACATTACTTTTTTTTTGCTGAGATTTTCAGTTTCTTGAAGTTAATAATGACACAAAAGAACCACCAGAAATAACCATTGAACGTTTGCAAGACCATAAGGCGTATTTTAAAAATTTCTATCAGTCGAAACCGACAATTTGCTTGAGCTTTTATAAACGCTCATTGTCTTGATACATTCGGTACAAATTCAAATTTACATCAATCGTTTGAATCCGACAATACGAACTCATTGCTGGAATAAACCCAGATAACTGAGTACAATTTTGTTAAATTACAAGAACTGCGGTAGACCAAGACAAATGAGTGAGCAATTTTCTGAAGTTACTTTTTTTTACAGTGTGCAGCAATGGTTCGATTCATCGACTATACACCCTTCATCAGATAGTTTGAAATCCTGGTAAAATTCAACTCAGATTGTCAACGTCGCGCAACTGTGGAAAATCGGCTAAGTGTCAAAAATAAAAACAACGGCTATGATCTGTGCTACACTAAAAGTGTCTATTTACGGGCTTAAGCATTTTTTTGGCATTTAGAAAATTTTCCATTGTCGCGCTACGACGACAATACCAAAAACGAAAAGTCGTCCAACGAAAAAATAGATAACATATATCTATTAATACATATCGATAAATTATTCGGTTTCATATCTAGTAAACGTACCAAGCGCAAAAACGCAAATCCCTTTCCAGACAAATAGCACTCGGCTATTTCGCCGTGTGCCGAGAACATTTCCTTCAATTCATTTTCTTGGACTTCATTCGGCAAATTTCCAACGAAAAGACGGCATCTGAAAAAAGACTTTGAAATTTCAATTGTCAAAAAAACTATATATATTTCTCACCTTCCAGTAAATTTCTTTTTTGGAAGATCATCCAATAATTGAGATTCGGTGAATGCCATCCCGTTGAATGAATTCAACGAACGGTTCTGGTTGTGCCCACCAGATCTATGTTCGGAATATTGCCCTTGGCTGCGATCTTGGTTTCCACTTCCTGACACATTTCCACTACGAGATTGACTTTGATGATGACTGCTGCTACCACTACGACGATCATCGCGATCTCTTCTACGATCGTCATCGCGGCGCGGTTCCTCTCGTCCGGATGATCTTCTCGGTTCTCTTTTCATCATAAAGCCTTAATTTGCATGTTTTTTAAATTAATTAAACTGAAACAAAAAATAAAGCGTAAATTACAATAAATTGATTTACTAAAAACGCTAACGGAAAGATAATAAAAAAAAACAAAACAAATTTAGTTAGCGTCTGGCGAGCTTAACGCGGGTAGATTTAATAAAATTTTTTAAAAATTTACACCAGTCGCTGGAACCCGACTATACAAAAGCACTTAGCGAGTGCGATCGATATAGCGAGGACGCTAGGCGAACACCTCTGCGCTCTCTATACATCGCCGTACTCTTCGACTACTCAGCTAGACGAACGGCGAATGAAACAAGAGATAGATGATTAAAAGGATTTAATATGATGCTGTTATAATTCAGAATTAAACTATAATTAGTAAAGTACAATATTACGTTGCCTAATGAAAGCACAATATTTACAAACTTTCAATGATTCTATTCATGAAATACAAAGCTGTTAAAAAATAGTGATTCCGGAAAATGATCGATTTCACTGTGGAGAAAGAGAAGAAAGGAAAATTCGGTTTTTTTTCTGTTTTCGTAATGGTCTTTAAAAAATAGTAATTGCATTTTTTGTGCAATAGAATCATCCTATAGATGTAATATAATGTAATATGTATACGTATCAATAATTAATCTACATAAAATGAAAATTTAACCGTGCAGATTTCGTTAAATTCTGTCAAACATCAAAAATATTGAAAGAAACCTTCTTGGCAAACCCACAAAGCGAAACTCGAGGAATTGTCGTTCGATAAAGTTCGAAAGCAAATGAGACGCAGCTATCTTGGATTGTGCAATAGAGCGTATTTGCTTATGCAAATTTACCGCGCGGTAATTCAAAAGACTCTCGTGCGACTGTTTTTTTTTGTTTTAAAATTCTTACGGGTCATTTTTAAGACATTTTTTTATTTGCACCGAAGCCGCTTTTAAATAAATTATATTTTTAAAATGTTTTTTTTTGCAGAAGTAATGTCGGCTAAGAAGAGGAAATCGGACATTAACGTATTCAAAATCTTTAAATAAAAAAAAAAACAATACATTGTTTAATTCAGATTGACAGTTGTGAATTAGAAAATGAAAGCGATCGAAGAAAAGACAAACCTTGGTTCGAAGAACAAACGGTCACTGATGGCTCCAATAGGAGAAAATCGTTTTTTGGAGGAATGTTTAAATTCAAGAAAATGAAGAGTTCCTCGACTTTAAAAGTGAGAGTCGTTATATTAAAAATAGATTTATATGTAAAAAAATGATTAAAGGATAAAAATACACTTGTGCCGGGACTTGATTCAATCATGTCGCACAACAACGACATTACTCATTTATCTCAAACAAGTGAATCTGTAAGAAATGCAAAAATTAGCAAAATAATCGATTCATATTCAGAGCGCGACATCAATCGATTCTTCCAACGTTTCACTGTTACCGAACGTTGGAAAAAACGCCGATTTGCGCACGTTCGTCAATCGGAATCCGTATACTGCTTCAGCGCCGGAATGCCCGAAGTTGAATGGCGCCGGTTTGAATCCTCATAGCGACGGAAAGCCAGAGGACAATATATCAGTGAAAATTTAAAATTTATATAAATCGACCAATTTAATATTTGTTATAGATTTCTTCTCGTATGAGCGTTGATACGATTGGATCGAACCAAACAATGGAAGAGGATCGTCAATCGGTTTCGTCGACTTCCATGTTCTGTACACCACTTCGAGCGCCTTTGCGTAGAAACGGCGCCGCCCGAATTTCAACCCGAAGTGTGCCCGACAGACATTATGACGATCCAGCATATCGAACTTTCAATAGTGTTTGTAATAGGTAATAATTGAATCGTGACATTGATGGAATATCGCGCAATTTTCAGTGTAAAACGAGTACCATCGTCTGTTTCGGAGAAATCATTCACACCGAATAGCGCTGCTCGTCGATCAATGCGACACATGTCCAGAAAGTTGATCAATTCGTTTAATATGGAAGATGTTCCGGAAGATGAAGCATTAACCACAGTTTCTGTAAATTATTATTAATTTATGCATTTCATTAAATTGGTAATTATAGAGAACATTTTCCACAACAATGGATGAAGAACTAGAAGAAGAGAAATTCGTCGATGGTAAAGAATTCTTTGCCAACAACGTTATCCAAGCAACCGAATCAGAAAGCAACGATCGAGAATCGATTTCGTCGAATGCCCGTCTCTCAGTTAGTTCTGAATCAAGAAAAAATCTCGGATCGAGTAGCATCGTTAGTAGAGTCGTTTATTCGCAGCAATCCCAACATTTTAGGGCAGAAGCAACTCGATACTCAAAAAATTAATGGGCGGAATAAGCGGAAAAGAAAGAAGAAACAGCGAAGTTCATCAAGACGAGTTCGAAATTCAAAATAACACTTCGAGTCGACGAGCTTCAAATGTTTCATTCTCCGCAGAAAGTACTAGCATCTCGAACGGATCGGCATCAAACGGGCTTGGCCCAAAAATGAGAAGCAAAACTGCTTCTGCATCCAACATCACTCATCGATTTTCGCTTTCCAATATGTTCAGACGAACTAAAGACGGTTGGAATCGTCATCTTGGATTATCGTAATTATTATTAATGTTCAGATGATTCTCAATTTACGGGTCAGCCAAATCGTCGAAGTACACTCACGGGTTATTCATCACAATCTTCGGGAATCGGAAGTATTGCAAGCATCAATTCTGACGTAGCTTATAATATGCCGCGATTGAATGGTACGAGCATTTCAAGAAATGGATCAAAACGAGAGGATGAAGTTCGAAAAGGTTATTCATTTTTTTGTGTTTGACGTGAAATATGTATTGCTAGAAGAACGAGCCTCATATCTTTAAGGGTTTCGAATACAGTTTGGTATTATTTAAACTTTTCAGAGCGTTATCGTCGTTTTCTGCGGTGCATTTCAATTGCTAAAGAACCAGCAGTTGAACTGATACGAAAAATGAAAGAAAGTAAAGCAAAAAAGAAGCAAAAAGAAATAGAGGAACAATACGAAACTCAATTGGTTTATTTTTTAATTTGAAACTGTTGTTAATTTAATATTTTAGAATGATTCCGGATCAACAATTGCATCACAAAATAGCGATATTGTGAAATTTGATGTTATTTCAGTTGATGTACAACATGACGGGAAACCAGGTTCGCCAAAATCGAATTTCTAACGAAAATTAATTTTTTTTTAGTTTCTGCTGCTGCAAAGGAAGTCGTAGATTCAGAAATGGCGAAGCGAATTCTTAATGAAATTAGCAATAGTTATCGATCTGATATTTGCGGAACACTTATTGAAACAGATCCCGGTATTATTTTAATTTTCATTTGAAATCTTCAATTAACTGCCGTACAGATGTGATATTCGTGTGTCCTCAACCAACCGCTACTTTCACTCGTGATCTCAATGACTCGATAGCTTCAACTGGTAAGAAAAAAAAATAGAATTTTTGCTTTTGAAATTGATTTTTAGGTGATTTGCATCCAACACTGCTACCAAATGTTCGAAATGGCGTATCAAAGAGTATTGAGCTTTGGAGTACTGCAGCTGGAACTCGTGAAGAATCCACAATGGTTTGACATCGATTCAGTTATCAATAAGAAATTATATTTTGCAGTTACTCTTCCCGATGTTCTGCACATCGGAATTAGAATGGGATGCGCCGGAGACAATTGATGGGATCTTCAAAATGCTCGACACTTATATTCACACGAAACGTTGGAAAACTGTAAGTAGTTTCTAGAAAATGAGGATAATTTTTGAAATTATTCAGAACGGAAAAGTATTACTCGCCGGTTTGACGGAAAACAATACGCGTCTTCTCCAAGAGAAATACGACGCAATGAAGTTGTTCCTACAAGAAGACGAGGATAAAACAGCAACAGATGATGCTCAATCATTGAATAGTTCCGTTATCTACACGAACGTATAAAATATTGTCACATAGCAGCAAAATAATGACAGAAAGTCACAAAATTCACAATTCGTTTTTTTTCTTTCTTAATTTTTTTTGTATACGTTTTCATCGTGTTTTTCCCATCCGCTTCTCGCTCCAAGTTTCTTGTTTTTTTTTTCTCAATTTGTCGCTACGAATTCGATTTTATAGTTTTCATTCAATTCCAACCTACACTTTTCTCTCAGAAAATGTTGTTTTCGATTGGACAATTACTATCAAAATTTTCCTTGACTCGTTCGTTTCATCTTTTCGTTTCTTTTTAATTGGATGGATATGTGCATTTTTTTCCTCTTGCATGATTTCAATGTAATCAATTGATTCGTCTCGTTCCACAATCGGATTTGTGTGTTTATATATTAGCGTTTGTTTCTTTCTCTTTCCAATATATTTTTTGCTTATTTTTTTGAATTGCGGGAAATTATGTGTTTTACGAGAGTTCTGTGAATAAAATATGCTGCAGACTAACAAACTTGAAAATAATTCCCGGATCATATGATTCCTTTTCTTGTTTTGTTTTTCAAAAATTACTGATAGTGTCAGTGGTGTTTTTAAACTATCAATTTGCTCTCTTCGCCGACGACAAAGCGACACGTTCATCCGGAAACCAAAAAATCAAAATTCACAACGCAGTGTAATGGAAAAATTTGAAAATTGTGTTCTTTTAGAACAACGAAGATCGGTTTGCGTGATTTTTCAATAATAATTCGTGCCGATTGCTTTTTGCAGCTGTTTGTTTGTCATCTTTGCCGAAGTTCGCAAAAAACTATGTTGGCCCTAAATGATTAATGTGTGCCTTCAAAATTTCGTCGCGTTTTGAGAATGAGCACCACATGAGCTCGGATGAATTGCGTCACAATTGATGAGAAACAGACATGAGAGCACAACGCTGCTGGGGTTAAACGGCACGAAAAACGCATGAAATCGAGTCATATTTCTTACGACAACACCATTCGAAACGACCTCCGAAATCATTCTCAATTCCCTCCATTTGAGCACGTTTCCTAAACCAAATGATAGTGTTATTGGAGGAAATTTGACGAAAAAAGAAATGAACAATTATTTTTGGATCGATTTTCATTGATTTCAAAATTGTCGCATTTTCCATTTTTTTTACTATGTTTCATTTCGCGCTGAATAATTTCATTATGTTTGTCGGCGATTGCCAACGGTTTTTTTTTAATTATACGTATTTTTCTCAAGAAAATACATTTCTACTCGAAAATAACTTCTCAATAGTTGTTTTTGAGGCAATATATCGAATTACCTTGTTTTGAAATGAATTTTGTCGTCAATTTCAAAAATAAAAATACTCTATTCAATTTTGATAAAAATTCTCAAATGAGAACTCATTTTACCTCCCGTTTCAGAATTATTTTGTATTTTTGCCCCTTTCGAATTAGCTGTTCCGTCGGACCTTCTAGTTTACTTGGGCAAAGTTACGTAAAAACTAGGGTTAAAATTACCTCTCTAAGTTTTGTGCGATTCACCCGGGGGCAAATTTATTTTCAAATTGCTAAAATGGGCGAGTCACTTTGCCTAAAAAGGGCGAGTCCTACGCCATCAGTCGAACGTCGAGAAGACTTGGAAATTTCCTCATGAAAATTTGGACGCTTTGAACGAATTCGTGCACATATTAAATTTATTTCTGTTTTAGATGAATGAGGAAAAACTGCGTAGCCTTTTTGCATCTCTTGCAACTCTAACTCAACAGGGTCCAATTCCAGGTATTCTTTTGATTGTCTTTCCATAATAGTCACAATATTTTTCAGTCCAAGCTTACAGCATGCTTGCAAAACAGCATTCTGTAGAAGTTCTCGCCGAGCACATGAGATTGCGATGGCTGGCAGATGGCCGATTTGGACCACTTGCCGCTAATATTCTGATGCACATTCACAAAGTGAGCAGCCGCAAATTAACAACAAACAGATGCTCAAATTCAGGCTGACACCAAGGACATTTCGTTGTCGTCAAATGTGCTTGCTCTGCTCTTAAACGACTATCGTAATCGGCTAGAAGTTCGAAATGATTCTCGATTAATGTTCCGCAACAGTGTAAAGACCCTATTTGCGTAAGAAGAGGATCTAGAAATAAGAGTCAGTAAAATCTTCAGCATGTATCCAGTATACGTAAAAATGGATGAATGTGTTTCGAAATGTTTCATAAAACCCATGTTCTCGTGTATCGACTCTCTCATCGACGACAGCCCCGACACGGACGATCTCGAGGTTGTCATTTCAGAGTCATTCTTTTGATCTTAAATCGTTTTAGACAGCCGGTATACTTCTCAGTGAATATGGTAAAACCCTTCATGATTTGAATGCATATCTTGTTGAAAGGATAATTGTCAAATTGCGATTGAAATTAGTGAGCGACGAAGAATGCGTCACAAAGCATATTCGGCAAATATTCCTACATGTAAGCGTTCAAATTTTTATCTGAAATCTCGAAATGTGTGATATTCGTTGTTTTTCTCAGATATATGACCTTTGGGCTTTCGGCTGGAGTGAATTGAATGTGCCGGAATGTCTTTCAACTCTTCATGCTACCGGAAAACTATCAATTGACGGGCCGATGCGAAAAAACGACATAAACAAAAAGGATTTTGGTAGTAAAGAGAGCATCATTTGAGCATATTGTTCCACTTTTCCAATTTTTTTATGTGATGTGATTATAATTAACCGGGTTAATATTAAGAGAAATGTATAAAAAAATTGAAGAATATTATGTACATTATCGGTTGCCCGTAGTCTTACAACCAAAAAATAATTAGGCGAATATGAGGTTCAGTGAGTTTAATGAAGCCTGGTTGCCACGAACGAGGCATACCGGCGGTTTCTGATCGGATAGGAAGTCAATCCACGACAAGTAAATTGCCGCTGGAATATCGGGACGAGCTGATGGAAGTGTTCTGAAAGCAGAATATTTTGAATTGGTTGCCATTCGCCGATGTTCTTACGCGACGACCAAATCCGCATCGCTACTATGTTCAGCTATCAGTTCGGCGCATCGGAGATAATTTCTCGTCTTCTCTCGCAAATTGAATAATTGGTCCTGCAACGAAACATTCGATCTGAATTGCCTGAAGAATTGACAAACGTCGTCGAACATTCCCGGCAGTTTATCGACACCACGAGGCACTTTGAATGGCGCAAGTTTCTCATTGAATTTGTCGGCTCTGCAATTTTAAAATGAAATCTCGAATTTCTAACTAGCGCCTACATTTTCTTTGAAGGTGGCTTGCTGAAGTCACTCAAAATGTGAAGATCCGAAGAATTGATATTGCACTTCCGCAAAATTGCGGCCATCGTCTTCTGTTCCTTATTGATCTGAAATTGAACGAAGATAATTTAAATAAAAGAATATGGGAAGACCTTTTGCGAAGAGTTGTCGACGTTTTTTGTGAAAACTCGAATATGAGCTCCCTAAATGACGAGATGAATATTTCAAAACGAAAAAATCGCCGATTAGCTTACTTCAAGGAAGCTTCCAGCATGTGCGAGCAAATGAGGAACAAGCATAGTCAATCCGCCAGCTTCGCGTAACCAGAACACGTCTACAATTCGGATTTCGGAATTCATTTTCAATTCGAATCCTACCAATCCGTGCATTCGGAATTCGTTTTCTGAATCTCGACATTTGATCCATGATGACTCTTTGTCCCGGTTCGGATATGTCTTTAGCCAACACTTGGAACCTTTTATTGCCGATTGAACCCATTTCGGGGTCCTGTAATCGAATCATCACGATTTGTAAATTCAAACTTCAGAATGTGTGCGTTTGAACGATTGAGGCGTTTGATCGACCCCTGTGCATTATTAGAAACGCATTTTGCGAACAAACCCTCGTTGCCGCCATACTCATCTTCCTAAACGTGGTCTGCATACTGCTCAACAATTTTCCCTTTTGACCTGAAATGAAACAAAAATCAGGAAGCGTTAGAAAGACAAATTCAATCTTACTAGCTACTGGCTTTTCGGCCGTTATTCCCTGATTCACCTGGCTATAAATTAAATCGATTTAATACATTTAAAATTGGTTGGAATCGTCCACCTGTCGACATAATCCGAAATTCCTTCATCATCGATTGGAGCGCCGTCTTTTCGGATTGAAGACGAAACGTCGAAGCCGGAATCCTTGTTGCGGAATATGATTAGTCCTACTTGTTTTTCAAACGCATTGCTAGATAAAAAAAAATTGAACGAAAAATTGGACAAGGACTAGGCGTACGATAATATCGAGTAGTATTGTTTGACAATGTGAAGATTCGTTGTTCCCAGCTTCTCCCAATTCGTCTTGAATCCCAGCATCAGAACATTCGGTCGAAGTCTGCCAAGGCCGACAGTCTGAAATTTCAGGTTTAAATTGATCGACGAGCAAATCAATTCGGAATTTTTTGATACTTACTTGCAATAAAGTATTGGCTCCATCAGCTTGATCTGCGCAACAAATAACTGACGAAAATGCTTTGATATCTCTAGCTTTAATCCATTCATTAATTTGTTTGGCAATCTTGATTTGAAGCAAGTAGCTACGCGAACATGGATCTTGCTGAAATGCACATTTTATACTACAATTGGACAACCGGATTTCCGCTAACTGGAATCACATATCCGCAAACTAGAAGAGTTTGTCCGCGAGTGATCGAATGAGCAAAGTCGACGAGAGCGGGGCGAACAGCTGGATTTCCAGTGAGAAGCAGTATTTGCGGATGATAGTGTCGACTATTTTCCGGCTCGAATTGGAGTTCGTGCATTTTTTCGAGCGTCGGAATATAGCGGGATGGAGCTTCGCCTTTTGTAGCTTCATGGTCTAGATTATAACATTTGACGATCGATAATATAATATAATATATAAAGAAATATTTTGATACCTCTTTGAAAATATAATTGGAGACAGTAAGGAATCGCGAAAATGATTCCTGCGAAAAGCGTGAGGTGTCGATTAATAGAAAACGCACAGAAAACGCAAGCTGCACTGACAAAAAGGAGGACGAGCGCTGGCGGAGAAGGCACATCTGAGAATGACCGCATAATTCGGTATAATTCACAAAGCGGTTTACCCGATTTTTTGAGTTTGACTCGGAAAACGTAGAAATTGAAGAAGGCATATAAGACCAAGACAAATACAGACGTAGGAATACAAATGATGTCGTAGGAGCCTACAGAAACCATCTCTGAATTGACCCGCACTGAAATTGTCGGCTCGGATACCTATTAACGAGATTGCGAGTTGCAGGAAATGCAAAACGATGAGGCAGCGGATTGGAATTGCATTTGGGCCGAATCCACGAGACAACCAGCCAGCGAAATACGATGAGTTTGATCTACACAGCGCCTAAAACATCAAGCGACAATCATCAGAAAGATATGATTTCAATGACTTGTAGAACGAGTCCGGCAAATTTGAGGAACGTAATCCCTGAGAGGACACAAGCGATCGTGACGATAAGTGCAATCGGAACGGTCGAATAAAAGTAGATGTTGCTTTCGGTGATTGTGTCAGTCGTCGCATTCGACTTCCTTGCGAAGAATTCGATGTAGTCGAATAATGTAGCCACGAAATAAATTGCCGAACACACAACAACAGCGATCAATGATCCCCGTGGGGCCGAATTCTGCAAAAAAGGACATTTTCTAAAATTAATGAAACGCGAAACCTGTAATTTGGAGCCAAAATGAAGAAGGGTCAATGAGCAAATTGTGGCTGGGAATAATTGGCCGAAAACTGTTCCGAAATCGGGATCCTCAGGATATGGAATGAAACTGTTCACTGAATACTGTCAGGTTATCCCGATCTGGATTTGCGCGAATAGAATTTCTTACGCTGTGAGACCCGTTTCAACTGATATTCTCCATATCGGAAAAGAACTCCCGAAAGGTGTAAGAAGATTGCGATGAGTGTTAATCCGAATATGACCTGCCGAATCGGAAGCCGAATTTTCAAACGGATCAGCGAGCATATCAGAATGATTACAGATAACGCTGAAATCTCAATAATACGCAAATAATCGATTAATAAATTTCGATACCCAGGGCAACAATTCTCAAATCGTGATGAGCTCTATCGATAATATAAATATTGGATATATTGAAAATGTGAAGAATTGCTTCGGATCCTGCCGAAACGAACATGGCAGTTATGAAAATGAGGCAGAAAAGGTAAAGAACTGTTAGAGAGAGACCAAAATGCGGACACGAATAGGCCAATATCTTGAATTATTTTGAGCAATTATAAACAAATGAATTGGGAAAGACACCGTTTTGAAAAAACCGCGTTCGTTGCTCTTCCTCGAAACAACAGTGCATGCAGACCAAGCAGTTATCAAACCAATCGAAAAAGCAATGAAGACCATCAGGATAGTAGCAACTTGAATAGAATATACAAATTGAATTCCCTTGGAGAATATTTCAAACCGATTCCAGCTTCATCAACAATTCTTGAAAATCGCAGAAGAATGACAACGGCAAGCATGGGTTGAGCAAGTTGCAGAAAAACGTCGATCCATGACATTGAGGTTTTCAACGAGATTGTCGAGCTTCTCGGTGGTTCCGTGTAAAACTGAAATTTTTTTTTCAGCCTTCTGTGATTCTTTGTTTTTCGGTTTTCAAATTGGAAAATTGGTGTAATCGATTTGTTGGTTTGAAAATTTCGAACCGATCAAAATGATAATTTCCGTCAATCATTGGCCAATCAACAATTTTCTCTTAACAGTTTGATCTCGCGCGCGTTTTTTGTCCCGCGACGTATTGCGAACATTCTGGACCAAAAACACTCACTCACCGGCATATTTGTCGAATTTGACCAACGGATGTCGGTCTGCAAACCAAAAATGACGCCTCGTCAATTATGAAGAGCGAATCGAAACGAGAAAATGAAACAAACAAAAATAAATGAATGGGGGGAATGGATGAGCGCAAGCAAACGAGATGGATAGATGGCACATGCGAAATGATGAAGCCAATTAAATTGGGTGAAGCGCCAAAAAACAAAGGATTCATGGGAAATCTTCAAATTTCTGTTCGATACAACCGTTTATAAAATTTATTCATAGAGATAAAATTGAAAAAAAAAAACACAAATGTTAAATATCTCTCGAATAACCTATTCGCGCAATCTACTGTCGTAAATTTGATTTCTTGAAAATATCCTTTCGATATCATTCAAAAAGGATACATTTGAAATCGATAACAAAAATCCTTTTGGAATTTTTTTTTAATTATATATCATTTTGAATGGAAAAGGTTTGGAATTTTTTCAATTGTTCAAAATCAATATGAAGGCCAAATGACACATTTGTTCAATTTATCTTAAAAATGCAACCTCACTTTGCCACATGGGTCCTACCAAATCGGGCTCGAAGGGAAAATCAAATAAAATATTGCCAAATCAATTTTAGATGTGAAACAATGATTTTTAGTACAGTAAATTGTGTAAGCTTTTGAAAATTATTTTAAAAAAATCCGCTTTAATCTAAACGTGATTCTTCTAGAAAGAAAAGACAGAACTCCATCCACCTTTAAAAAAAGAAATAATATCAAATAGATAGACGCTTTTGGACTATATTATTTGATTCAGAAGGTCATCGACGAGACATTTGAACTTTTGAATCAAATGACTATTTTAAAAGAAAACAACGAGAATAATCTCGATTTTTCTATGAGATATTATTTGTTTGATAGAAATGGAAATAAATGCTTTGTGAGGTAGAAAAACGAAGAGAATTCAGGGTGGACCCGCGAAATTATTTCAGAGATACGATGATAATTAATAAAAAAGACGTCTATTTTGTTACACTTCGACCGTCTTCTTCAACGTCTTCGGGATGTCGGTCATCTCTTCATTTCGCTCACTATTTTCTTATCATTTTTCAAATGTGTTGTTCTATCAAAAACATATCAGTCGAATTATGGAAAACGTTACACACGCGACCCGAGTATCGTCATCGATTCTAGAAGATACCGTTGTCGGAAGGCGTCAATTAATCGTCGTCAGAATCATATATTCAAATGTTGAACTCAAGCAAACATAAAAAAATAAATATATTTTATTAAACCTAAATTAATTTTGAAATTAACTATGAAAAATACAAGAAATTATAATACACAATTATATACAAAATAAATATTAGTGAGACTCCCAAAGAGAAACGCGCTGTTTTTTTTCGAAATTTCGCTTTAGTCATAAATTTTAAATTCGAGCGTGTTGGCAAAAAATGGGTTAGTAAATTCATTAATTACATTGCATTTCAGACAGTTTGAGTTTGCGAGCATTTCACAGTTGTCGATTTACTTCTCGTCCAATTGTTCAGCATCAAACAAACATTCAGAAGACGTACTTTCGTTTCTCTGAATATTTTATTTCTTAAGCATCGTTTTCGAACATTTGATTTTCTAAGTGAAAACCATATTTTAGTATATTGATTACCCTGTCAAATTGGCGTTGTGTGTTATCGCTGGCTTCACAGCCATGTAAATTTCATCGCAAATCGTTGGCCATTGCATCCAAAGTTGTCTTTGTGCGGTTTCGCACAACTCACAAACAGCCAAAGCACATCTATCATTATAATTTTCTCCATTAATAATTTTTTTATAAAAAAAAACTTTACCTATTTACAATTTCCGGATCTTCCGGTTCTATTTCTTCTGGGTGTTCAGGTGCAGATAAAACTGTAGAAGACGATTCTTCTTCTGTCGATGGTGGTAGAGGTTTTGGTTTCTCATATGTATAGAAAATCTCAAACAAAAATTGAATTATATTATAATATTCTTCATATACACAATATTTACCTTATTATCGTCTTCGAGAACTTTTATCCATCCTTTTATTATACATGCCGTAGAATACAATATTAAATTTACAGTATCGATAGCCTTAAAAATTTGAAGTAGAAGTTTTAGTGAACATTTATAAGTACCTTGGAAAATTGGCGAGGCCAATGTGCGCACATTATTGAGGAAAGGAATGAAGGAACATTTTTCTCTCCATTGTTCATTATGTGATTTGCGGAAATGTTCATAAGCTCCGATGACATCATGTCACAAAATGTATCGTTCTCTGATTGGTCTAATATAAGAATCGATGGAAAACAAATAAACTTACTTAAAAGTGATATAAACAAATCTACAACAAAATCATGTTCGCCTTGATCTAGCGCAGTATTAATTAAACAATCGCACAACTTTTCCCATTCTTCTTCATCCATTGTTTCCGTTAATTCTTTACTTTTTAATATATTTCTTTCTAAACAACATTTTAGAATAGTAAAATTAAAAACTGATTACTTATTTGTGCTGCTGATCGATCACACCGTAGATTTAAATCACTTATTTGGGATATTATATCATCGAGATCCAAAAGCTCCTGAAAATAATTATTTTAATGAGAACATTTAAAATAAACACCTCGTCCGGTTCGACGTCTTCAATTTTTTGAGTTCGCCGTGATGGGACATGTTTATGCTCGGTATTAACACTGAAATCATTTTTTCCTCCCCTCGGTTGACGATTATTTCGTTGGCTTCTTGTTTCCGGTCGAGATTTCTAAAAAAAAAATAGAGCCGTAATATTTAAATAATAGGAAATTAATTGTACAGTCTCGGTGATGAGATTTGATTCTTCTGTATTCCTCGTAGAATTCCGATTGCCGCCACTTGAAATATTTTTACCGGAATTGAGGTGCCCAAGCATTCCAGCAAACATTCGCTTATTTCGAGATTCAGCCATTGACTGATCATTGCCGTTTGCCATACTTAAACGCCCCGCTAGCCGAGACATCTAAAAAAATTAAATATTCTAATAACATTAGAAAAAAGCAATAAGAAATAGTGAAAATTTAAAAAAAAAACGCCGAAAAAATAGAATTGTCGTCAACTTCGGTGTTTGCAGAATGAACAAGTTTTTTAAAATTTTTTCCCGCGCAACATGCTAAATTTGAATTTTTCGTTTTTTGAGTTTGTTTTTGTTGTCAAGATAATTTCTATTCTCAAAAATATTTTTGTTTGAAAAACAAAAATACGCGATAAATAAAAAATTCGAAATAAAAAAGGTTTCCGTTGCAAAAATTCTGTATTTTCCTTTCAATCTGGCAGAAATTTACGTTGTTTCTTATTTTTCTCCTTTTCAAATCATTATGTGCACTTAATTGCTAAAATGATTTAAAATCCCTAGAATAAATGATTTTTCGAACATAGACATCTTACTTATAAGTAAAAACACTTTTTTTCGTCTTAATACTATGATATTTAATGAATCGTGTCGTCATATCATCTTCGAAATTTTATGTTTCAGCAAAAAGATTCTTTTAACAAAGCAATTGGACAATAGCTGCGACGTAAGTTTTTATATTTGTTTTGTAAATATTTTATTTGCTTAAATATTGTTGTTTTCATTACTATGCACACCCATATTAACCGAATGATATTATTATCCTAGTAGTAAAAAAAGTAGCTGCTCAACAAATGGCGAAGGCAAATAAATGTTATCAAAAAGAAACGAAGACTCGTGAAAGATTCACCGGGTTGGCCTTTCGTATTTGCACATACACATTCGGTCGTTTTTGGCTTTTTTGTGGCTCATCGAATATTTTGACGCGTTTATCGATTGATTGTGGAGCGTGAAATGAGAACGAATCGCGAGTCGACGCGTTGCGCAACCCATCGCAGGAGTGTTCTTGAGATTCGCGTTCTTCCTGTCGTTAATAATGTGATTTGGCTGTTAATTGCCAACAAAAGTATGTTTTTCGTCGCATTTTATCGTGACATGTTCTTTGGCATATTTCTGTTGATTTTTTTTGTCTCTGCCTATCTATCACGAGTTAAAAGTTAGTTTCGACACACATTCAGTTTACGAGAAAATTTTTTTCTGCTTTTCATTTTGAGTTAAAAAAAATAATTTCGAGAATTGAACATTTTCTTAATGATTTTATTTTGAATATACAGAGTAAATTAAGAATAAAACCTAATTAACTATTTAAAACGATAAATGTTCCTTTTAACCAATATTTTTCTTGTGGATAAAATTTTAAGAATTTTTAATGAATAGGGAGCAAAGAACGACTTAGATATTTAATTTTCATTCATTTTTTTTCAAAAGTGAATTTTCAGAATTTGCGTTCTTCCGTTTAATAGATAAGCATATGATAAAAGCAACATTTTTTTCACCTGCCACATTTCTCACAATCTTAATTGATAGTTTCGTTTTTGGTTAATTTTTCGTGGAATCATATTTTTAGGTATATATTTTAAGAATTCTATTCTTTTAATCGAAGAATTCAATTTAACGAATTTACGCATACGCTTTCTAAAATTGAGGCATAAAAGTGCATGTGTTTTTCGAACCAAGAAATCACAACACGCCATTTATTTTCAGTTTATTTTATGAATTGTTATATCATATTTTGAGCTGTTGAGAGAGATTAACTTTGACTATTAGTAGGCTTAAATCTTTCGGTTTTTCATTTCATATCTTCCACCTCCCCCTCAAAACGGATTGTTTCCGAACATCTGCATCGCTTTCTTGTTTGCAAAATCGCCTTCAAATCAGATTGGAAGATGCTGCAGAATTCGCATGCGCGACGACGGTGTTCATTCATATGGCGCACTGCGTGTTGCGTACACTCATTCGCATACAGTTCGCCGTCGCTTTTTTACTTTCTCTTTCGTCTCGGCACAGTCTTCGATTTTTCTACACCGCTCAATCTGTCATCAGAGAAAGTTTGCTAACGATCGAACATTTCTTTCGCTTTTTTTGGTGTTGTTCCGTGTCGAAAACATTTTTATTTTGGTTTGTCTCCTCTCAAAACATGTGCGGAGATTCTCAATCAATACTAGTACAAACGAGTGACAGCAACAGAATGAGGGCAGATGTTCATAAAAACATATCCTTGGTTGGATGAAGTCGTCTTATTTCCACTTAATGGGTCTTTTGAGGTTGTCGTTTTAATCTTAACTAGTTTTGGCTTAATTTGAGACCACATTCCCTCATATTGAATATTTATCAGAAACCATATCATTCTATTTGACGGGTCCGACTTGGTTCCATAGGGTAATGTGTGTGATTGTTTAATGTTAGAGACGTAGAGATATGGGATTGGACGAAAAAGGTCACCCAAATTGCTCCGCGTTGCTCAGAAGGTTGCGAATTTGGTGGTCTTTTTTAGATATTCATTTTTTTTTCGTATAAATTTCTTTAAAAATTACTTGATTTCAACTTGCCAACGCAAATAATTTCTATAGAAGAAATTGTGATTTTTATTTTCATATTTTAAGTGTTATAATTTTTTTTTAGAAAAATACAAAACGATTCATTTGAAGATTAGAAATACTAAAATTGTCTATTTCATTTTGTTTTTCTCATTTCTGATAAATTAATTATAGATGAAAGTGAAAACAATAGTTGTTTGCTCTTGATGCTGCTGGAAAAAAACGGCGCGCTTATTTTTGATTAACAATTTTCGGCACGAAAATTGAGCAAAACGAGAGAATTGCTCTTCAGTCAAAACCAAAAAAAATGTGTATAAATCAGTTTAGCGTGTTTTGCCAATTCTCGAATACGAAGAATAGAGGAGAAATCTGTTTCTAAAGCGGTGTGTCATACACCGCTAATGTCGAAAGTCACTGCGAATTTTTGTCCATAATTCTCTCAAAACTGCCATCTATTTTTTTGTTGTGCTTTTCAATTTCATCAGTTTCGCTTCTCAATGTGTACGAATCTATTAAAAAATCGGGGCGAAGACAAAAAAAACTGCAAAGGCACTCTATGTCTATGTCTCGCCGGTCCTTTCACCCGTACTCTGGACAGAAGGAAAAAAAAAGAAGCGAACAAAAAATAAAACGAAAGAATAAGCCAAGTCCTCCAAAAGCAGAGTGCTCTTTTCGTGCTGTGTCGAATTCAACGTCTTCACACTCTGCAAGGAGCCCGTTATTTCGGCGTAAATTTCGGTCCGGTCGTGGTCGGCTACTCTCGGTAACGATGATCGCCTCCGCGATTCGCACACTATTTCCGGGTGCCAATTGTCAAATCACGTCTGGTTGCAATGTATAACCTTCGTGTGTAGGCTTTTTCTTTTCTTGGCCGATTACCCTAACTTTCATTCAAATGCATATTTTGCTAAAAATTTGAACATTCCATTTCTACAAAATAATCGAAATGTTAAGATTTGATTGTGCACTGATTGTCCATTACCGCGATTAATGCTGACCTCTGTTGTCTCATTGTACCATACGCCAACTATATAATCCGATAAGAGCCCAATTGCTCACTTTCTGTTGGCTCGACCGAATAAGGCTCAATTTTGTTTTGCGAAAATTTATTGAAACGTTGAAAATGGATGCACTTGAAACGCGATTTCTTTGCCGAGCGTATTTGGTTGATTAGATGTTAAATTGCGACCGCCTTCACGAGTTATGTTGAAAATCTCGTGTCACGTGGTATCTAGGTAGCATGTTCTGCGTCTTTTCATGTTTGACCACATACTTCTTTCTAATGGTTTCATGTTAAATTAATATCGAATTTTGGAGTTTTGTTTCGTACAACTGATCGTTATACAATATGTAGACCACTGTCGTCAGTATTGTTTCCGAAAGAGGACAAATGTTTGAGAATCTTTGAAATGCGTGTTTGTTACACATAAAGGACTCACGAGTTTTTTTTTCAAAATTAAAAACCATTTTCAGAATGTTTGCTGTTTTCTTTTTATTTGCATTGCAAAATAAAACGATTGGAGTTTTTCAAGAGAGTGATAATTAAACACTCCTTCCATAATTTACAAGTTTGATTAATTAAAATCTGAATTTTTCTCGTGAAAGCACTTTGTTAGATATGTATGCTCTTCTAAAATTCGGTTTTTTGTCGTTGATGCTCGCACAACAGAAAATGGGTTGTTCATGATCAAAGTACGAGTAATATCATAAGCGGGTGAAGGTACCATCGGTCGATCCTCCATTTTAGCGGCCGCCAAAAAATTTTGTGAGTGTTTGCGTGTGTGTTGCGTCTCATTATTGATTTGTGTGTTTGGCCGGCCGATCGGTTGTGCTAGTACTCGTTTCGTTTCGTTCGCACCGGCGGCCAGTCCGTCGGTCGTCGTCGTTGCCGTTGATTCGCGCTTTTTTGTGCGCCTTGTTGTTTTCCACTTATGCGTGCAGCGATACTCGGTCGCCCTCCACCACCAACACCACCATCACCTCCGCCTCCCACTACTCCTACTTCTACTCCTCATCGCTCCCTCCCCCTTCTTCATCTTCTCATTTCGTTGCATATGCGATTTTATTGGTATGTTCAGTTCCCACAGTGTTGTTGTCGTTGACGCTCTGCCTTTGCGGCAATACTCGCTATGTGCCCTCTTTCGATTTTATTTTAGCTTCTTATTTTTTGGATGAGAATAATGTCGAAAACACTGCGCTGATTGAAATGTTAATCGGATTGATTTTTGACGGGTAACATGCGACATTAGGAAATTAATAGACGAATTTTGTTGTGGATGGCGTCCACTCTCTCACTCCCTTCTTTTTTTTTGGAATTCGCCTCTGTTCTTCCTCTCTGCATTTCTGCCCTATTCCTACATATGTTGGCTTTCAGGTTTTTTTTGTCATTTGCGCATTATATGAGTAAAACTTAACGGTTGCCTACAGATTTTTATTTATTTTTCCTTCGTTGTGCAACCGTAACTTTCACATGAATCATCCCCTCCTTCTTTGTGCTTCAAAACTCGCCATTTCGATTCGATCGATATGTATTTTTGTCGGAATGGT